CAAAAATCCCCGTCCGCTGAGGAATCCAACTCAGAAGAGGAGCCACCTGCTGGGCGGGAAGCCGAGGACAGTGAGCCTACGCCCGTCGATGACACCAATAAGGAGGACCCAGCCCCTGCGTCTATACCTTCAGTGGCGGGAGATGTCGCTGCATCAGATCCGGCGACAGTTGACCAGACGTCGAAGCCAGCATCGCCACCAGCCGAGGAGCAGAAACCCGATGTCGCCGAGGGCTAGACTCACGCAGACGATTGTACAGCAACCTCGGGCGTTTTGTCTGTTTGTGTTGAGCTTGGCTAAATGGCGCATGGTCTAGAGTTTTCGCGGTTATACGTGCTCACTAGAGTCGATGGGAAATTGACCCCCCCAATGTTCTTGGATAACCCCAACTTGGTGCTAGGGGATAGATAGCGAATAGCAGCGAATGAGCTTTCGTTTTCTCAATTTTCAAAATGTCTCCAAGGAGCACCATCTATTACAGCGCTTGTCATCATAAGCCTGGATAGCAACGTATTTTTACAGCACGGCCTCGGCCTAGTGTACAGCCCATTTGTATCTCTCCCCATCATTGAATCGCGTCCTCTAGTCGTAACTGCCCCAAGGTTAGCCCGAGTCACAATATTGATGTAGACAGGAAGATGGCATACCCTTGCTCCTTTTGCCTCGCAATCTCGCCGTGCTTGCCAGTCTCCTTACCCTGCTACAGTCAGCGTGCGGTCACAGCGCACGGAAGCGCGGGCATCCTCACTGATTGTCCACCCTCGACGACCAGCCTGTCAATCTGGTAGAACTGTCCGATGACCGTCTGCCTCTGTTATCGCAGTCAGCACAATCCTGGTCGGGATTCGTAATCGTGGCGATGAGGCAGGCCTACCTTCATCATCTGCAACTCCTGGAGACCCTTCTGCACGAGCTCCTGCACCTTTCGCTCATCCTGCACGCCCTTGTTGTCGTGGAAGGCATCGATCGTTCGTCGCTTGGCGTACTCGCGGTAGTTGTAGGCGGTGAACTGCTTGCCCTGGCGGAGAAGCTGCCTGTACTGCGAGAGTGTCAGCTCGCCGCCATACTCTTCTGGCAAAGCTTCGTCGCAGGGGCTAATGGGACAGCGTGAAGAGGTGGCGCGCAGCCAGGGCGGGACTTACCAGTGACCGTACTTGTTGCGCCATGTTGCCTTGTGATGGTGCTGACATTTTCGATGGACTGTGAAATTTAGATAGATGACGATGTCTGCGAATGGTTGGCCCCGGTGTTTGCGGCGGGTGGAGAATTTACCGAGCTCCGAGGCCGGAAGAACCACCTGCACCGACCAGAAGCCCGAGCAGGCTTAGGAAGGGCAACCAAGATTGCTGTAAAGACATTGGCAATATGCTAATACTTCTTTACTTCAATGAAATTAGAGACCGTAATGCACGGGGTTCACGATGAGCTGGCCCAGGGAATGGCATCAGCAGGGCAATACTGACAAATGGGTTCTCGAATTTACAAGCGGAATTTAGCTGATGCTATAAACCGGCAAATGTCGTCGCCTTCATCGACTCTACCATACCAGGAGGTACTTTCATACCATCCTCGCCTTCCGCGCCATGGCTCTCAAAGCTCAGCAACGCCTCCTGAATGGTCTTCTCCGAAAATCCTGGGGTATTCATCATCTCCTCAAAACGCGACCGCCCCGTCAAGTCACCCTGCAGCTGTGCAGTCAAGACATGCTGTTTCTGCACATGGTTCGGCTTCACGACGGTATGTGGCTTCACCCTCCTCCCCGCGCTGATGAGCGGTGTGAACGCCAGATTCGTCACCGAAGCGTTCAGATTCGCCAGCAACGTGGGCGGCGCGTTCGGCGCCAGGGTCCATCGCAGGATTTTCCCGCTGGTGTGACCTGTTAATACCGTTGTCCCGTCGTAGCTGCTTGTGAGACAGTTGAAATCCCCAGCATCGTCATCAGCCACAGCAAGTGGCTCGCTGGCCTGCACGACGATGCTCGGGGGTTCGGCTGCACGCCCGCCAAGGAGAAGCTTCTCTCCGAAAAACTCGACGATGTGCATCGCGCCGCCCTCTGCCGCAACGTAAAATGCCCTCGCGCATGGGTCGAGTGACAGACACAATGGCGCGGTGGGAAATAGGATGGTCCGCAATACCTGTCCTGTACGATAGTTCCATACTATGCATGTCTTGTCTCGACTGGCAGACACACATAGGGAGCTAGACTCGACCAGGCCAGGGCCGGCCACGAGGTCTGTGATGCCACCGCGGTGATTCGATAGCACGATCTCAGGCTCTGGCTCGGAGTTGTTGGCGTCGAGGTCGAGCAACGTGGTTCGGGCCCAGACGTTAATATTGGAATCATCCGACGCGGTGAGTATGTGATGTGGCGTGACGGTGATGCACATAATGGGCTGCACATGGCAGGGCGGCGTCGTGACCTGACGTCCGGTGCAAGTCTGTGCCTCGGTCAGCGTGTGGTGAGAGGAGAGGGGTCTGAGAAGAAAAAGAAGAAACGAACCTCCCATGCTATGAGCCTCCCTTCGGTAGTGCCCACTAGCAGCACTTGGCCAGCAAGGGCTACGCTCTTCACCCGCTCTGCAAACGAGATGAGGGCTTCTTGGTTGCCACGCAGCCGTGAATAGACATGGACGTGCGCTTTGCCATCTTGTGCGCTGAAAATGTGTGTCTCATTGAACGCGAGGCCGTGTCTTGGGCTGGAACTTTTCTTAAAGGAGGACTTGACTGCGTAGGTGGGTGTGATAGTCTGCGTGTAGATGCCAATGTCCTTTGAAATGGCGGTGTTGGCGGCCAGAGGCGGTCCGCATATCGACGAGACGAACTCCTCTGTGAGCATGGTGGTGTGGTCGAGGTTTGAGCGAGGGACAGACGTGAGTTTGTTGGTGAGCGGGTGAGTGAGTGGACGTGCGCAAAAGCATGCAGCATTAGCTCCAAACGGGTGCCACGATGGGAACTTGATCCCTCAGATGCAATACCATGAGAACAAGGTCTTCTAGAATGACGGTTTCAAGGTGAAGAGCTAGGCGTTGGGGGCTGCTGTCTTCGCCGTCTGTCCGTGGTCGTTGGCGAGACGTCCGTGGTCGTTGTGAAAATCTGGTGATCGACGCCGGGATGTGCAGATGCACAAGAACCAACTGGACATGGAAGCTGCAGCGCCATTGCGTCCCTTGCCGTGGCCGGCATCCACCAAATACTCTGCATAAAGTACGCTCAGACCAGCGCTCAGGTACCTGTGCAGCTGCTAGTGGGCTTTGTGCAGACAGCTGACCTGGATAATGCTTAGTGCCAGATGCACCCCGCCAGCCGCTCGACTGTCAGCGGCCCAGGCGCGCTAGAGGCCGGTGGATCATCACTAAAAGATCCGTCCCTCCACTGACGCTTCTCATCACTAGACCAAGCGTCCCTTTTCTTTTTCTCTCTTCCTCATCATCAGATCCACATCGTCGGTCGCCTTCAGCACCGTCAAGCGAGCCATGCCACGCCGTGCAAGGAATCCAGTCCCCGCGCGTGCATCCATTTCCCGAGCCCGCGTCGCTTTGACACACACGCCAGCAGCACCTCCATGGTGAGACCTCTCCCACGCGATGACGACCCTTGTCCGTGAGGGTGTCAAAGGGTCCAGGCTTTCGCCCATAAGACAGTCCCAGTCCGAGACCATGTGGGCAGATGCTCACCTGCGCTCTGGAATGGAGCGCGGTATAGTGCGAGTCGCAAGGGAGAGATTCAATATCCGCAGCGTCATCGTGGAACGGAAGGTTTTACAAGCTAGCTCCAGTTACGGCAGAGTGAACACCTGTTGTGCGTGCGGCTGACAAAAACTGTGTCAACTGAGCTTAACATAGCGAGCTGTAATAATGCTAATAATTCAGAATTTCACGCGCAATCTCTCGATCAGTCGAAGCATAGTCTACCGCCCAGCCTGTCTGCCTGCCTGACTGCCAGCGCGGACACCTGATGAAGTCGCTGTGCCACCGGATGTTTCGTCAATACGAAGCCTGGTAAACGTTCTGTTTCAAATGAATGATATCACCAGACTTGGTTGGTGCTGCGCTTGCAGAGAGTTGCAAACCTCGAGGCAACACAACAGTGGGCGATACAAGTTCTGTCACCGTATCATGCCGGCGCCCGAACGCTAGGTCCTTTATCATCCAAGACAGACCAACAGTTACTCCCCGGTCACGCCACACCATGAAATCCCCGTACAGTGAACCGCCGCTATAGTCCGGGGTTCATCTCGTTGTGGGGGGACTTGTTTCTCGAGGTTGTGTCGAGTGCTACGGGTCTCGGCTGGTACGCACACGCACGCCCTCGAGACAAGCCTTGATCTTTGAGCGATCGCCCGTCATGCCAAGCTTCACATACAAGAACCGGCCATCGCAAGAGAAAAGCTGCGACCCGTTTCGATATCCTCATGACATCGGGAAATACTGGTTGTCATCCTCCACAGTAATCCGTACATCCTGGCGTCTGTCATGCGGTTGAGCCCACGCCGAGCCCATCCAGGCCACCCCTGCGTCCACCGGCATACACTAGTCAAGTCCCACATTGCCTTGCTTCTTCTTGATCTGTGCAACCTCAGATATACCACGCACGACACCTGGGCGGATGGGGAGCCTTGCGTCGTGGTTCAGTAAGGGTCAATGGATTGCAGCCGGCCGTGCGGTGCGTCCCTGCCCATCGCCGTGCGTCAACACAGTTTTATTACTGCGTGCTGTCACCGCACTTTCAGTGAGACCTGGACTCTCTTTTCAGGCCTCGTCGACGCGGGACTTGCGACAATAGCATTCAAATTGTCTCGGTTTGAGTAGGGACCGCAGTTGCACAGCAGGGGCCCTCCCTACCCAAGCCTTGCCTGCCTTGGCCTCGAACACTGCCTGCATTCCTGTCCCGAGCTACTCGTGCTCTCGCCATTGTCTCGCGTGCGCAGTTATATCAGTAGCCACCTCCCGGCCAGAGGCTACCTGCCAGCGCAGTCGCCGGGCTCTAACCCGACAACACACATGCTTTCCCTGGACCCCCAGTCGATGACTGGCCGTCGCGCTGTCGTCACCCGCTCACTTCCCTCCCCGGAGCAGGGCATATCGCGAACCCGTAAAGAAAGCACAGCGTCAGCAACACGGAACCGGGCGTCTTCCCTCAACACGATAACAAAGCGCAGATCGGTCACCAGCATGCGAGGGCTTATGCCGCTCGCACTGTCCCCAGCTGGCTCGGCAGCATCTAGCCCGTCAACACCAGGAGAGCAGATCGGAATCATGGTGGACGACTACTTTCCAGAGATACTCGCCAAAGATCTTCAGCGATCAAACTCGACGTCCGGACATCGACCCACCAGGCGTGAGCTCCCCCGTACGGCAAGCCCTGCCAGTGACTGTGGTCCTGCTTCGGCCATGTCTGGAGCCCATCGCTCTATCAGTTCGCCTTACCACGGCGTCTCTGGATCGAGGCGATGCCTCGGGCTCATTCAGGAGCGTAACTCTGTCGTATCCTTCCTCGAGCAACAAAATCACCATCACCACCACCTGTATCACCAACGCTCCGCTTTCGACGAGGACTCGAGCGACGAGGACTCTTTTACTGATTTTTCCGCATCACAAGACGCTGTCATCCGCGCCATGAGCTTCCGGGAGCAGTCCATCATCACAGCTGCCACGTCGTTGGCCTCCTCGACCTGGGCGCCGTCTCCGAGCACGCATCCATGCCACATGGTCAGAGGACACAGTTGGATTGAAGCGGACTCGGAGGACGAAGGTGTACCAGTCGACCACACAAACGAGGAGCACATGCCCGGTCTCTCGCCAAGGCCACCTACGCCGCCAGCTTCCAACAGCAGTGCTGGCTCGACGGCAGAGATGGCTGATATAGCTCGCAGAGCTCCACCAGGCAAAGGACACCGGAAATCGTACTCCATTGGTGGTTTATCCACACCACGCCGAAGGCCCTCTGCTCGTCTGCCGGATGAATCACACAGAGCCGGTACTTCATCACCTGCCCCTGACGTCCCTCGACAACCAACCCAGTCTCGCTCGAAATCGACGTCCCCTGCAATCCATCGACAGCGAGCGTCCAGCTTGCAGACGAGTCGCCATGATGGCTTCACAGCTCCTGTTCAGCACTCGCGACACAAGGGCGCGATCGCTGCGTCACCTCCAGATTATCACTTCTTCAATCGGCCCATCCATGCCGAGGAGGACGATGACTTGTTCAGTGGCGAGGATGCTCCACGACCGAAACGCAGCCGTACTACCAACACAGTCTTCATCCGCCCGTCGCCTCCCCCATCTCCTCTCCCCAGCGTGCAATCATGGCTCAACGGGAGCACACAGGCCTACACTGCACAACCCCCAGGCGACGATTTACCAAAGGCTGTTCCCCTACCACCCAACGTCGTGGAAACCCTGAGAGTATCCATTGCATGTTTTCCAGAGACAATGCTCCTCACTGACAGTCTCACCGTGGAAACTATCCGCAACTACGCCAAAAAGGTTCGACAGCCCAGCAACGACGCCCTACTCAGCAACCTACAACCCGACTCACCCAGCGGAACGCCTCGCAAGTCGCTTTGGAAACGAGCCATGTCATACAAGCGCTCCGCGGCAACGCAGCTCCACCAGAATCCGCGATCATCCATCTCGGGCGGCGGAACTCTCAAATCACCCAGCACAGCAACCCTCGAGAACCACGCGCCCAAGACCTGGGCGCCCCTGAAACGCGTATTCGGCTGCTGCTCTGACTACATACTCGATGCGCTGTGGGCACACATTGTCGCCTACAACTGCATCTCAGCCCTTGTGCCCCCTCTCCCCGCGGGTCGCGCACAGAACCGCCTCAGCAGGCCGCCCACGTCTCATGACAAGGAGGAGATCCCCAAGAAGGCCGCCTCCCTCCTCGGGCTCGCCGCTTCTCCGGACAACTTTACGCGAAAGCTGACGTCGCAACTGCCTTGGGGTCTCAACAAAGAGACCATGGTGACGGAGCAGTCTGCCAAGGCGATCAGCTACGATAATACCGCGAGAGATATACAAACCGGTCTCATGAGGTGCATCATGCGCCTGATCGCGACGGCGAGACTCATGTCTGAGCATGGATCTACGGAAGACAGATCCGTGGAGGTGGAAACGAGTAATGTGGACGTGCTGTTTACGAGATCACTCTGCGAGATTGTGCGCATAGCCGAGGATAACGCATGAGCTGCCTCGCCTCATTCTTTTTGGTTTGGGTGGATCGACGCCCGTGACGGTACGGCCTACAGCCTGAAATTGTTGCATAGAGTTTCTTTGGCGTCAACTCGCTTATCTTGTTTGGTGGACTTGGGATACCCTCATTTGTTTATTAGCTTTTCTTGTTGTTCAGCGAAGGTTGCCGAGTTGATGAATATATGGAGCACCTGATAGTTTTCAACTACTCGGCTTCACTTTGAACTACCCTACGTTGTTGCATGTCCACCTGCCAACATGCCTACCGCATAACTGTTGCAACATCCGAGCTTAATACTATACGAACCATTCTTCATTGAATAGATGGGCATTGAGTTTGCGCATCTATTAAGAGACGCGTCCGTATGTGTAGCCAACGCGATACTGCCTCTAGTAAAACAGTTAAGAAGACGAAAACTTCACAACCCAACTCACTTTGCACAGTCAGCTTCATCTTGCTCTTTTCTTGTTTTATGAAACATGAACCATGCAGGAGTTCCGATAGCGATTCAATCCTATCATCAACCTCAAGGCCCTTCCGAGAGAAGAACTGCCCTCAACCGCTGAATGTCCTCCGCGCTGGCCATGCAGCAGCCTCCCACGACGACGCATCTCCACTCGCCTCCAGCAATGGCGTCTCTGACTACACTCTTCAACTGCTCTTCCCAGCTCTCCCTGCCTCCTGTTTCAATTCCAGATGGAACCTCCCATGTTTGCGTCTCGGTGTTGTAGACTTCACCGTTTGTACCGTCGGGGTAAAGCACCAGTGCCGGCCACTCGTCAAGTTTGCCCTGACCGATCAACTCGCGAATGACGCTCCCGTATACCTCCACTATGCCCTTCAGCTTCCACACCTTGGTGCAGTTGATCCCAATCCCCCATGGCAGTGGACCGTCAGTCGGATCCATCATTGCCCTTACAGCGTCGCCTGCCGAAGCACCGTCGGGAAGTGTCTCGCCCTCGCCAGGGTATAGGCAAGAGACCCAGTGAGGGACGTTCGAGAACACTGGGTCAGAGTGGGCAGCCCTCCTCATAGCTCTGATTTCGTCCAGCCGCGGCACCGTTTCGAGGGCCACATATCCAACGCGCGAGTTGATGTCGTCAACCTCGGCGAAGAGCTCGAACCTCTCCCTATGCCACTCTTCAAGTGCCTCCATCGATTCGTGTTCCGCATCGTACTGGCCGCTGTACTCTTGACTGGGAATCATGCATGCGCCATAGGGACCGATGCTGAGCGCTACTTGAGCCGATCCAGCCTGTTTGGCAACGTCCACCGCGGTAGCCAAGTATCGACTGATCTCATGTTTTCCAACACCATGGGGATGGTCCTCTGATTTGGTGTTCTTGAAGCCATGTATGGAGACTTGATATGTGGCCGTGAGGAGAACATCGACAGGGACATCGCCGAAGTCGGACTGGCAGGCGAGCAGGGTTTTGGGATCAGATACCAGGAGGTCAGTGGACCATAGGGGAGTCTTTGACGACGAAAATTCCACACCGTATTTTTGTTGCAGAGAGGTTCCTAGACCGCCGTCTAGAATGAGAATTGGCGCCATGACCGAGGTTTGTGAACACTTACCGGAGCGATACACATGACGGGAGGCGTATGGGGGCGTGGAGAGAGTTCGATGGCTATTTGCATGTATCCTATACCTGCATAATTGTACCACGCAATTTCCTGTAGCCCGTTGGAAGTTGGTTTCCTAAGCCTAGAATTCATTTTGCAAGTGGTGGCAGCAATAAATGATGGGTCAATCCGCTCAAGATGTCGTGCCTGAAGAGGCCACGCGAAATATCGATCCTAACGTCATTGATGGTGAATAACCCGCCCCTGCTTCTCGTAGATTTCAGTCTGACCATTTTTAGCCCTGCCTCCACGCCCGCGACTCGTGTCCATCGAAGCCCTGCAGAGCACCCCCTGGGCGCGGACTGCGCGTGTGTACGCTGAAAACGATGCCTCGTACTTTCTCAAAGTGAATAAAGTCGTCAGCGTTTTTTCTGAGTTTTGCTAAGCGCTCCAGGTGACAAAGGGGCAACAGAAGCGCGACATGGTCCGCGGTGAGTTCGAGGCCATGTCCGTCATCCACGCCTCAGCCGGCTCACTGGCCCCGAAACCCATTGCGTGGGGGGAGTATGCAGATATCCAAGAAGTCTATTTCTTCCTGTGCGACTTTATAGATATGGACAAGCGGCTGCCCGAGCCCCATGCCTTGACATCGTTCCTCATCGCCCTTCACGAAACAGGAACATCCCCTCAGGGGAAGTTTGGGTTCGAACACGCTACGTACCACGGTGGCATCCGTATTGAACATGGGTGGCATGACACCTGGGAAGGGTATTTCTCTTCCACCACGAAATCGTTATTAGAAAGAGAGCAGCGCGTTTGGGGCTGGACACCTGAACACATGGAATTGGAGACTGCTTTCTTCGACAAGGTGGTTCCCAGGCTTCTCCGTCCCGTGGAGAGCCGTGACGCAGGCATTCGACCAAGCTTTATACACGGAGACATGTGGCACGACAACACTGCTGTTGATCGCAAGACGGGCAATGTCGTGATATTTGATTCTGCAGGCTTCTATGCCCACCATGAGTGTAAGTTGAGCTCGGCAGTCAATGCAAGGGCGAACGGGACTGACGATCCAAAGATGAACTGGCAGTCTGGCGACAGACCTGGAATAAGATTGGGAGGGACTACATCGACGCGTATCTGGCGCAACGCCCCCCCTCTGAGCCGCAGGAGGACTTTGAAGATCGAGCCCTTTTGTATGGGCTGAGGGTCAACATCCTCGATGCCATACTCTACGACAAAGAAGAACAGTATCATGTGGAGTAAGTGTCGTCTGGCACAAGACTGACTTTGGATAGCAGCTGACAGACAACAGTGTGATAGACTCGATGAGGAAACTGGTGTCCAAATTTGCGCATAGTTAAGACCACGAGACTGGTCTGCTGCTTGGCCAAGTCTACCTAAACTTCTTGGCCGCCTCGGCAAAGGTCATCCCCTCCGCCAATGCCTTGGCCACATTCGTGTCAGCCTCGACTTGCTTCCTCATCAACGGCAGCGCCTGTTCCGCCAGACTCCTAGGCAGCACCACGACCCCGTTCATATCCGCAATAGCATAGTCCCCAGGATGAATCCGGACGCCCTTCTGATCCTCCCCACTCTGCAGCTCCACGGGGACGTTGACACCCGTCACCTTGACGACCTCCCCGGGTGCGGCGGTGCCCACGTCGCGCGCCCACAGCGGCCACGCCTGATCACGCTGCTCCTGGAGATCGCGGAAGCGCCCGTCGACAATGGTACCGGCGGCTTTCTGGTACTTGGCGCGGGCGGTCATGAGCCCGCCGTAGACGGCGTTGGGGACCCTGGGGGAGGAAATGAAGATGACAGCGCCTTCTGGGACACTGTCGATCTGAGCAAGCGGTCAGTGCTGTGCTTGTGGCGGGATGGAGAGGACGTACATAGTGCTTCGCTAGCTTTGGCGCTGTGTCATCCAGAGGGGAGTACTTGACCGTGTAGAGGGGGCCTACGATCTTGGTGTCCTCCTGCTGGCGGGTTGGCGACCAGTTGCTCAGGCCAGAGAGGAAGCCCCCATTACGGACTTGGGGGTCTTTCAGCTTTTGCAGAGCATCGCTGACGTCGCAGCTGCTGCGGTCAGATACGGACATATATGAAGTGGTCAAAGTGTACTCACGTGGTGTACTCTTTGAGAGCTTCGACAACGGGATCCTTGGCCGCCATGATAGCCGAGGTTGTGAATGGCCGAGGTGGCGTGAGCTTGAGACAAGGCGTGATGGCGCGTGTGCGAATCAATATCCTTTGCATGGGGTGTCCTATGATCAGAATTCGCGATGAGATGCAGTGGTTCGTTAGGGTATCATTTGATGCGCAGCTTGAAGGTGTGTACATGACAGTGGATGCCGACTCGAGGCTGCCGAGATTCAGATGGGGCGCCCGCACGATCCGGTCTCGGAGCGGGATCCGTCCGCGCTGTGCATGTCCGGGATCTTGGACTGGCAAGTTCCGTTGCAAGTGTCGATTTACATTTATATAATATGACACAACCCATCAACAAGATCACACGTTTCAGACAACGTACACAAGCTAGGCCATGTCTGCCACCACCATCGCCGTACTCTACCCCTTCCAAGTCCACCCAGGTGCCATCAACCTCCTTCAATCCACGCCCAGCATCACCACAGCGAAGCAGTACACAACACGCCCGCTCTCAACTCAGAAATTGTAGCGGAGCTCTCCATCGCCCTAGCCTTTAGCCTCTCGCGGCACGCCACGGGAATTGACCGGCGCGTCGGCAACGGTGAGACCGTCATCCGAAGCCAGACGATGGGCATCAGCCTATCTGAGAAGACAGTCGGTATCGTCGGCATGGGCGACATGTACATCCAAAACGCCAGGAAATGGAGGAGTGTGTGCTCTGCTAACAATATCGGGTGTGGCCCCGTGGTGCCCAAGGAGGCGTGGGCAGACATCTCTCGCAAGCGCATTGACACCCTTCAGGGGCTGCTGCCCGAGGCAGACGTTGTGACGCTGCGCGTGCCCCTTTTGCCGACGACAAGAGGACTTATTGGCGAAGAAGAGCTGTCGCTGATGAAGAGAAATCCCATACTCGTTAACACTGCGCGAGGCAGGCTGGTGGACGAGAAGGTGTCGGGTTGCTGGAGGCGCTCAAAAAGAGGAAGCTATGTGGCGCAGTACTCGATGCAATGGAGGTCCAGTCGCTGACGACAGACATATACCCCGAGTTGCTGAGCTTGGACAATGTCATTCTGACGCTGCGCAACGGGGTGTCGACGGTCGGGACACAGAGTGGCAGCGGGTGTGAGGCCATAAGAGTGTTCTGGCCGTCCTGGCCGGCGAGAGCAATGTGCCAGGGAGGCTTTTATAAATGGTGTGACACTCTTCTCTCTTACGTCTTCACAGGATGCATCATAAAGTTGGGGGCGTAGATCTGGCCCTCGTGAACGCGCATGAATCCGGGGAGATCCTCCGCGTCGACTTGATTGCGCATCCACACATCCATGATTCTCCTCGGCCAGTTGCTCACCCACCAGTACGACAAGCCCCTGTCGGCAAAGCTTTGCGGATTCGCCATGGACAGGCCTTTCTCGCTCCTTTCCGGCAGATGACCGAAGAATGGTCTCTTGTCGCGATGCCTCCACTCGTCTTCTAAACGTGATGTCTCGTCATTCTCGTTGCCGGGACGCTTTTTGGATCGTTCGGCCGAATAGGGGTGCATGTACACCGGCAGCGGCGGATAGGAAACCTTGAGACCGAGCCAAAGAGCCCACGTGGGCATGGTACTCTCTGAGGGCAGACTGAGTCCCGTCTCAAACTGCGCCCGATGCGCCTCCAGCAAGACCGTCCTCGACACTCTAAAGATCGCAGGTGGACGGAACCAGCGTGGCGTGTCATGGCCCTTATTCAGATGTCCCTCGAGCCAGCCACCAAAGACCCACGTGGAGGTCCTCACATCAGCGCAGAAGCCCGTCGCAATAAACGCTGCCTCCTCCCCTACGCCCCACGAGAAGGCGTCATCTTGGGACTTGTCTTGAGGAACCGGACCGATAGGCTTGACATCCGAGATGCGCAAGGCCGGCCAAGCGCGTGACTTGCCCTTGTTCGCCTCGTCAACCCTCACCATCAACTCCTCATAGTCCTCGTACAGCTCCTCGCTGTAGGGAAACGTCGATCTCTCTAGTGCTTGCTTGCGCGGCTCCATCCGCGCAAAGTCCGCCATGACGTCCAGCATCTCCCCCGCATGGCCCATGAAGCGCTGGTCCAGCTCAATCTGCCAGTAGTGGTCGAACTCGGGGTAGTGCAGCGCGAAGAGCTGTAGCGGCTGGTTGATCTGGAACATGGAGCCGTGTTCCTTGACCTGGGGGTACCACGACGCCAGCAGGTTCTCGTCCCACAGGACGGCGATGGACGCGAGCTCGGGCGGGAGCTTCAGGGACTCGAGAGCCTTGCGGTAGGCTTCTGTGGAGGTGTGGATATCGCGCTTGCGGTCTTTGATGTTGATGAGTAGAAAGACGGTGTACTCGGCGCCTGTGTCGAGGCTTGCCTCGGTGATGAGCGAGCGGAGCATGTATATGTTCTCCGATTTGTATCCGACGCCTTCCCAGGAGCGCACGACGATAGCTGTACGGCGGGAGGGGTTCAAAGTCGTTTTCCAGTGTGGCGTGGCGTCGATCGTCGAGTTTGCCAGGAGCGTGAAGCGAGGTTCGTAAATTGTCGTCGGGGGTTTCGGGAACCGCCGCGCATTGGCAGCAGCGCAGTCGTCCTGCAGGTTTGCCCACGAGACCTTGTCCCAGTCTGGTTGGGATCGCGCATCGTTGGTTGTCGTGAAGCCGTACGGCCCATATCGATCGGAAGCTGTCATCCACATTCTCTTCAACCCCAGCTCGCGTTGTGATCCGATGAAAGGTGTCGGGTACTCTGAGCCACCAGTCAGTTACTGCGCCCCAGTCTTCTTCCAATGTACCTACCGGTGTCAAGATCCGAAAAGCGTAGCGCACCGTCATTGTGGTCATCCTTCAAGTTCCCTCGCGGTCCGATACATGGCAGCCTCTTCGCCAGGGGCTTGAGAATGGTCATGTTCATCCTGTCACTGCCATCGCGGATGATGCCCTCCAAGGGCGCTGGCCCAAGCCATTCCCTCTCGGAGCCAATATAGAAGATCCCAATCGATAGCCATAGGAGTAAAGGCACGATTGTCCAGCGAAGCCAGCGGAGCGAGCCGAGACGCGTAGTCCAAGTTGGGAGTTTCATGTCGCGATCAATGTCGCTCGCCGTCGTGCTCGTTGTCGCTATGTCATTATTGGGCCACGCTTGCTTGGCTGTACGTACAGTCTCAGATTATTGCTTGAGACATGGTTATGTATCCAGCACGCATGTCAGGAGCAGATTTGCAAGAGATTGAGCGTTGACTGAAAACAAAGTCAGCATGTGGATTCGACTCTCCAATGACGCGTCAGGGTTGGTGACTGTGTGGCAACGACGCAGGACAGGGATCGGAGTCGGACGCTCGGATTCAAACATGAGGAGCACTAGGCATTTCGCTTTGGTGCATGGAGGCCGTCGTTGACAATGAATTAGTGCTATCTACCGCCGGCGAAGTGTTGTTACGTATCGCAGGATTAACCTCATCAGATAAGATCCCGGGTTTGGAGTGGTCGCGAATGAGCAAGGCTGGAACGGGGAGGATATCTCTGTCTAGGGTAGGCAGTAATATCACTCGTTGACGGGAGTTAACCCCTGATGGTGCTTCACGAATGCCCTCTTTGTACTATTCACAACAGACTACCACATTTAAACCTCCTTGAAGATTCTCGCCGCAAGTTTCAATTGAAATAGATGACCGGAAACGAGAGACCCATCTGCGACTCTGTCTTCGATTCTTCGAGCACTTGCCAGTACGCCACGAGATACCCTCACAATCAAAGAGATCAGCGATGCCCTGTGGCTAACAATATCTAACAGGAGTAGGATCCACAACAAAACGCCTCGGCTCAAAGGCTGAGCGGGCCGTGCCGCAGAGATTATGTCTTTCTTTTTATTTAGGTCTACTCTCACTACATGACGAATTTCAAGTCGGTATCTACCAAAGTCAGTTGCTGTCCATGCAGGGCCAAAGAAAGACGGATGCATACCTAGTGGATGGCTGCACGACAGCTGCGGCTTCTGCGAGTAGTCATCTTCCAGAATGTCGCGGATGCTATTGAGCAGCTCGACGTAGGTCTGGTCTCCATTCGCTTTGAGTGCCGAGATGAAGGCATAAGACATGGCACCCGTGGCCTTGGCGTTGATGGTAGCGTCCGCCCTGCAACATGTTAGCCTCTGCCCTTGCATCCGAGTTGTCACGCATGAAGACGTACGATGTCTGGTCGTCCTTGCTGCCGGACCACATGATGACGTCGGCTGGACTCGTCTTGGTCTCAATGGTCTTCTTGTACGCGTCGTCACCCATATACGCAGTTTTCGCAAAGCCAAGGACGGCACTACCGACGCCCATAATGTTACCCGATGCATACGCTTTGACCGCGTCGAGGAGACCCTCGCCCGCCTCCTTGGCCAGGTTGGGCTCCTTGAGAACACCCTTTGTCGAGTAGATGTACGGCAGATCCATGCACGAGGCCGAGTGACATGAATCGAAGATGGCAGTGAGACGCACACCCGGCTGCAAAGGCTTGACGACGCGCCAGTGGATCTCGTCATCGACAATGTGGCCGTTCTGCTGGTGATCGACAGGGTAGATGACCTCGTCGAAGCCATCGTCCTCGTCGCCATCCAGGTCCTCCGTCTGCCCACCGTGACCAGAGTAATGGAGGAACAGGGAGTCGTTGGGCTGGGCATCCTTCACGAGCCACTGCATGGCGCGAATAATGTTCTCCTTGGTCGGGTGCATGACGGGGTTCTTCTGATCGTCCGTCAGCATGACCATGTCCTCGCGCCTGTAGTTGTACCGCTCCATGAGGAAGGTGGACAGGTTGTGGACGTCGTTGATGCAGCCTCTGAGCTCGCCATCCTGGCCAAAGTAGTTGATGCCGATGAGGAGCGCCTTGCGCTTGCCAGTGCAGTTGGAGTACTGGAACGTGTAGCCCTCAGGGGCACCGTGACCGAACTGCTGAGGGGCGGAGGGCGGCGGCGGGCCCGACCTAGCGTGGCGAGCGGGATATGGAGCCGAATGGAGAGGATAGCCGTACACATCACGGCCTGGGGGCGGAGGATGCTGGGGAGGAGGTGGTTTGGATGGGCGGGAGGAGCCCGAGTAGCCGCCATGACCTTGGCCGTAGCCGGCACCGCCATCGTAGCCACCAGGGGGAGGAGGGGGGGGAGGACGGTTGTAGCCGCCTTGCTGGCCGCTGTAGTGACTGGGAGGCTGGTCATAGCCGCCGCCGCCGTAGCCCTGAGGAGGGCCGGGAGGTGGCGGTGGTGGTGGGTGATGTCCATACCCTCCATAGCTGCCTCCGCCGTGGTGTTGCTGCCCGCCGTAGTGACCCTGGCCAGGGTAGCCTCCGCCACCGTAGTGTGACATGGTTGCTGCTGCTGCTGCTGCTGCTGCTTCTATCCGTCGAGTACGGCTCAAAGCAGCCGCAATGGTTGAATGAACAGGCACCGATGGAAAGAGATGGATAGGGGGAAAGGGAGGGGAAGACTGGACTCGAGCGTTGACACAATCCAATGGGCTCTGCTGGCTGAGGCTGAGGGGTATGGAGGCTGGGCACGTACGCGTACTCGGAGGGGTAGCTGCATGTGGGCTTCAGGGTCGGAGTTGCTGAGCGCGGGACTTGGCGGGGGAGCCTGATACCTAGCCCGGCGCTAGTGGAGGGGCTTTGTTAATCTTCTAGTGCGCCCTAGGGGACCTTAGGGGACCAGACTGCGGGGCCACGAGGGGCATTTTGCGCACTTCCCCCACTATCTTCACATTTGCCTGACCGCACACTCAACACGCGACATGTCTCGCCAGGGCGCAGCATGCGATGCCAAGCTTTTCAATATGCTCATGTGCAACGTGCTTACGCGTCTTTTCGGCCCCCATGTCCCTTGTCATTGGCCCGTGAGCACGATGCGGAGCGAGGCCTCCCAAGTTCTAACAGCTGGTGACTTGACAAACGGCAAGAGCCGCCGCCCCCTCCCCCCCCAAATGCTAGCGATACGATTAGCGCGTATCCCGCTCAAGATACAGCGAGCACGCAGCGTATCGAGGCACCTTTGACTGGCTGCAGCTTCCAGTCCTCTCTTTGGATTCCTCATCGCCCGCCTTGGCATCTTCACAACCCCAACCTCAACCTCAACCTTATCCTCGACGGAACCTCCAACGTTAGTCTCCGTGCTGATACCGACCGGCGAACCTACTCTTTTATTCCACCGCAGGTCTCCTCCGCGAGCCACATCCCTCAACCTCTACTCGCCTCGCGTGAACCAGAGCCAAGACATCCGGAGGTATCCAACATCCCGTCACCTTCTCCCTCAATAAGTCCACGGCCCTCTCGATTCGCCCAACGCCTTCCACCTGACCCGCAAGGACTCATTGCTCCATTAGACTCCTGCTGGCACTGCCCGTGAAAAAGAACCGGATCAGGCTGCAAAACTCCCCTCTTCTCCTCTTTTGTACCAGAAAGGCCCACAGCAATTGCTTGACCAAACACTACATCTCCTCCCCTCCTTTTTCTGACACTTTTCTTCACGTTCTTAATTTACACCTCTTCGACCTCCCTTAGCAGACGACAAGCCCACCGCTGCCACCTGCCCACCATGTCTTTCTTCAAGAAGATCGTCAAGGAGTTTGACGAGCTGCGCATGGGCGACAAGGACAAGGACAAAGAGGAGGAAAAGAAGACAGATGAGCACTCCTACTCGGGCGGCGATGGCCAACGAGGTGAACCCTATCGCAGCGACAGCCATCACAGCGGCCAGAGCGGCCACTACGGCGGTTACGCTCCCCCTCCCCCAGGCAACTATCCTGATCACAGAGGACCAGAGGGTTATGGCACACCACCCGGTGGCCATGGTGGCTACGGCGGTCAAGCCCCCCCGCCACCAGGCAACTACCCTGACCACAGAGGACCCGAAGGCTACAGTGGTCCTGATGGCCCTGGCTATGGATGTTTGTGATACCCTTCCCACTCTAGTATCTTCGATTGACCTCTTCCCTCACAGCTCCCCATCCACCCCCGTCCTACGGCGGTGGCGGCTATGGAGGTTACGAGAACCGCGGCGCCCCTCCTCCTCCCGGTGAGCACTACGGTGGAGGCGACCCAGCCTACCAGCCTCCCTCCGACAAGCCCCCTCTGCCCCACGGCTGGAAGCCCTTCTTCGATCAGCGTGCGCAGCGTTGGTACTATGTGGAGGAAGCCACCGATCGCACTCAGTGGGAGGCACCCGGCTTTGAAGGTCACGGTGGCGAGCACGGCTCGCGTGGCTTCGGCGGTCCTGGCGGCGACCACGGCGGCTATGGTGGAGGTCATGGCTACGGCGGTGGCTATGGCGGTCACGGAGGCGGTGGTTATGGTGGTCAGGGCGACGGCTACGGCGGTCATGGTGGCGGCTATCCAGGTCATGGTGGTGGCTATGGCGAGCACGGGAACTACGACGAGTCCCGCGGCCACGGTGACGAGGGCAAGGAGAAGAGTGACAAGAAGGCGATGCTCATGGGCGCGGCCGGTGGTCTGGCTGTCGGCGCTGTCGGTGGCGCCCTGATCAACGAAGCGCTCGACGACAGCGACGATGAGGCGCACGCTGCTCCGCCCCCTGAGACCACGGTTGTCGTGCAAGACGACGATGGCAATGCGGCTGTCACCGAGGTGCACCACCACTACTACGAGGCGCCCCCTGAACCTGAGGAGGAGGAAGAGGAGGGCAGCTCTTCATCCTCTTCCAGCAGCTCAAGCGAGGAGGAGGAGGAGGAGGAGGAGGACGACGACTGAGTTTTTTTCCAGCTCACATCCGGCGGATCTGGTCTGAAAACCCTCCTCATACTACATTTCCTTTTGTACACCAGGTAGCCTGTACACGGCGAGGCGAGCTCGTAGGAAAGAACGCGGAAAATAAACGCAATGGATTGACGATTAACGAGAACGATGAGTACGGAATCAATTTTTGATGCAACGAAGGGATTCAAGAATTCGAATGCACCTCGCATATTGCTGTAATTGTTCAAAGTGTTGCATATTGCTGTAATTGTTCAAAGTGTTGCTTTTTGAGGTAGTACTTTAGAGGCAGCACGTGTCTACCGCTTCTCACACACAGGATTTCCTACGCGCAAAGGGTGTCTTCTGGACTATGGGAATTAGTCAATTATTTCTGAAAGTACATGGCTTCCCCCGAATCTTAATTACCTTCTCTAGTAGTTAGTCCACGTGGAGAGGGGGGATGTCAAGAGCGGGCTTTATGGCTCGCGTTAGTTCATTGACCAGCATGGAAGCTAAATTGTGACAGACATCGTCTCCAGAGGCTCGAGTCAACAGCCAAAAGTCTTTGATGTATGTGATCTATACTGCCAGTGAATAATCCTCCGGGAGGTCACATTCAGAGATGTTGGTGACGAAGCTGGGCACCTTTGGCGCTTCCCTTGCCGCTGGCATTGTCACTATTGAGGACCGGAACTAGTTGAGTATGCATTTTAATTCTCGGTCGTCTCAGCGGGTTGTCTTAAGTTTATGATGTTCTGTCGTTGGAAAACCTCATTGGTGTACAGTGTCTGCCCACAGCCGTGAGCCACTCGTAAGGTTCATGCACCCACCTGTGTTGATCCCATTTCCTCCCCTGATCTTTAGAGGGTAGTACGGGGCCCTGGGTGGTTTATTCCCGGACTGGCAAGTGCTCGTCATTCGCGTGTCGTGTTAGGGGGAGACAAAGGCAACATCTGTCGCTAATCAGGGGAAGCAAGTCCGTTACTAATGCTGGGTAGAGGCGCTAGTAAGTGATGCATCCATGACCATAGCATCTGTATGAAATGAACTAAGCAATTCCATCCTTGATGATTGCGTGCTGTGAGAAGGATCTGAGCTGTAAGTGTAACGTATCGCAGAGACATGCTCAGCCTGACTTGGACTTGGCCTTGAACTGCGAATGTGAGATAGAACTGACTAGACGGTAATGACTTCCTAATGAAGCAATCGGTCAGAAGCATGATTAAGCTTGTGAGGGCTCTAAGTTAAATAAGACCCTAGCTCCAATCTGTCAGGACGTCCATCGCTGGGTCACGCCGCCAAAGCAATACAAGCTTCACTACTAGTACAGTACTTACTTACCATCCAGGTACTTACTTGCGTACTCAACTCCAGCCTGCACAAGAAGAAACATATTTGCTTTCCGCACCATCCAACAACATCCACCTCCGAACAGCGTCCCACAGCCAGGATGCCGAAGCCGAACTCGATCGTGCCATTGTATCCGGTCTACAAGGTCAAACTCCGTCTCTCCGTAGGCGATCCCGACATGCCGAGCTCTGTCTTCCATACCATCATCTTTGTGGAGACTGGAACCCATGGCCACGGCTCTGGCATGCAGCACTATGTCACCGGCGACATTGTGCAAGGCATGCATTACGAAGCAAAGCACTGTCCTGGCCACAGCAAGTCAGAGAACCTGTACTCCAAGGAACTCATCGGTCACGTCGAGGCCTCGAGCTACCCCAAAGAAATCGACAAAGTTCTCCGCGCGCTGCCAGCACCGCCCAGGCAAAAGGCATTCAACAAGTCCACGATGAGGACGGAGCCCGTCAAATCCTGGGATCCCGTGACCTTTTATGGCCCGGGCGATGTCCGCGAGCCGTTGAAGAAGTGCACCGAATGGACAGAAGATGATGCCATCCCGGCCCTGATCAATTCGGGTGCCCTTGTGCAGAAAAAGTAACTTGACGTGGAGAGTTGGGTGGTTTTGCGTTAAGATCCTGATGATCAACGGACGTTGATGGTTTTTGAAGCCAGGGGACAAATATGACACCACAAGACTACCAGAGCCCCAACTAGTAATTCAACCACAAACAAATTGGATGTATCTTCTCAGTCACATGCTATGTAATGATTTGTCAGGAGTTTTTGGACCATGCAGTAATTGCTAGGTGGGAGACGTTCCTATGCCAGGAACTTAGCCATTGTGTTCTGCGTGGGCTCTAGGGTAGGCAATGCAGCGCCCTTTTCAAGATACGGTTGATGGCGAAAAAGCAAATTGGGCGCATCAGAACTCTTAGTCTCTCCCAAACGATCCAGGCCACAGAAGCAAGCTTCGACAAAGAGTCCGGGGAGGCACAGCGGCAGTCGTCGGCTAGGCCGTCCGTCTCCATCCGGGGTGGATGAATCCACTTCCCCGATCGCCGCCCCGGGCGTCCCGGCTCTCATCGGCCCCGGCCAAGAAAAGACCAACAAGCCGGGGGCCACGAGTCACGGCACTCAGACGAAGGACAAAAATGCGTCACACTTTCGGCAGACAGCGACAACCAGAAAAAACGCATCGGTGCCCCTGAGAATTCCACGGAAGATCGACGTTTGATCCTCGCCACTTGCGCCTTTGACCCACCTTTGACGCACAGCTGTCGTCGTTATGAAATCATGCTGGACCTCATCGTCCGGCGCATTGAGCAAGCAAATGGGGCCCCCAATCGTGACCGGAGGTAGCTTGTAGTCAATCAACGATAGTTTTGACATCAGATGACCAGGGAAGCTGCGAATGACGATTATGTCAAGTCAGTGCCCTTGCACAAACTGCAGATATAGAAATAAAAGGCAACAACCGTGAGCAAACAAGCAGGGGCCACTACTGACAACCATCCCCTGCCACCTCAATCATGGAGTATAAGAGTCACACTGCCCAGCAGGCCATTGTCTCTCCGGAAATGCAGGCAATTAACGTCAACGCCGATATGTCACGAGACCCTCACACACCGCACGTCGCCCCGCGACTCAGCGACAATGACGATCCCGCCATTCACGCCATGGAAGCCGTCTACGGACCCCTAACGACCCTCATGGACCACGAGGTCACGACGTGGACACCACCCGCCGGCTCCGGCGGCCATCTCGGTCGCTACCTCTGGACCGACGCCTTTGGCGTCCTCAACTTCATCACCCTCGCCGAGGAACTCGACTCATCCAAGTACCTCACCTGCGCCATGGCTCTCGTCGCCAGCGTCCACGACACCCTCGGCCGTACGCGCGATCAGTCCCGCCGTCTCGACCACGCCACCGACACGGAGCCCCTCCGGGGCGGCCTGCGCATTGGCAAGGCCCACGAGGCCGGCGACGATAGCGACGGCCAGTACCACCACTACCTCACCATGTGGATGTTTGCCCTCAACCGACTGTCCGTCGCCACGGGCGATCCGCGGTACAACGACCTCGCCCTGCAGCTCGCTCAGGCTATACACCCGCGCTTCTTCGTGCACGGAGTCGAGGCCACACGTATGGTGTACAAGATCAGCGTCGACATGGAGACCGTCCTGAACCCACAAGAGGGCAGTCTCGACGCCATCCTCGGGCTCGGGGTGTTTCGTCTCCTGCAGGCGACGGCCGTCACGCAGGGTCGTCCGAGTGGTCTTTTGAAGCAGGAGATTGTTGGCTACGAGGAGATTCTGAGACGCGATGGACAGGTGCGCCCAAGCTCGGATCTGCTCGACCTGGGCATCGGATTGTGGGCGACAAGTCTCTTCCCCGGAGAGGAGTGGGCCCAGGCCTACCGCGAGGCGTCCCTGGCGATGGCCGAGAAGCAGCTCGATCCGCAGTCATCCCTGTTGCAGCGCGACACGAGCCATCGACTCGCCTTCCGGGAGTTTGGGGCTTGCCTTGGGATACTGTGCGCCGATGTGGAGAACGCCAGGTTAACAGACGACGTGCAGAGTGTCTTGAGTTTTTGGGAGCATCACGTTGCCCAAGGGCAGAGTGAGAGGGTGCAGCCTATTTCCAAGGTGATGTATGCTGCCTGCCGGCATCCAGGAGGTACGCTACTGTATGAACTCTCACTCCAGAATCCCAGGCTAATAGATACAGTGTTCAAAATCTCCTACCTACAAGGCAAGAAGCTACCCGAAGGCCTGTGATGGTCATGGGCGTGACGCTACATGTAAAAGTAATTAGTATGCATCGGGTTTGGAGAAGCGTATGTCATTTCACTTGTCGATCAATGAGAGATCCAATACAATCATCAATTTCAATAGCAGAGCGTTGTGCGTAGCTATCTACCCAACATGTGCAAAGTTTGAGATGGCTGCTCCCGGTTACTCATATGTTGATCACAGTGCCGAGCAGTGTCTACAAAGTAGTCGTCTTCTCATCACCAATGACGGGGTCGGCGTCGCCAGTGCGGTTAAAGTCGTCCTCGGGAATCTCATACTTGGCCGTCTTGCGGGCAGGGACGTGGTTGTGGAACTAGATAATATCAGCGTGTGGCAGAGAAACCTATGTCGAGAGAGCCATACCATGATATCCATCTCACCAAACGTGCGGTCTTTCGTCTCGGGAAGACGGAAATAGCCCCAGATAAAGGTGATCGTGGCAAGCGAGGACCAGAACAGAGCAGCCTTACCCTTGAGGTTCCAGTCATCAGGCGCCATCATCTTGGGGTTGATGACACCACCACAGATAATGTTTCCAACGTAGTACACGCTGCGGGCAATGACGATGGTCTGCGTGCGGAGACGGGACGAGCCAATCTCAGCGACAATGGTGTAGACAATGGGTCCGACGGAGGCCGAGTACACGCCCAGCCAGACGACACAGAGGATAGACTGTGCCCATGCGAGAGGAAGGGTTTGGTTAGGGGCCAGTGCGAGGAAGCCGACGGTCCACAGGATGCAGGCCAGCGTGCCGAAACCATACAGCCAAATCCTGCGACGACCGATCTTGTGGATGAACGCCCACGAGATGACCGTGCAGACGAAAGCAAGACCTTTACCACCCAGCGTGATGGCGTAGGATGTGTTGGCGGCAATGCCAGTCTGCTGGAAGAAGAAGGACCCGGAGTAGCACAGTGCACCACCGTTAGTAATGTGGGACAGAAAGGACATGCAAGCCACCTCGGTACGGCGAAGATTTGTGCCCCTCAAGGTGTCCCAGATGTTGGCGCCCGCCGTCTCCTCAATCTCAATCATGTTGGTGTGCACCATGAGCGCGACCGCGTTGTCGTAGTTAATGTTATGCTCCGGCTCGGAGAGGCGCTTGAGCGAGTGCTTCGCCTCCTCCAGGCGACCCTGGCGGACGAGGAACCAGGGCGACTCGGGGGCGAAAAAGGCGGCGAGGGCCAGAGGGACAGGCCACATCCACTGCAGGGCAAAGGGGATCTTGTAGCCCCAGCGCGTCGGGTTGTCGACGAGCGAGTTGAGGACAAGGGCCGAGATGAATTGCCCAATGACCCAGCAGAGGTTGATGTAGGACGTCATGTAGCCACGAATGGCCAGGGGCGTCACCTCGGCAGCGTACGAAGGGCCCGTGGTGGCAAAGACACCCCATGGAACGTTGCAGAGCGTCTGGCCGACCAGCAGGATCTCAATGTTGGGTGCAAAGAAAACCACAAAGACAAAGGCCGAGAGCCAGGCGAGACTGCCAATGAGGACCTTGCGGTGACCCCAGCGGGCAGTGGCCCAGCCGTTGAGCAGAGCACCGACAATATTGCCGACGGCGGCCATGCAGTTGAAGCGCTGTTGCCAGACGGATGAGATCTGATAACCGTTCTCTTCATTGTAGACCTTGCCGTACTTTTCGCGAAAGGTAGGATACCCGTAGAAGGAGCCGAGCAGGGTGACATCGTAGCCCTCCATGATGACGGTCATGGAGATTACTGCAATGGTCAGTATGGGGAGAGGCATTTTATGCGTGTAAAGTGCTTTGATCACGTACAAAAAGACCACATGGCAGCCTTGCGATACGTCTTGAAGCCCTGGACGAACCCTATGCTGTGTTCCTGCGCGGTGGCCTCTATGGCACTGGCGTTGAGGCCCTTGTCGTGAATTCCGACATTTTCGAGGTGTCGGAGGTCCTGGTTGGATTCGACCCCGAGGTCGGTGGCGTCGGTTCTCTTCTCGGAAGCCATGAGGACGGATGAGATGTGGCTCTGTCCTTTGGTATGTGGGTGAACAGCAGAGATCGATGAGGTGAAGAAACGGCGGATCGCCGACTCTTATCAACGAGCACTCGGAAGGGATCAATATAGCCTGAAAGCCAGGCTGTTCAGGATAATGGCCAGGCATGCCCTTGCGAGCCTCCTCCCCGGTTGTCAGGAGGCCCCGTTCAGGATCGAGCATTACCAACAAACAATGGCCCCATTCGTTGCTAGCGTCTGTTCCACGACCTATTGGTGGAAAAGACGACAGACAGTGAGGGGTTCATCCTGGATTCCTGGCCCGGCATCCCCCACGGTGGGCCAAACAGATGAATCGAGGATAGCCATTGGACCTTGGCTTGGGGAAAGGTCGGGGGCGGGTCGTACGCTCGCTAAAGATGTGGGGGGTAGCGTCTGGGGTAAACGGGTTCTCAACAACCCGAGCGTCTTTTGCTCTGCTCTTGTGGCCTGACATCTGCTCCAGAGCCTTGATGGGCCGTGCGTCAAGACCCGTCGGCTGATGTAGGAAGCCGGGTGCAAGTGTCGGATGTGTCTGCAAATGAAAAAGCGACGGATGGGACTTGAGAGTCCAGAGTCCAGACTTCAGCTCCGGACGCTGCATGTGGCATCCGTCGTAAATGAGCATGAATGAATCAGTGCGTCGACCAGCACAAGCTACAGGCTCTGTATCTCCGGTGCGGCTGAAGTAAGTCGCCTAATTATGTTGGCTCCCCATCTTGAAGAGCCACGACCGATGCTTGGCTCTTGGGTATCATCGGTTGCGTCGACCCAGGCTCGGAATCTCGGGTATGTCAACAATCAAGTGACCCACTATCGTGCAGCTTTTCTTTATTACATTCTTTTTCTGGTTTGAGGTACGATCCACGGATAGCTAAGCTTGTCTTCGAGGTTCAAACTTCAAAGTGTGTTATTCTCCTTGGGGACGACGTGTGATCACTCTCGGCCATCATCTGCCCCACCCAGCGCCATGGGCAATGGAGATGGCATAAACGCGCGGAGCATCCGCCGTTCACCGTCTACATGGTGCCAATTCCTTCTTGACGCTTCTCTAGCTGCCTTGATCCCAGCGCAGCGAGATTTGCAAGGAGAAGACTCCTGGTGTTGTATGTGTCAGACTAGCGTACAACGGATGCGGCATTGCGCAACGCGGATTGGCTCTGGCTTATGCACGTGCGGGCAAGTTCTGGAAGATGGAACTGCCTGTACCGGATATTCTGTCGGGAAAATAGACAATTGAATGACTCACAGATGGTAAATTCGAAATGTAGATTTGTTGTCGAGCACGTGGCATCCTAGTTTTCAGCGGCTTGTTGGTTGTGAGTGAATGCTGAAGGACGCCAAGTCGTCACGCTTGGAAGTTGGTGGGGACTGGAGCAAGGAGGCATGTCTGCACGTGACCCCACACTGGACTTGAACTCTTTCCTGCCTCGCGGCTTTCTTGCCCTTGACACCGGTCTCAGCAAAAGATCCATCGTCACCATGTCCACTTCTACTTTCCTTTGGGGCCTCCGGTCGATGTGAGAAGGCAAACATGTGCGGCATGCACCTAAAGTTTCCCTCGATTAAGTAATCGGTTGTCCAGCCAGTCGGGACTCGGGGCCCAGCACGCCACCTGACGACAAAAATGTTACTTCCCCGTCAAGCTATGGAAACCCCTTGAAAACGTTGTGCAGACCCTGAATGGTCCATCCTCGCCAAAGAACCCTAATCGAGTGAGAGGTCGCGCGACGCATGTGCAGAATGTCACCAACGAAGCCGGTGTGAGAGGCCTTATTGCCCAGAGTGAGTGACCGCCGTGTCTCAATATCAGAGACGCCATGCAACGAGAATCAAGCTTTTCAGACCTTGGCTGATAGCTCTGACCAGATCTCTCACCTCGTTGAACCGCACCATCTACCTCCCCGACCATAGCCACACATCAACCCCTCGAGAGCCGCACCAAGCAACCCGCCAATAAGCTGTCCCACCGGCTCGCCCACGCCTATCGCGCCTAGGATGACTTGCTGGCTCCCACCCGCTTCTTTTGCAGTTATTCCCAACGCTGTCGACCACGTCGACATGTATGTTGTGCCTACAGCGAGTCCTGCGAGGAAAAGGGCAGCATACACCACAGCGCCCGGTAGAGTCAAGACAAATGCTGCCTTGGCCACCAGGAATGCTACCGTCACAGGCAAGGCGAGCCAGACGTGCTGCTTGCCTGGTGACTTGATCAGCAACGCGCTCGATCGTGCTAACAGGTCACCCGTTTGGAACGCTGCACCAACTGCCGCTAGATAGGTAGCATACGTGTCAAAAGATGCTTCCATTGCCATCGCCCGACTGAAGCCGGGGAAAACGACACCGGAACCAATAAAAGCTAGCGCCAGCGGCAAAATGCATAACTTTCCCAGAGTTGACAACACCTCCAGGTTCCATTGCGCTAGCTCAAGCAAGGACTTGCCGGTTGGCTCGTTTTCGACGAGCAACGGATCGTTCAAGGTGTTGCTTTGGATGTCCAGCTCGATTTGACACTTTGCTCTCTCTTCATCCTTCAACGTTGCAGCATCTGGCATTGCGCGTGGCAGGATCAGGTAGTGCGCGCCGACCAGCATGGGCACAAGGTACCAGCTATACACCAGGCCTTGACGTATCTCACCATTCAAGTGAACGGTCAGATAGTACGATAACACTGCCGTGGCCAGTCCTCCCAGGCCAGTTCCAATTCCCCATCCGACGAGGCCGTGCTTGCCGTAATACCGCAGTAAGCCTAGCCAAGATACGTCGCCTGCCGCGGCGGACACCGAGGCCAGAACCACAGCGAAGACGCGCACATTGGGCGACACATTGGGGGGCGAGATCCAAGTCAGAAACGCACTGAACGTCCAACCGATACATAGCACCAGTGGTCGCTGTCTGTCTGCAGTACCGTGCATGAGGTGCGGCAGCGCCAATGTTGTCAGGATTGCTGGAAGGATTCGAATGACGAGCACTACAGGCCTCGAGTACGGAACGATCAGATATGAGCTCGAGTGGACCACGCTTGGGAGAACCGTATTCGCGAAACCTGACGAGAGTCAGCTCAGGCCACCCGCCTGTCAATGAAACCGTCGACACTTACCGATCAGGCAATATGCCAACACGATGCGGAGATGGCGACCGATTGAGGCCTCTTGGTGCTTCATGACGTGCGGGTTGCTCGGGCAGGTTCTCTTGGGACAAAATGACGAGGCTCAGCTGTCTGGAAGACCTGACTCCTGCGGCAAATGGTTGAGGCTTTTGCCAGCGGCTAGCGCGAGGGCGAAGTGAGCAAGAGCTCGCCTTCTATGGCGAGCACTTCCGACTCAGAGCTCAGGGAAGAGCCTGTTGATGATCTACGCCCGTCAAAGGTTGCCGCATGACCGTGTTTGAGAAGCCGACATGGTACCTAGCTAGACCATTGCTGGGGATGGATGCCATCTGACATGTATGGGTCGACACACTAATAGCACCATCGGCATCCATTCATCGTTCACGGCGCCGGTTCACCTTGGCGCATAGTACTAGTAGTACTAGTTGCCCCACGTGTCCGAGGCGGGATAGTGATTGACTGTCGAAGACGACTGGTAGCGACGTGATCCTCGACTTCATGGGCTGAGACTACCGTGATTTGCATTTCAATTCTGGCCACGGACGAATGAGGTTGCAGCGACTCGGCACGATGCCTAATCTGACTCCACATTTGGCCAGGCAGTTGAATGTACGCCAAGAGTCCAAGACACATGCCATCACGAGGTGTATTACATGACGGTTGCACAACACCATGCTCGCATTGCGCTGCTCAGGCATTGCATGTGAGCAGAACAACAATAGCTCGGGCTTGCAGTGGGTAATCGAGGTGGACTAACACCAAGGATCCGGTCGTTGTCATCCCACTGCATCAGTCTGCCGTCCGGGCAGACACAAAGATCATGAACCTGGGTGTTCTCAGTGGTCGTCTCGGGCGAGTGGGCAAGGTGTTTGGAATTGCGATGCTCTTTACGACTCTGGCGACTTTCTTTTACTCATTTCCGGTAAGCATTCCCTCGCCCGTGTGTGTTTTGGACCCTGACACGGAAAGCGGCACACACGCGACTCTGCGGGAGGAGGTTTCTATCACCTCAACTACGACAACAAATTCACCCTCTCACCATCCCATCTCGAGGGCCTCGACACGCCAAAAATTCAAAATGCGACATCCCAAGAAAAGCGACTACGTGTCTTCATGCCTGCCGACGGGCCCAACATCAACCTCTGCAAGGCGATCATGTCGTCCGTCGCTCTGGGGTACCCTCTGCCGACGCTGCTGAACTGGGACGGCGAGTTCAACCGCAGGGGTTGGCACTTTGGGGGCAGCCATATTGCCAAGCTGGAGAGTCTCCTGGCGGTCATTGAGGAATTGCTGACGAGCAGCGAGGATGCGCACGAGGACGACCTCGCCCTCATGGTCGACGCCTATGACATTTGGTTCCAGCTGCCCCCGTCTGCTCTGATCCAGCGGTATCACCAACTAAATCGCGAAGCCGATGAGCGCAATCGCCGTCTTTGGGAAGCGTCCAACGCCTTGCACGCGGACTTTCCTCTCGATCCACCGCGCCAGTCCATCATTGTCACGGGCGCCAAGGACTGCCAACCCGGTGCCGAGTCCGGCTCGAACCCCCATTACGACCTGTGGCCACAGTCGCCCATGCCGGTTGATCTCTACGGTGACCAGACGGACAAGTTCCAATTCGCCATCTTCGACTCGTCGCATCGCTTCGCTCGGATCCGACCGCGCTGCGTCAACAGCGGCATGATCATGGGCACAATGGGCGCTATGCGCGCAGCTCTGCGTCGAGCGCAGGTCAAGGTGGACGACGTCGCGCGTGCTGGGCGCCAGCTGTGGAGTGACCAGGCACTCTTGGCCGAAGTGCAGGGCGACCAGGAAGCGTGGCGGGCGTGGACACGGGAACTGGCATCAACATGGAACGGCAGCGTGGCGACGAGCCCCGAGTCGATCCGACATGGCCATGTGAACAGCATTGCCGCTGCAGCGTTACGAGGTGAGCGCTTCGAGTTTGGCATTGGCCTTGACTATAATTTTACCACCATCCCACCGACGTGCTCGTCCGAGGACGATGGGGGCTTTGTCAAGTTTGATGACAAGCCCGCGCTCGCAGTGAGATCGTACCAAGCGGGCGTGCGCGATCGTGTGCGTCTGACGAGCCTCCCACCGGAGCTCGATGCGGCGCTGGAACTCAAGGAGGGTCCCCTGGCCGGCTTGAAATGGGGCCTGAAACCGCTCTACTCTGACTTTTTTTTTGGCGTAACGCCCGTGGGTATACATCACAATGCGTACAAGAATAGTCTGAAACCCTGGCGGCTGAAGCACTGGTGGCATCGAATGTGGTTCTACCCCATGCTGCGGGAGCTGATCACGTACAGTCTCGCCGTGCGCAAGAAGGGGGAGCGGACGCTGCTGGAGATGGAGGATGGAGTGAAGTATGTGGCGCCGCAAGAGGAATCTGTGACCGTGTTCAAGCCAGGCAGTCAGGCTGTGGTGGAGGCCATTGGGTGGGATGGCGTCTGTCAGAAGGGCAGTACGCCGTGGTATGACGAGCTGTTGGGTGATGGTCAGGGCACGCTGGTGGTCTGATGGATTTTTGAAGCTAATTCTTATGATACCTCTGTCTTTATTCTTTCAATATCAAGGATCAGATCTTTTCATACCAATGGACTAGTATTCGTGTTGATGGGTGCACATCACATACAGACATAACAGTCAACACGCACAGGAGATGATAACTATCTATTTGCACGCTGCATTATAGGGGTATTGTAGGGCATACGATAAATTCCAACACAAGCCTCTCTCCTCGACCTTAGATAAGCTCCCTGTGGCTGCGTCCCTTGGCACCGTGGTGCTGCTCCTTGGCCTTGTCGCCGACAGCGTCCTTGGCAGCGCTCAGGCTAGCGAGATGTTAGTCTGGCAATTCCACAAATCTTGCTGTGGTTGGTCCGTGTAAACGTACCGAGTGCCGATTGGCGCATTGCGGTCTATTCATGTTCTGTTAGTATCGCCAGACACATTAGATGGCTCGACGTGAGGTACCTTTGGCAACTGTCTTGTTGGCCTGGTAACTGCCGCCATGGGCGACCTCCTGGGTCTTTTCGGAGATGGCGTGGCCAGCGTTCTTGAGAGAGTTCATTGTGAGGGTAAGTGAAACTGGTGATTGACTCTTGGCAACAGACAGGTGGAATTGTAGAAGTTGTTGATACTAAAAAAGGAATGTGGGATTCAAGGCGCGTGGGGCCGATTTTATAGCAAAGGAGCATGACGTCAGTGCAGTCATTTCCAGGGTCCTTCCAGGATAGGCAAACACGGAAATCTTGGTTTATGCACGAATCTTTCCGGCTGAGACATGAACGTGCAAGTGATACCGATATACGGACGTAACTAGATATGTCTTGCTGATCTTGCTCCACCATTGTATCATTCATGTACCCGTACGTGGCGGTGCCCCGGCTGACGCCATCTGCGAAAAGATCAAGGGCGATGTCGTGACGAGGAACCAGACCACGACGCAGAGCCTCCCAGCCACGCCCCTCGCGATGCGCAATGGCCCATGCGGATTCCTACGCCCCATGACGGCCGCCTCCGCCGCAGTCCCCAGAAACTGCACAACGTAATAGGCTGCAAAGTTCCATGGACTCAAATCGCCGTCGAGCCACGCGATGAGACCGTGAAGAATGGCGGCGGCCGTGTACACGCACGCCACGACAAAGATTTTGGTCACGCGGGCCCCTTGCGGCAGCAGGAGCACCTCACGCGCCATATACGTGGCGAGGGCAATGTACGTCGGCGAGAGCAGGTTGTGCCAGAACGTGCCCCAGAACCTACGTAGGCTGTCTGCATTGCGCAAGCTGCCAAAGAGAGGCGGCCACTCCTCTGGCTCGTCGAGGCGGAAAATACAGACGTGGAGGATGGAGAGAACGTGGTGGAAGATGCAGAGGCTGTTGTAGCAGAACCAGAACCAGTCGAAGACGAGGTAGGCTCTCTTGGCAATGTCGAGTACGGTGAGGTCAAAGAGACGTGGGAACCTCTTGTCCACGGTGAAGTCTGACAAGTAGAATGGGCCGATGAAAATGTTTGCGAAGATTGGGATGATGAATGCGGTGGCGAGGTACCGGATGGTGATCATGAGCAGCATGTGGACGAAATGCTTGCCTTTGGAGGATCGCTTGCCGCGAAAGAGATCCATTTTCGGGCCGGGCACGTCGCGCGGATTGCACCAGACTTTGTATGCCTCGTAGAAAGACCAACTTGGTATAGGTGAGCCTAGCTTGTCGAGTGGTGGATAGTCGACGAGGAGTCGACGGACAGTGTACGGGACGAACCATATCATGGTCACTTGGTAGGTGCCTTGCGCCGCGTAGATGGAGGCCAATGAACTGGCGTGTGAGATGCCATACATGGAAAGCGCCATGATGGTCGCCGTGTCGAGATATCGTCCAGCCCAGGTGCGTCGACAGGCGAGTGACCAGTGCCCGAAGGCTGTCGCTAGGAGGAAGCAGCCGATGGCGATGGACGAGGACGAGGAAGCCATTGCGATCGGGAGAGTGGCCAGAACGATGATGGGATGGAGATGGTTTGAGGTGGGATTTAATCGCCATGAGGGCGACGTGGTCTCTACCAGTTTTGTGAGGCAGAGCTCGAACTTTATTTACTTGCTCCTGAGAGTTTGCTAGGCAGCGTGGATAAGGTATCTGACGCTGAGACCTTGCATCCAGGGCTTCAAAGGACAATCTGAGCCTAAACAGGTCGATATATGACAAATTCAGCACAAAGACCCTCGCCATGCTCCCACGTCGCCAAACGACAGACAACCAATATGCTAGATACTCCAAGCCGCCACTCAACGGTCCTCATCCAGCCTAAACAGCGCCAGCGACAATGCGTCGTCAAACACCGCCTTGCCAGGCTTCCTCGTGCTCATCAACCGCACCAGCCCAATCTCGCCCGACGACGCCGGACTGGGCTCTCTACTAGTACTCAAGGCCGACACCTCGGACGTGATCGAACTCGCTCGACCCCTTCTCCCTTCCACACCACCCGCGCCGCCGGGCGACCTGATGGACATGGCGCCACTCCTCTTCAACCCCCTGTCCAGACCACCATCACCACCACCACCACCACCAGGAGCCTGACCAGGCACCTGACCGGGAACCTGCAACGAGTTGCGTTTATTGCTGTCGCCATTGGACTTTGGCGCCTCAAATCTTGACGTCGACGGTGCCTCCCCCAGTCTCGCTGCCGCCGCCAGTTTAGCCGCGTTCTCCTTGTCCTTGGCGCCCCCCTCATCCCGCATCGTCATCATCTTCCACAGCCCTTGCATCCACCTCTGCTTCTCTTCCACCTTCATCGACCGCAAAGGCAACACCTCGGCCCCGCCCATCTCCCTCGTCGGCCAGGGGAAACTCACCGCCATCTCTCGCAGCGTCCGCGCCCGCAGCTGCCGCAGCACGATGCGGATCTGCGGCGCAATGTTGGGGACCACCTCAAACGGCCAGTCGCGCCGTGTCTCGAGACGACTCGCAATCTGCACCATGGCACCGACGAGCCACTCGACCGCCACCTGGTCGGGCACGGCGCCGGCCTTGTCGAGCAGCCAGCCCAGCGTCTCGGGGGCGCCAGACTGGTTGAGGATGGGGATGCTGCGCTTGTCGTGCTCGCGTCCCTGGAGCTTCATGATGAAGTCATTGTACTCCTTCATCGAGTCCAGTCCCAAGCCCACGAAACGCCCCGTGTCTAGCGCGTGGACGAGCTCGTCACCGAGTGCCATGCCAGACTTGATGCCACTGTTCAGCCCACGGCCGGGCCAAAAGTGCACCGTCATGGCAGCGTCGCCCGCCACCGCGACGAGAGCATGCGGTCGCCGTAACGAGGGTGTCTCGCCGTGGGGCAGATACTGCACGCCTTCCCCCACGGCCTGGACGACAATGAGGATGCGCACGACGTTGATGACCTCGCTCTCCTTGAAGCCAAACAGCTTGAGGCCGTCCTCGATGGACTGCCAGAGGGGACTCTGCCGATCCGTCGACGGGCGAAAGAGCTGGCCCGGCTCGAAACCAGCGGGAAGGCTGCCGTCCTCGGCGGGGAGACAGCCCGGTCGACCAAAGGTGACGGGCGTGCCGTCGACGGACACCATCTCGTGCCACTCGGCCTCTGTGAGCTGCATGTTGAGGTAGCCCCGTCCATCGTGGTCACTTGCGTTGAGCAGGTAGCGCGTCTGGCCGAGGGTGAGGAAGACGTTGAGAGGTTGGGACCAGGGCAGACCGGCGGGCCGATCAAACGCCAGACCGAGAGCGTAGCTTTTCCCTCGCTCGTTCTCGTAGCCGTGAAAGTAGGATTTGCGCACCCAGGACGCAGCGCCGTCCGCGCCGAGGAGGACGTGGAAGTCGTCTGCTTGGTACAGCGTCTCGCGCGTCAGACCTTGGGCGTAGAGATGGATGAGGCCGCGGAACTCGTCGTCGTGGCAGCGCGCGAGCAGACGGTCCTCGACCTTGCGGATCTGGATGTTGGCCGAGCCAGGCCACACCTTTTCTGGGCGATTCTGGAAGAGCGCGGTGCGCGTGCGCGGTGTTATGAGGTCGGTCACGGATTCCTGTAGCGTCACTACCTGGTCTCGCCTCTTGGCCGTTGGGGGGTATCCAACCCGTCCTCCCTCTTGCGTGCTCACCCATCGACGCTCGTACATGTGCACCTCTACCTGTCCTTTGCCCTTTTCCGCGAGGGAGATGGCGGACGCCAGCGCGGTAGGCCCACCACCGACGATGCACACCTTGAGCCGGGCAGCAGGATAGGGCAGCGTCACAGCGTCGGTTGGGAGGATGGCCTGGTTTCTGGCCATCGTCGGGTCGAAGAAAAAGTCGACGACAGGACGCGTGTTCGGGTCGGCGCAGTCTGTGATGCCCGCCTTGATGAGCATGAAGCGCATGGCCTGTAACAGGGGCGTGACCTCGAAGCTCTGATGACGTCCGCCAAAGATACGCATCCGCACGGCGTCGGCGAGGGCGTAGACGGTCACATACCTGTCCCGGTCGACGACAATCTCCATGAGGGCGGCTTGGAGGGCGCGGTCGGGCGAGAGCTGGGTGAAGCGCAGGAGGAAGATCTGGGCGCGCTCGAGGTCGGTCCGCGAGTCGCTCAGACCGGGGACGGCGGACTGGGCGTGGTAGCCGCCCCATGCTTGCTCGTACACGCGCGGGAAGTGGATGATGTTGTGCTGTGCTGGCACGTCGGCGGTCGACGATGGTGAGGGCAATGGTTCGGCCACCGAACGGCTGCGCGACCGATTGCGGAGGCGCGACGGAATGATCGAGGTGGGCGCGAGCGTGCTCATTGTGTTGTTGGTGTGATGAAGAAGAAGAAGAAGAAGAAGAAGATGATGATGATGATGATGAGACCAAGCAGTATGAAGCAGACGAAGCAGCCTCTTTGTCAGTCGGTTGAAGACGCAACAAAGACGCGCCCACTGCCTTTCATATCGAAGCAAAGATTTGCTGACTCGCCCCAGCCCACGAAGCAAGCCCTCTCTACTTGTACATTGTGAAACGGCATTGCCTTGGATGGAGGGGGCCCTTTTAGACTTGCATACGGCCTTGGAGCCAAGTTTGGAGCCTGCGCTTACGTGCGTGTCAGAGATTCAGAGGTGCGGGATGCAAGTCTCGGCGCCAGGAGCTGAATAGTCCCTGCAGGTCCCCTGCCCGGTGCTCATTCGCCCGTCGGCATCGCCAAGATGCATCTCTGGCACTATTTGAAGCCAGGACGAATTGGCTCATGGTGGAGGCAGCCCACGATGGAGACTGCGCCGCACGGCCTCGCACGGCACGAGGGGCGCCACTGTCTACTTTGCGTTAATGGAATAATGTTAAAAGTCGCTCGCGCCAATCGACGCAAGTGCCGCCCCAGCAATGCAGCCCACAAGGCGGACTCGCTCGTGGCACTGGCGTTGGCACCGTCAGTCTGACATGGGGCATGCAGCACCAGCAATCAATCAGGTAGCGTGCTATGCTGGTTAAGTAGGTATGAGCTGACATGGACTCCCGACGGACGGGACAGGGCTTAATCTTACCTTATCCAGCCACAAGACGCCAACGGCGGCCGTTCTTCTTCTCTTCTCCCTTCACTTCAATCCGTGAGATCGTCGCGCACAGCGACTCTCTGCGACTCGGTCAGTCAGTCAGTCAGTCAGTCAGCCAGCCAGCAGGGCGAGTGTGAAGGCGAGTGAGTCGAGTCATCAGCATTGGTTGTTCTACGACAGTCTTCCATCTCAGGAGTCGGCACAGTCAGTCAGTCAGACGGATAGACAGACAGACAGACAGACAGACAGACACCCTGCAAATAGCGCGCCTGCGCCCGACAAGAGACGCCATGCTCCGCAAAAAGGAGACCTTCACCGTCATCACGCCCATTCCGGGCTTCATCCCACGCCAGCTCGCGCTCGACATTCTGCACTCCCACTCCGAGGTCATCACCCTCAACCCCCTCGTCCTCCGCCACAAAGCCATCCCCGCGCCCCAGACAGCCACCGCCGATGAGTACTACAGCACCTGGTACGAGATCACGGAGCGCGTGCAGGTCCTGCCGGGGATGGGCAGGGCCGGCAGCAAGGAGACGACGTTTCAGGGATGTTTCCACGACATGCCCTGGGGTCTGCAGACACACATCTACGCCATCCTCGGCATTGACATTCGCATCCGCTACCGCGTGGGCGGCAACCAGCCTGGCTTTGAGCCCCCCGAGCAGCGCGAGCTGGGTCAAGCCGCACTGGCCATCCCCGCCGAGGGTCTCTACCTGCGCGAGGACATTGAGATCAAGTGCAACATCAGCCTCGTGTCCTTTGTCAAGTCGCAGCTCAAGGCGGCCAGCAAGGAGATGGTCGACAGGATCATCCGCAAGGCCGAGCTGCTCGACGCCGGCACGCTGCAGGCCATGATGACCGCTGATGGCAAGCTCAAGACGGTGAACCCCAACGATCGGTCCAAGGGCTCTGGCGCGGATGCCGAGGGGACTGGGCCCTTGCTTTCGCCTCGTCTGCCGTACCAACGCTCGCCCTCGGCGCCTCCTTACTCACACATGCAGAACTCGCCGCCCCCGGATGGGAGTTATCCCCAGTCGCCTGGGCAGTACTATCAGTACCATGGGCAGTCGTCTCCCGGGCCATCGTCTCCTCCGCCGCCGTCTCCTGGGTATGCGCCGCCGCCACAGTTCGCGCAGCAGCACATGGCAATGCATCCGGGCCAGGCGTCGCCGCAGCCCATGGAGCTCCCTGCTGAGATGGGCGATGCACGCCATCAATGGAGCCGCTCGCCCACTCCACAGCAGCAGCAGCAGCAGCAGCAGCAGCATGGGGGGGTCTATCAATCAGGATACCAGCAGGATCAGCAGTGGGCGGACAGACCAAAGACGGGGAATGCGCAACAGCAGCAGCAGCCGCCGCAGCCAGCGATGACGTTTGCTGCTGAGCTGCCCGCTGAGGACGTTAAGCGATAATAGGAGCAGCGAGGATCGTTCGACTCATCTTGGGATATGTCATGTTCTTGCGAGGATGGCAGCTTGGGCGTCGGTGCAGCGGGGATTGTCTGCTTTTGATAGTCAACAGTGTGCGTCAATGAGATGATACCCGTCTCTCCACAATGTGGGCGATTGCATGTTGAGGACTTGTCCAGTTGCGAGAACCCGGGGATGCGCCTTGAGATGAGTGATTGCGATTCAATCAGTTGGCTGGACCGGCCACGGCAATGGAGTCGCATCGTGCGTGAGACGAGGACTGGTGAAGCAACATTGCCTGGCCGGTGCGGCATGTTGGTGGTCGTCGCGCAGGATCCGCAGCCCGACGCGCGACGCAAGCTTGTTTGATTCGACCGGGCAGCTGCAGCTAGCTAGCTGAGAACAATGAATCAGTCAAGGTTACATTCACGGATTCCTGTCGCCGCCTCGCCTCTTTTCTTCCTCTCCCACTCGTCATTGATCAATCTTCTCATCATCACGTACACCATGGGCGGCAACGCTTCAGTACCGACAGACCCCAACAGGTCCCTCCAGGTCATTGGGGCGGGCTACTCGCGCACGGGCACCCTGTCCATGGCCTTTGCCCTCGAGAAGCTGCTCGACGGACCCGTGATGCACGGCGGCTCGCAGCTGCTCGGGCGCGAGGACGAGTACGTCAAGCTGTGGACAGACGTCTTTGACGCGCGCCACGACCGCCCGCGCCTCCTCAAGCTGCTCCGAAAGGCCACGCAGGGCTTCGTCGGCATCACCGACGCGCCCGGCAATATCTTCATCGACGAGCTGCTCGAGCTGTACCCGGACGCGCAGGTGGTGGCCGTGACGCGCGACCGCGCGCGGTGGTGGCAGAGCTGGGAGGCAGTGACCAAGACGGCGGGCGCAGGGTTCCTCAACGTCTTCCTCGCACCCGTGCCGGGCAAGCGATGGTATCCCAAGCTGGTGATGCAGTTCTTGGAGCAGTGCGTTTTGATGACCACGATATAGCAAGGCAGTGACTGACCTTGGTGCCAGGCAAGAGGAGCGTCATGGCCCCATGACAGACAAACGCATGGACGAGCACAACGCCTACGTCAAGTCCGTGACGCCGCCCGACAAATTCCACATGATGGAGCTCTCCGAGGGCTGGGCGCCGCTCTGCGCGATGCTCCACAAGCCGATCCCCGACGAGCCCTTTCCGCGCGCCAACGACGCCGAGGCCGTCGAGGGCGTGAACAAGGACATCCTCAAGGAGGCGGGCGGGCGATGGGGCGTCATCCTCGCGGTCACGGGGGCGCTGGGCTATGGCGCGCTGTGGGTGTGGAGGAGCGGGCTGCTGGGACGGCACTGATGATGGGGAGGACGTGTATACGCGTGGCAAGGGTATGGGCAGTGAGCGACGGTCATTCTTTTTCTTTGAGCTTTTGCGAATGCAGTTTGGCGAGGGGCATGAAATCAGTGAAACCTCGTGGCGGGCGAGCCCAACTTAGTCCACTTGAATTACATACCCTGCGTCCCTCGTCATGTCTCCATACTCACTCCGTGAAACTCGGCTCAGCGCAGGCTCAGCTCCGAAAAGTGCCCATGATCTCACACGTTCTTGGTCCATCTACAAACATTTTCACCGATTGCAAGCTGCCAATCCCTTCCTTCGCAATGCGTATCCTGCTGAAACAGCAACCTTGACCCAATGTCACATGCATCTGCTCCTTCGACAATCCTAACCCTGGTTACCCGGGATAACCGACCCCTCCCTCCAACATCCCCTCTCACCACAACATCCCAAGTCAAGTTCACAAAATTATGTCCTGCCCCGATTGCTTCAGAGGTGGCATCTCGCCAAACACACCGACCGGCACAGAGGAGACCATTCACGGCCTGCCGACCTACGTCGCGCGACCTCCCGAGGGCGTCACGCCTCGAGGCATCGTCGTCTTCGTACCCGATGCCTTTGGCTGGGTCTTTGTCAACAATCGCGTGCTGTGCGACGTCTACGCCAAAAAGGGCAGCTACCTTGTCTACCTGCCTGATTTCATGGATGGTTTGTATCCTATATCGCAACGGAAGACGTCTAAAGCAGCTGACGATGAGCAGGTCACTCGCTTCACTCCGATGTCATCGGCTACATGGACCACGTGGTTGAGCCAGCCCCGACGTGGCTCTCTCTGCTTGCCAAACCCATCAGTTTCCTGCGCATGTTACCCCTGGCTGTGCCCTTTATGCTCAACACCAAGATCCCCGCCACGCACCCGGGTGTCGTGAGTTTCATCCAAAAGCTGCGCACGTCGCCGCCGGCATTCGACACCAAGGACCTCAAGATTGGTGCGGCGGGCTTCTGCTGGGGCGGCAAACACTGCGTACTGCTCGCTGCCGACCCGGAGGAGGACCGCGTCGCGCGACACGGCGAGACGGAGAAGAAGCGATTGATCGACTGTGTCTTCACAGCGCACCCGTCCTTCCTGGACCTCCCCAAGGACATTGAGGCCATGACGATCCCGACGTTTATCACCGTGGGCGACAATGACGCCGTCGTGGGCGCCAAGCCTGCCGTCGAGACCAAGGCGCTGGTCGATAGGATGGAGGGCCACGAGATGGTCATTGAGCCGGGCGCGAAGCACGGCTTCTCGATCCGGATGAGGCCAGGGGACAAGCACGAGATGGAGTGTGCGGAGCGCGCCGAAAGGCAGGCTCTCGAGTGGTTTGAGAAGCACCTTGATTAAGCGCACAAGACAAGAGACGTGCCCGATAGACCAGAAAAGAGCACCGAGCTAGCAAAGACGCTCGGCACCCTCAAGGCCATCTCTCATCTCCGAGGTCAAGGATCAGAGCGTAGACATGCACAGGCTCGTGTAGCGTACATGGCCCACCATCAATGGGACCTTGGTCGAGTTCACCGGCCACGCTGTGAAGACGGTGGTCCATGCGTATCCATTCGGTTGGCACGAAATGTGACGTGTGTGTATATGCTAAGGACCAGAATATCTTTACTCCGAAGCACCATTAGATGCAGCTGCAGGTTCTATTCAAAGATTGTCTGATGTAGCACAAAGTGTGACCGTCTTGTTTCGAGCCTTGGAATCTCATATACTTTTTCCGTGCAATCACTCTACCGGGCTTCGGTTCGGGGTCATCGTCTCCATCCTCTGACATACAAATTGCAACCTCCAACATACACCCTCCTCAGTTTTTAGACTCTTCACGCGGCATAACAAGCGTCTCACCATCCACGTCCTTCCAAACGGACATTGTGGATGCAGCGTCGTCCTGCGGTCCCACGTAGTCAACGTCGATTTATCTATGTTGGTACCTCCAGATTCCGCCGTATATCCACGAAGACTCTGATACGACACCCATTGGGCCTTCTTCTCTGTTTTTATGGTGTCGGCAGCCTTCCTCCTGAATGACCGGAGGCGAATCTAGGTATATCGAATCGCAAAGATGGTCTCCCCTGGAATTAGAAAGCGTTGTTGACCATCGTTGGAACGGCCCTGGGAAATTTCGACTCGGGGATCATCAAAATTTGCGACCGGAACGCCCTGTGTATGCAAAGCAGCGGATAGAGGCACGGCTGCTTGGCCACTGAGACCACTTTCAGCGCGGGAAGTCTCAGCAACGATGGCATCGGTCCAGGTATGATAGGCTGTCACGAGATGGAGTTTCTTCTTGTCATATATTGCTTGCTCTATCCCAGCAACTCTGGCCCTCTACAGGATATGTATTGGGCAGCTGAAAAAGTTCAAGGGCTGTGATTAAGATGGAGGAGTCGTTCCCTGTGTGGTAGGATAGGGACTGCTCTTGGGTGGTCGTCAAATTGCCATTCAGGGGCAAATATATGGCCCTATGTTTGTGGTGATAGGGAAAAATTCAAACTGTTTTAATGAGCTACATCTTGTAATTAATGGCTGAATACATGTACTTGGTGAGATCTATGAGGCTAGGAAACCATCACGGCTTTCTGACCGATGCAGTTTTGACTGTGGGTCGGAACCGCCCTGATGTGCTTGAGAGAAAGAATTCACCTAGCGCATTTCACAGAGACAATGCTCTTAACAAGAGTCGCGTAAAATTTCAACAGGGTTTTCGAAGTCACACCTAGGATCCAAGCCCTCTAGTCCACCTAGCCTCGCGACGGAATCAGACGTCGCCCAGATCTGCAGCTTTGTATGATACAATATCAGCCTGCAGCGCTCCAGAACGTCTCGCGGACTGGTGGTGTTTAATTTGAGTTTTGAGTTTTCGAACTGCGCGTAGGGACGATTGCTCGCACGGGCCTATCTATGACTGACAAACCACGCGGGCAGTCATGGGACGTCAAAGACCATTGTGGACATGCCGGCACATAGGCATTGTTGGAGTCAAAAGATTACATGAAACGAAGAATTTCTTCGAAGTGCCTGAATCGAAGTTGACGATGATAACTTTGCTCTCATTATTTTCCTTCAGTCATCTTAGCCTTAATGAAGCAGTATGGAGGGTCGTGGGGAGGGGGGGAGGGGGAAACCCCTTCCATATTTTCTACTGAGCTGGGTGGCAAAATATTTATAGTGAGCAGATAAGACAATCCGATGCACCTTGAGCTCCTGGTCCTCGCAGGCGACAGCTGTGTCGACCAAAGTGTCCGTGTTGAAATAATACCTTCTTGACCGTCAGCAATGGCTTCCAGATTCAGAGAACCAGACAACTTTTTTAAACTCGAACGAAAACTTGGCTTCCCTGAGAGAGGTATCATGGGCACTATGAGCACCTTCTTGTAGATGAGAACCGATTGATTAATTGAAGAGAAGAAGATGCACGCAAAGGTACGAGCAGCTATCTTCAAACTGACAGGTTCCCGTTCTTCCTGAGAGAGTATCCCTCACAGATCGCGACCCTGACGGCGGCGCGCCAAGGCCTGCAACCACTGACCGGCCTCCCGCAGCCGCGCGAAACCCTTTTGGATGGGAACCAACGCCTCCTTTCTTCTCTTTCATCTCGCATGCCCGAATCTCCTGACCAGCTGTGGACTATCGTCAGCTACCGCGAAGCAGGTCGGGAAGCCGTCCTTCCTCGTTTCTTGTCTTCATGTTAGGACTATACTGAGGGTTCCATTTTTTGTGTTCCGGGAAGTATGTATTTGGTCAATCGATGGTCGCTGGTCGAACATTCTCGATAATTTATATACGCGAAGAGCACATGGCGGTATTGTAATTGCTGCTTATCCACAGCCACCTCGTGTGTGTAGACCCCATGTTATCAGACTATAACACTGCTTCATTTCAATCTTTAATCTAGCAACGGCCCACGTTCCCCACGGTTCTTACTAGCCGAGTGGTGAGATGCGAAGCCCGGGGTTATGGGGTATTCGGCTCCACGCCAGGAAATCGAATAGCAGTCATGTACATGAATGGTCTCTTGGCCGTAGGCAACTTGCGGACCAGTCACTTGCAGCAAGCAGAAAATAAAGGTAGACTCGATCGATGGTGTCGTCAGAGTGCTTTTGGCTGTTGGTAGGTGGGGTCGCTGTGAGGGTTGCATGGGCCCAGACGTCCCATCTCATCAGTAGACAACATTTGAACCAACAGCTTTACGCATGCATTAGATATGGTCTGGTTTCTGATTCGACGTGATGCAAGACGTGTCAATGCATAATGCGGCTACGAGGTCATTTGACAACCTTTCCAGGTCTCTCGCGCATCTTGCAAACCATCCGCATGATGCAAATGTGCAATCCCGTTGCCCCGACACGCAGAGTCCGAACCAAGATCCCCGCCAATGAGTCGCTGTATTTTAAGAATGAGGCTGTACTGAAACTGTTTGGTGTGGAGACGGATAAGAAACAAATGCTGCTGCCTTGCCCTTGTTCTGAAATCTTGCCTTCATCCAGCCAGTGCTCCTCAAAGGGAATTACATAGCCTTGATATGGCTTCAATTACGGACAGCAGACAGATGACAACAACAAGTTTACTCGGGGGAAACATGGAGCAGCAGGGGGCTTTTGAGGACTTTGTGTCTTTGATTGGCAAATTCTGTGCTGGAAAGTCTTACCCTGATCTCAAAGCTGTGTTTGAGGGCAATGAAACACTCAAGAAGCAACTTGACGAGACGGAGACTGCCTACCGCAGAAACTTGAAAGAGCTGTCACAGCTCTTTACAGAATCGAGCGCGGAGAAAGGACAGCTTGAGCAAAAGATCCGGGAACAGGAAAGACGTTGCAGCAAAGCAATGGAGGAAAAGGTCACGGCTTATCGCAAGCTGAACGCGGAACAAGGAGTTGTTATGAAATTGACGGACAAGGTGAAATCACTCAACGATGATATCAAAAAGCGTGTCGAAACCAACAAGAAGTCCGAAGATCGAGTCTTGGAGCTACACAAAGCAGTTCAAGAACTGGAGACCCAGGTGGGAGCGTCAAAGAAAGAAGAAGCCAGGTTGAAGAATGAGCTGCAGGCAGTCGGCGAGAAACTACGAGTCCAGAAAGGGACATTGACAAGGACAGAAGAGATTCTCTCGCAAATCCAGGCGTATATGACACCATTGGGCGCTGTGGAGAGCGAGAGGGAGAACATGTAAGTCTCGTCCCCCAAGTTTCCACGTCCGACCCTCGACTTGGAGATAAATAACCATTCCCTCAGCTCGGAAATGATGCTCTCGTCATTCAAAGACGCGGTAGAAGTGTTCAAAGCATCGCTAAGCCACGACCTCGACAACCGCCAGTTGCAGGACAAGACGCACTGGGAACAAATTAAACACCACTCCGCCGTCCAGGGCGCGATCCCACTGCCAACCACGAATTCCATTGCTGCGAAGCGCATGAGGGCCATTGTGGGTCTTTCCATCTACTCGAAGGCACTCGATAAGCACATATTTCGGTCTACCTTCTTTCCCCTGGGGCCCGAATGCGATAACATCTTGGACACACTACCCACGGTAAACCCGGACCAGGATGCGCTTGTTCGTGCCGTTTTACTCAAAGTCGCACCCGAAGAACAAGACAAGCATCGCGAGCATTGTGTGGAACGCACGGTCAATGAAGTGGCGAGCACATTTGCTGGCTGGCTATCGACTGATCAACGGAGCCAGTTCAGATCGCGGCTCGACAATCTCACAAGGAAGATTACTACCGTATGGCAGCGCGTGCAGAAGCTAAATGAAAGAGTCAAGCCTCACTTTGTCTTGGACGCGCTCGATGACTGGCTGCCACTGTCAAAGGTTGCTGCAGGTCTCGTGCCGACGGATCATGGCGTCAAGACCGCGCCATCGCGTCAGGAAAGCGCCAATGGCCAGACCAAGACGGTGCCGGGGGCACTGACAGCCGATGATATTGTGAGGGTTGTTTGGCCAGCCTTTGTCGTACCGAACGTGGTGGCCACAAATAACGAGGAATGCCCCACAGAACTGGTATATACCGGGTACGTCCTCACACGCGACGACGTGCAGAGCGCTGCAGATGAGGAACTGCCGCAGAGGGTGATGCGGAGAGCCACTCGCAACGGTAGCACGCCAGCGCAGAAGAAGAGGCGAGACTCTGTTAGTTTTTTGTCCCCTGTGGCGTTCAGTGAGTCCAATGGCAAGTAGCAGGTCATCTGCAGCAAGATAAGTTTGCTTTACTCGTATTGAGCTTTGGTTTTTGGTTATGATCTCGCAGATTGGAGGATAGGAATATAGTCATCAGAATCCGGACATGTTTAATTCTCACTGCTGTTTGCGGCAAAACAAATGATCAGTCCTTGCAGTCTGTTATCGAAGCTGCTTTGCTTTGCTTTTCTTCGGTTGTCTTGTACGACCATTCCGCCTGTCCAGCTGGTTCTGAAAATGTGATTTGGGGCGCTGTGTGGCGTCGGAGCTCGTGTCACTTGCTCAATAAGGTGCCTCATATTAGTGAGCATAAGATATACGAAGGAAACATATAACCCTCTTATTTATTTATTTTTCTAGTTCGTATAAATAGCCGCCTTATAGGCTTGGAGGCATTATACCTAGCGGTATTTAGTCTTAACCGAGTATATATTTGTTACGGTTCCACCAGTAAGCTAGCGGCTAGGTATAAGATCCAGCCCGGATCACCGAAGCACGTCACGTGTACCTGGGAGAACGCACGGGCTCCGTAGCGTACCCCTGAGCACGGAGCCCGTAAGCTTTACTTTTCCCTTTCCTTTTTATTTTATCGTTAGCTGGACTTTATCTAAGCTACTAATTCATTCTAACTGGGCCTAGCCTATAACAGAGATAGTAATATAGCTAGCCTGTATTGACGAACTTAATTACGCCTAGAAGCCATTATTACTAGCCCTATTGATGCACTAAAGGCAGATCAAACAGGTGGAAAAGGATGATCAATTCAAACGTCCTTGGGCAGCCAGTCGGCCAGCCTAAATAGGCATGGCGCGGCTGCTCCTCGGATCGTGTGCGCGCAGCCTGATTGGCTGCGGCGTTATCAATGCTATCTTATCGCTATCGTACCTGTGCGTGTACGTGACCAGCACGTGACACCCACACACAGCGTAGATGCATCTTGGTTGAATGGCCACACAACCTCCAAGTGTATCACCTATGTTGTGGGCTAAGCCCTGTTGGAACAACTTGGTAGCTCAGATTGAGTCTATCTAACGATAAGGTAAGAAAAGAGAAGGAAGAGGGAATTTACGGTCCCCTTCCCTGTGAAGACCCTGAGAGGTCTTTGCGTCCTCGCGGGCACGCGTCACGTCCCTAGGGGAACCGGGCTGGGTATTGTACCCAGCCGCCAGCAACTGGTAGAACCGTAACATTTATATTATCTAGATCCTATTCTTAGGACGCTTCCTAGTCTAGTCGTAATTCTAGCGATTGTGTTAGTAAAATACCTTAGCGACTAGTGTCACTCCACACAATACCAATAGCTACCTAGGTGCAGTGTGCTAATAGCTAAGCTAATGTCTGCAAACTTAGCACTCATGTTTATCTTAGTCGGTATGTGCAACCCGAGCTGACTACTCGTGACAAATCGTTGCTGCAACGCTTCGTCAATCGTCGATGCACTGCCGACCCCTGCTGCTCAGGGGGCTTCATCGCATCGTATGCTCATTTTCGTCTTTCTACCTTTGCGAGGCTGCTAGCTATGCAGTACTTGGCATGTCCCCGGCATTTGGTAGCGCACGTCATTCGCATCTACCTAGTCGATAAAGATCAGGATTATTCTGGGCAGGCTTGCGGAAGGATTCCAAAGGATTCGTATCCAAGAGGGTGCCACGGCTATCTAGACAAATCAAAATGCTAGGATGCAAGACCTTCTGTATTCGTCCAAGGTAGCTACACCTACTTTCGTTAGTTGTACGTAGGATAGAGTCTGGGCAAAAGAACTCTATGCCGTACAGCCGAGCAGTTGCATAGGTCGGACTCTGGATGGAGGCGAGTGCAGGGAAACTCTATTGTGACATCTAGGACGACTGACGGCTGCCCTTTGACCAAGGCAATCAAGCGTCAGAATGGAGATTTTGTGGTTTCACAACCATCTTAACCACAGAACCCCAGTATCTTGGCATACGTACTGTAGAGGCGTCGGTGAAGCAGAGTCAATGAAGTCGACCAAGAGTTACGACGTACAGACGAGGATAAAAGACAAGCCGCCGCTACTATCAACTAAACCAGAAACCACCATTCTCTGCCATAACACACTCACCTACTCAACCTTCTCCAAAGTCCTTCTAACTTGTATTCTTAAGTCTTGAGATCGACCTCGCAGTGAAAATGCGCTTCTCTCCAGCACTCGTGGCGGCCATTAGCCTCGCCGGCAAGGCCCAGGCTTGTCTTTCTCTTCACGCGTACATCCACAACAAGCCCCTCGCCCCCTCCGCCTGCATTCTGCAGCTCTGGGACAAGCCCGAGGGTGAGAGCGAGACAGAGGTCTGGACAATGGAGACTTGCGACGCACCCTTCGCTATTGATAACGAGGACTACTTGTGTAACGAAGATGGTGAGACTGGCAAGCCCTCGTCCTTTCTGCGCGGCATCTAAAAATGAGACATGCCTTATTATGCTTAGAAAGATTGTCGCTGCTTACACAAGGACACGAATACTGACTCATGATGCCTTCTACGACAGACATCTATAAAGCTTGTATCACGAACAACTCCAAGAAGGGGCATATCTGGAACAAATGTATGTGGGCATCTCCTGTGAAAGGAGCTCCCTCTGCTCTTCGGCCTTCCCCTGCCTGCCCGCTAACGTGCATTCCCGTTCTAGACCACAGCTACGAAAAGCAGCTCGACCTCATAAACACCGACTACCACACATACTGCTGTGCATGGAGCGCCAGTGGCGGCTGCATCCTCAACTGCAGCGAGTACGAGAGCTGCCTCAACGACAACTGGGGTTGCGGCTCCTGCAACCTGTGCGACTTCCGCTCCTATTGCGACGACCACTACAAGCTGTTCCGCAGGGACCTGCCGCAGAGCCCCGCCCAGAAGAGGAGCGACAACGCCGTCAAGATCGCCGAGCTCGAGAAGAGCGCCAGGCAGGAGCAGGAGGCCTATATAGCGGAGCACGGCCAGGAGGAGTTCAACGCCATCGTGCAGGGCTACAGACTGCAACCGGCGCGAGGCATGAAGGCCGTTGAGTAAAGTCCGGTTTTGGGCTCCGACTACGGCGATCGAGTGTCTGTACGACTGTACTCGAGAGAGGCATGTGAGGGATGGTGGTGGTGGGACGATTGTTAACTTTCAGACTCAAGAGAAGCTTTCCCAGCGAGTTTTGGGGGGGGGGTCTCCACTTCTTCAACTTTATAGTATAGCTTTGTCCAGTCTGAATACACGATGGCAAGACTTGCTTCTATGCAGAGTTGGTGTCTGTTGTGTGTGGAGTACCACTTGCCAGCCCATTACTTCTCTGAAGAAGCAGAGGTTGCTTTGTAATCGCGAGCTCAACGCTAGTCAACATTCTAAAAGCCAAAACTTACCATAAGCCGGTTAATATAGTCCTGGCTAAGAGAGGGGCTGTATTCGAGACTAGAGCCATAGGGGAAGGCGGCTACTAGCCCGAGATGTGGGATTGAATCGTGAGACTAATTACGAAAGTTGTATGTTTCTTTTTGCTCTCCGCGCCGCTGTATCGTTCCACGATGTGCGTCCAATATCTTAGGCCCATCTCCCTAAGAAGCTCATAAGAGCCATACCAGAAACTAAGCCGAACAATGCAACGCACGTCTTGAGCAGACCCGCGTTACCCATAGGTCCATCATAAACCCAATCCAAAGCCAACATCTTAGCCACACCAATCCATATCAGAATACCAGCCGACACAGCATCAAGAGTTCCAATCACAATGATCGTTGTGGGGTCGTTGCCGTTGAACGTCTGCAAGACTCCAATCCCGATAGCCATGCCAAGCGGTGTTGTGAGTGAGAAAATGAGTGCCATGATAACCCTCTTCGTCAATAGCACTGCTGATGGTTGAGAGCGATCAATAAGCGGCTCTCTGACGCTGTTGTGCCGAGGACGGCCGGTGTCCATTTCTGGAAGGGAAACTGACTTTGAAATGTATGGAACCCTGAGGGCGGCGATTTGGGTGCCCCGGGCAATACCTTCAAAGAACTGATGAACCAGAATCACAGTAGCAAGTGTTGCATAGTGGGAATCTCCAGCGACGACGGTCGTCACTCCAATGACTACGTGCGTGTCAGTGTTGAGTTCGATATTCCGGGCGCACGGTCTAGAATATACTTACGGACAGAGAGAAAGACAATACCCGCTTCCATGATTGTACCGTTGGTCGTATCAACCTTGGTCTGCAAGGTTATTGAAGTCTCTTACTCATTACTGGCTGACGTCTGCTGCATAAGTCGCCTTCGCAGTAGGCGGCCAACAACAAACTCCAGCAAGAATGACACGAATAGGCACAGACATTACAAGAGCGCCCGTCGTGGCCTCATCACTCAAATTCTCGAGGCAGTCGCTTGTGAACATGAGTTCGCCGTGCGTCCAAAGCTGCTCGCTCATCAGCGTGGTTCATTGACGCATCTCTTTGAATTGTCAATGGCTTCTTACATGAACAAAGGCAGTGCAGATGATCACTCCGGTACCAAACTAGTTGAGGAATGCTACGACAATATTGTCGTGCGCAGGAAAGAACTTGGCCAAGAAAATCGGGGAGAATGAACCTAGTGCATAATGAGCAACCAACTCAAGTTCGACCATGAGCAAATGCAGCAACAAAGGTGCGGTACATACCGAGAGCGCTCGTGGTAAGCGTGCCGAAGAGAAAGCCAATGCGACTGCCAATGTCGTAGTCTCGATCAACGCGCTCGCAAGACGTTTCGCCTCCGATGCAGCGTCTACGCTTGATTAGTTGATTGCACCACACGGTATTCGATGGGCAGGCAGGGTTTTCTTACTCGACACCCACGTGGAAGTGGCAGAACGGCATCAAAGGCCGCCTGGCAACGTACATGTTACCCTCGTCATGGGAATAATATCCCGTGAACTGGGCTGGGTAGCCTGTTGTTGCCGTAATTGGCGTCTGAACGAAATATTGGGTTGAACTTGCGGTACAATATCTGCGGAAACCCTGCCATCAGCAATCGCCACGACTTTAAAAGACGCTGCCTATGTGAGCGGTACATACAGAGAGCTCGATGAGACTTGGTAATCTGTGACGGCCGTAATTTCAGCGCGCTTCTCGAGAAGCTCAATCAAAGGAGCCAAGGTTTGTTCTGGGTGCAGGCAGATAGCGCCTACGTGACCCAAGGCCAGTAGGACTAGAGCGAGCGACATGCTTTTCCTTGATGCCTCGAAAGTTGACTCTTGGCGCCCCACGATACCTGGCTCATAAGCTTCGAAAATTATAGAGACATCGACGTGACGGGAAGTTCAAGGACAAAATTGAGATGTTAAATAGTCAAAGGAGAGAAACATTAAGTTGTACCACATTAGGGGCGTGCTGCTTTCTTCATGTTAGCTAAAGCTGCGAGATCCTGTAAAGTTATCTCTCAAGGTGCTGTTGGCTCCACACTGAGAAGCAGCAATGACTACTCTGTAGACTAGGTGATTTCAAATGCCGCATAAACGGGGCTAACCTCGCAGCTTATCCTTTGCCTTGTGCCGCGCCCCATGTCTATACTTTATCAGAGGTAGGCCCTGGGGTGTACCCATGTGATGGTGGGAACCTTGATGGCTCGAGACACAATGTCCAGCACATGTTGCCTAATCGCTGAAACACCAACCGCACAGAAATACCGAGAGTATTGCTTCTGCGTCAATTCCAGATTGCCAGTGACTTTCATATATACAATCATGCCCATACCACAGTCTGGGGCCAGTGGCGCGGAGGCGAAGGCGGCACAACCGTCCAAACCCTCCAAGCCATTGCCAATCACCCTACTTTCCAGATTTCTGGTACGTGGTCCCCGTACAATTTGAAATTTTTTAATTCCATTGAGAGTGAATAAAATTTGTTGCTAACAAGGGTCCCCGCAGTGCGCAGGAAAGACTACGCTGCTGCAGTATATCTTGAAGAGTGACCATGGGCTTCGCATCGCTGTGATACTCAATGACATTGAATGACATGGCAAGGTGAGGCATTCAATTCTCTTGCAAAATAAACCAAGTTCTCGTGTAGCAGACTGTCTAACTCCATCTCCCGTATCTAGGGTCAATATCGACGCTGCCACGATCACACACGCGTATCGTCTAAACAAGACCCAAGAGAAGATCATTGCCCTGCAGAATGGGTGTATCTGCTGCACTCCTCGCGGAGATCTACTTGATGAGATCTTGGACCTATGGAAGCTCCAGAAGTTTGACTACATCGTCGTCGAAAGCAGTGGCATCAATGAGCCGGAGGAGGTCGCGGCTTCTTTCGACTCTCGCAAAATCAAGCAGCTGGCGGGAACGTGTGAGGGAATTACTGAAACGACTCTCGAGACTCTACAAGACATGTAGATACCCCTTCAAGCTCTGTTTTGGTCAGAAGCGAGTGGGTGACGCTTTATCATAGCCAGCGCGCAGGTGGTTTCGATCAGATTGCGCGTCTTGACACCACCGTCACTGTCATTGACGCCTCCAACATCACCCGAGAATTTCACACAGATGAGCTTGTCTCGCAAAGACAGGACAATGTTGAGCCCAGTGATGAGCGTACTGTATCTGATTTGATGATCGAGCAAATCGAGTTTGCAGACGTTATTCTGCTGAACAAAATCGATACGGTAAGCATGTACTTCTCTTGCTCTACAAGCTACCAATTACGTGCTGATGGTATTTCCGTGTTTTGCAGGTCGATGTGGAGACAAAGTCCCGCACCACAAACCGTATCGAACAGCCCAACCACCGAACGAAAATCTTGGAATCATCTTTCGGGAAAGTCGACTTGAATGAGATTTTGAGCACCTCTTTGTTCGACCCCGAGGTAGCGATGTCTAGCTATGGATGGCTGCAGGACCTAAAAGCTATGACTGTGCAACAAGCCAGTTCTCCATTTCCATGCTAATTCTACTCTGCTCAAAATCTGATCAAAACCTCGAAAAATTCCAAGTCCAAAGGTTACCAAGTGCAGAGCCTGGTCTATACGAAGTATCGGCGTTTCCGCCCCAAACGCCTTTTCAAGCTTCTCTATGACAATTTCATCCTGCGGATGGAATACCCTGATAACGAACAAGAGCAACAAAAAGAGGCAGAGAATGACGGCATGGACGTGGAAGACAATGAGCAGCAGTCAGATGAAGACCTTGTCATGGATGAGCCGGACTGGACCGAAGATTTTAAGACACCACCACACGAAGCCATCCTGGAAAATAAGCGCAAGCACCCCATCCTAGGTTCCCTATATCGCTCCAAAGGCGAATTTCTCCTCGCCACTCGGCCAAACCAGGCTGGCGAATGGTCCTCTGCAGGATCGATGCTTACCCTGGCCGGCAGACGACTATGGTTCTGTACACTGGACCCAGATCAGTATCTCACGGGAGATCCGCAGGTTGACAGGCTGGTAAAATGGCGTATTGTGAAAGGTAGACAATGAGGTGATTGTCGTCAGGAGATTGTCTTTATCGGCGAAAAACTGAACCATGATGGTATCAGGGAGCTCTTGGACGTCTGTCTCGTTACTGACGAGGAGTATGAGACCTGGAAAAGGATTATGAGGGATTTTTCTTTGGAAGAGGAGTCCAAGGAGAATTCTTTGCTAGATGTCTTCGAAGACGGGTTTCCTGACTGGCCTGGGTTTGATGGTGACGAGCATGATCATGACCATGGCCATGATCATGATTGTCACGACCACTCTGGCCACAGTCACCCTCACACGCACTATTCCAAATCAGCTACACGCACTTCGAATCAGAAGGGCTGATGCGTACCCAGGGCTCAATCCCACAGAAACAAACAGAGAAGCAACACAACCGTCTTTAGATATGCCATAATGCCCTTTTGATCGCTCAGTCTTATCAGGAGTGGGTAAACACCATACATGACACATTAGTTGTGGCATTTACTTCAGCCGCCATCTAGTCTATGATTCTGGCTTTCGGAGTCCGTGGCCCAACTCTTTTCTCTAATGATCAAAAATCAACAAAATACCCAAACTATACGCTACCCATGTGATACAGCCATCTAAGCCGGACCGCAGCTCGAAAGGATATTTCCAACGACAATCGATGTTGCTTATGATGGTCCCAAATAGATTTTCGCTCTCAGGCGACAAGTATAAGGTTCGCTGACCATAGAAGGGAGGCTGTGAGACGAGGCGGGGTGATGCAACATCCCGAGATTTTATTTCTTGCATTGTAAAGATGAAGGGTCGGAAACCAATGTTGAATTGATAATCACTCTGTTTCTTCCGGCTCCATGTAACAAGCGATAGACTTGCAAGCTCAAAAGCTTGGACAATTGACCAGAAAAGGGATCGATAAAGCAAGGGGGGCAGCAAGATCGCAAAACCTTAGATCTGAAGGAGACTTGAGAAACATTGTCCAACCCATGGGGGGCCTGTATATCCTTCAATTCAGGGTTCCTCGGCTTCAATAGCATTTACAGCGCAAATCAAGGAAGCCTTCACAGTATCCTCCCTTGTAGCCGGTAACGGTCTTACACTATAACGTAACTTTGTTAGATATTATCATATTGAGAGATGGTCAACTTACGTGATTGTGGCACTTTTTGTCGACCGGGCATCCAAAGCCGCGCTTCTCTAGAGCCGCATCTGCAGAGCCGGAGATATCTTGTCCGGGGGCTGCCTCCGCCATGCGGGCATCAACAGAGTCTGGCGCGGGAGCAGCGACCGAAGTGGTAGCAAGGAGTGTGAAGAGAGCGGTGATGGAAAGCTTGGTGAGCTGCATCTTGAAGATCTTGATGGAGCAAGAAGAATGTCGTTTATTTCTTGGAAAGGAGCTTTGTTGTGGTTCAAAGTTTGATTCTTTTGCTTTCTGTTGAGGATGTCTTGGAGAGTTGGATTGCAATCATTTGAGGGGGAGGTCATAGACCTTTATATAACTAGAGCAATGGTCAGGCTTCGGGGTCTGTTTGGCTGAAGGCGGCCTAGACTCGCTCATAGAATCATAAGGATATTGAATTCTCCCGACTATTCTATGTTTGACTTTATCACAGCCCATTTGTGTTCGCGTAGCTTACCATTTTCGGCCTTGGGTAGTGGATGGTCCAGCTGAGACAGAAGGGCTATTGGGAGCTTGCTTTCCAACGCAGACCTACATACATGTAGGCGGCAGGTCTCGAAATATGCGGCCGAACTATCATGAGCTCCGTCTTCACGCCTATGGCAAAGTGCATACAAGGTTCTACGCCAAACACAGGTGAGTCACTAAAGCGGCAGCTACATTCACGTCCCCCACATCAACAGTAAATCAGGGGTGAGCTGAACTGGCGAGAGACGGCATCCTAGAAGATGCGGATAGGATCTTCCGTACCTGCTTCATTGGTGTCTGGGGTCTCGGTCGCCCGTTGAGACATGCTACCTTCGTCTGGGCTAGCACGAGCACTTCTTACGGGCGCTCGTGAGTGGCGCCAGGGTGCACCCAGCCTTGACAGGTCTGGACTGCGTGTCCAAGATCAGGAACGCCTGGTGAGGAAGGCCAGATAGGGCGGCCGAAGAACAGAAGCATCATCTTCTGTTGCTTTATTGGCTTAGCCACCAGGCTTGAGTACTGTTGTTTGTTAGCAGGCAGGTTTGCCTTGATTAGTCAGCCACACATTCGGCCCACAGCTGCCCTCAAAGGCAGCATCTTCGCGCTATCGCGTTCTTCCTTCTTTTCCATAGCATCAGCATGTTCTTCAGATAGAGAACTCATCATCTTCCTTCTCTTCTGAGCTGTTGTTCATCACCATCTTCATAAGTACACCATGCATGTGTCTTACGACTCTGGCTGTATAAGTGCAGATGATACCCAACTGATTGCATCCAAAACTCCAATGTTCAGGTTCGGACGACCTAGCCGGCATGAATAGTACATTCTAGAGCAGGTCCCGATGATGCACATGTATTTAGGCTTGTGCCGTCGGAAAATTGGCGACAGCCCGCAGATGGCTGCATTGACTTCCCAAGAGGGAAAGCTGTCCGATTTTCAACGTTGCGAGTCGGAATAACCCCCCCCCCCCCAGGGTTTCCTGGATTTACGTAAAGAGGGGGACTTTTGAGCAGCAGCTTGCAGCAAAACGGCTTGGAGCAAGCCGTGCACAGATTTCCGATGAGCCCATCGGAGCACCATGGTTCTTGCCTCACCAATCATGGAGTGTTGTTTGTCAGGCAGGTTTGCCTTGATTAGTCAGCCACACATTCGGCCCACAGCTGCCCTCAAAGGCAGCATCTTCGCGCTATCGCGTTCTTCCTTCTTTTCCATAGCATCAGCATGTTCTTCAGATAGAGAACTCATCATCTTCCTTCTCTTCTGAGCTGTTGTTCATCACCATCTTCATATGGAGCATGTGCCAGCGGTAGGGCTCACTGTCAACTTGAAGTCAACCTCGAAGCCAATTATCACCGACCACGGTCGGCATGAGTGTCAACCACCCCGCCCATCTAAAGTACTAGTAAGCGAGGACGGCCTGTTGCCAAATGGTCCCCGTCATGGAAGTCTCGGCCAAAGATACATCTAGGCTCCAGGAGGGGTATGTTACATCCAATAGCTTACAGGCAGCTTCGCGGGGTTCGCCCTGGGGCAGAGGAGGGATGCACGTAGGTAAACATAAGCTACCTTGGCTGCATCTACGAGTGAATCCGGGCCTGCGAGCTGAATCAAGCTGCTTTCACGGAAAAATAGAAAGGAATCTAGGTTTGAGCTCCTGGGGCGTGATGCCATCGCGATATCGATAAAAGGGACACCTGATACTGCAATACTGTTGGTAAAGCAAATCATCCGTTGACCTCAATCTAGCATTCAAAACAGCAACACCACTCTCTTCTATTGATTATGTTACCGAGTCTATTCCATTTGAAGTCCAGCTCCATCCTCACTCTGATCGCTCTGGCAGCCCAGGCCACGTTTGCCCTTCCCGCTGAGCCGACTAAGAACGAGACCCCCAACGACGTCGCCGTTGTTCTGGCTGAAGGTAAAATCGACGCCAAGGCAGTCTGCTACGACAACGCTTGCCTCCGCAGTGAAGGCTTCTGCAATATCATCTGCCGCAATCGATGTAGATGCGGGTCTGGTCGGCGCGGTGGGTGCGGTGGGTGGACAGGCCGAATATGTTTCTGCTCATGGGTAAGTCAAGATGTGCTGTTCTCTATCCAAGGGATATATTAAAAATTCCCCATGCTAAAAAACAGGCTTCCGTGCTAAGTGATTCCTTCGTATCCATGGCGTTTGTCAAGCCACCCAGTCCAGGCGACAAAGAAACTTAGACTCCTCGACAGATTGATCCTTCACAACTGTAAACGGTACAGTATTGCTGAAAGTTTTATTTTGTCCAATAGTATTGTTTAAGTGTGCCCAAGCTTGTGCTCAGTTATAGAACATGTCTTGCTTTACCTCCTACATCTCGTATTTCTCTGTGTATTGCCAGGAGCAGGACACTGCCCTTCAGATACACACTGCACTATCAGGCTCGAAGTTTCCACAACTTCCAAGTTCGAGATGAATTGTAGACCCAAAAGCAACGACCTTCCATTTCAACTGTAAAAAGTGGACTTCTGAGTCCTGAAGCCTGGCATTTTTAGTACCATCCACTTCTTCGGATAGCAGGAAGCAACGGGATCTACCACATGGCTCTCAACTGTCACTTTGTCTTTGTCGGTGCCTCAGGGGATGTCAAGATTGGTTTGCGATGCGCGATCCACTCAAGACCCACCAGCATCGCTTACAAAAAGGGGCAGAAAATCAAGAGTGCTCCGTACAAGATAACCACGAAGTGAAGGAGATAGCGAGACCCGCACATCCTAGAATGCTTATCTGTCATTATAAATGTGGATGAGTCCGCCAGGAGCGCGAGTTGTGCCAATTCGGAGTGGGTGTGCCTCGCATTCTGAAAATTTCAGCACAAGTTCATCTCGGAGACGTGGAACATGGAGTCACGATGGCCGAATAGGATGCTCTGCGATCTGATATTCATATCTTAGATAACAGAGCATAAATAGTATAGTTCCAATGCCAAGTAGCAAAGTATTGCAACTTGATCCTGATACAGTACATTACTTTGCATGAATTTGTAGAACACTGAGATGGTGGTCAATAATGACAGCAGCCTTTTCGGTTTTTCTTGTCAAAGATAGACAATGCGTCAGGAGATACTAACTGTATCGGCATTCGTAGATGTCGCATATTTCATTTTGCGAAATAATTAATTTTGAACCACTGCCGTCGAAACTATATTCAAAATGTCCTCTCTTTACCTGCCTATCATGCGGCGTTCAAATCAAGAATTGACGGTTAGCTACTGTGGAGCTCCAGTCGAGACTGCCAGAGCAATCATTACTAGAGTATGATTCACTATCCTGTCTCGTGAAGATGAAGTTCCTGACGCAAGGAGTTGCATATGTAGCCTTCTTTTGCGGCGGTACCTTTATGTCTTCCTGTAGCCTGATTCATCTTCCGCTCGTTCCCCACATATTTGAAAGAGTCGGGACTCGAGGGTTCGACCAAACTTTCGGCCACACACAATTACACCTCAGCGTGATGCGTGTATGGGAGCGGCGAGCTACACAAAGTCAAGTGGTGCCGGTAATGGGAATTGACTCGCCTGGCCGCATCTCATGATCGAGTCGAGACTCACGTGTTTGCGCAACAATTTCATCGCTCTTCTGTCATCTATGCCGCTTTCTGGCGTCATCAATACATGATTATACACGTCCGCACCCGCATGCGAATTTGATTGTAGATTAGGTCATACTGTTGCATGTCAAAGGCCTGTGTGTCACAGGCCAGGTCACAACAATAATTATTTCAGGCACGCTACCAACCATGCTTCAGCGAACGAGTGAGCCTAGCGAGGAAAAGATATGAACATTGGGAAAAGTGACTATATTGAATGCCAGCTTGCTCGCATCCTCGGCGGACGGTAAAAGTAACCAGAGAACAAAAACTACATTCTGTAGTCTTTCACGCGTCGGTGAATGATTGGAGGGAGGGCTTGGAACGCAGGAATTGCATACCTTCAGTTGATGCACCCATGCGGATGTGACGGAAACGTCATGGCGGCATGTGACGAGGCATGGCGATGCGATGACGAGACCAAGGCTTCTATTCGTGGTTTTGTATATGAACCCAGGCTCAGGCTCAAGTGACTTCATGTTTGGGACCTTGGATGAGTATACGTTGAACAACTTATATCACTACGCACGACACGCTCTATCAAATCCAAGCCACAAACCCGCACCGAGACACAATCAATGCAGTCCTAATGTCCGTACACGCTAGGAACGATGTGTTTGACACGAACCCTGCTTCAGGGGCACGGTCGCTCACACAAGGCGGCTCTAATTGGCTCTGGGCTGTTACCGCCGTCTTTGCCATCTCGTCCGTACGTTGCTCCGCTTTGGTCGATAATTTTCAGGCACACATACTAAGATCACACAGCTCGTCTTACTCGTTCTCGGCCTCCGTCCTCGGCACGGCGAGCGCATCTTCCACTATCTCTTCACCATCGCTCTCCTTGTCGGCGCCATCACCTACTTTGCCATGGCCAGCGACCTGGGATGGTCCGTCGTAAGGCAGCATCTCCGTGTCAGCGAAGCGGCAACGTACCAGGTCTTCTTTGCAAAGTACATCTTCTGGGTGGTGGCGTTCCCCGCCATTGTCATAGCGCTGGGCCTCGCCAGCGGCGTCAGCTGGGCAACCATTGTCTACAACATCTTTTTGACCTGGATCTGGATCATCTCCTACCTCGTTGGTGCGTACACTCGCACTCGCTACAAGTGGGGCTTCTTTACCTCTGGCACCGTGGCGTATCTTCTCCTCGCCTACCAGACGTTGTGGTCCGGCTGGTCTGCCAGTAGGCGCTTCCCTCATCAACGCGACTACACCTTGCTTGCAGGCTACGCCAACCTCTTCTGGTTGATCTACCCAATCGCTTGGGCTGTCACCGACGGTGGCAACGTCATTGGTGTCACCCAGATGGCAATCTTCTTCGGCATCCTTGATGTGCTCCTGGTTTGTGGGCTCGCCTTTGCCTTCATCTTCCTCTCGAAGGGGTGGGACCACCACTTAATGCACCTGCACTTTACTCGAGATGGCCGCGTCCCCCACGCGAGAGAGTTCCACGAAAAGCATCCCATCGGCGAACGAGGCGTCGGTGCTGGCGCTGGAACTGGAACTGGTGCAACAGCCGGAGCGGGTGATGGTGTTGGTACCACTGCAGGCTACACGCAGCCTGTTTAAGAGCATCACTGCCAACTATAGTCAGACCGCCTCCGTTGGATAATAGTCTACCGTCTCGGCTGTCCAGGACCAACAACTAATCTGCTGCCGGACCTTTGACACACTTTGAAGGGGGAGAGCAGAAAAAGTGATGGACACGACCAATGTCTTTCATGTGTGATTTTTAATTCCGGGGTGCATTATTGTAACGTATTTATCAATCTTTTAGAAGGTGGATATCTTTGGCCGGTATTATGTGACTTTTTCGGTCGTGGCTGCAATATTAACTACAGCAAACCTTCATTATGACGAACGATTGTGTCCGCCGGAGCCCCGCGCAGACCCTTTTACCTGTTCCCGAATCATTCCGAATGCACTTTCTTTTTTCGCCAGCATTTCCAGCATCTTGCACATGAAACCCAAGCCATTGACACTGCCCTCGCCCGGATCGGCCGGGGCAGTGTCCGGGATGGCCCACCACTGGCCCGGGCAAGACCCGCTTCCCGGCCGTGTACTCGCCTGGATCCTGGCCCCAGGGTCCCGTTCTCGCGACAGTGGACATGCGCGACCACCTGCGATGGGTGGCATAGAGTTATACCGGGGATCTTGGCCTCTCTTACCGCGATCCCGCATCACGGATTTTTCATTATTCAACGTTCTTTATTTTTGTTGTTTCTTTTTGGTTGGCGTTGACGCCGGCAAGTTGCACTGCCCGTTGCTACGTAGTGGCCGCTGTGGACAAGTCGCAAGCCACTGCTTCAGCCGAGAGGATCGTAAAGACCACACTGTCTCAAACCTTGGTCTTGTCACGGACACACCTTTGCACGCACTCGGGGGTCGCCAAGTCACCTCCGAAGTAGGCACGACTCGGCTAATCGGCTTATGACGATCAGAAACGCCAGTGAGTTTCAAGCCGTGCACATCTTGCGATTCAATGTGAAGGCCGTTGGCGCTCCGTTCCTGAGGTCGGTTGGAATGAAGTGAAGAATGATACCCTGTATAGACGACTTGCACATGATACATGATCCGACCTTGTGGTATGCAGCGATAGCCTACCCTAAACATAAGCCAAACACCATGCACACACGGGCTGTACGATTAATACTATTAGCTCTTGGTTATTGAGCCCTATACTAGATCAACCGTTGAAATTGATTTTGGTACACCACTGTCTGGATTTGCGTCTCAATATTGCTGTTCCGTTGGGAAATTGCTGTTCAGATGCGACGAAGCTGACAAAAATGTCGATTCAGAGTTGTGCAGTTGGGGACCGTGTTGGGGAATCCCAGCTCTAGTCGGCGTGCCGTGATATTCCCTACTACCTAATTCAGTCTTCACACGTCTACATTCACCTTCGTCGTTGGTCTCAGCCTGTACGCGCCACTGCCCTCGGTTACGGTAGCGGCGGGCCGGAGCTGCCAAGACTCCATTGTACAGCACTCAAGTCAACAATGCACTGCTGCGGGCAAAGCCACGGTGACGGTTGACCTGACACTGAAGCTGAGACGCCTTTTACTAACTCACACGGTGCCAAGTCGGCTCCGGAGGCCGAAAATAGATTCGTGTCTACCGATCCAGGCCGCATGTGATGATCAGAAACGCTGACGGGTTTCATGGCCCACTTGGTGGATGGAGTCATGGACCATGTGCAGATCAACAGCCGACCGCATTAAAATTCCGTCTTCCCTATGGCTATACGCGTTTAGAACAGGTAGAGCCACGGCGAGAGATGACGATGAACAGCGTGCAAACGGAGTGGGAGCCTTCTTTGGTATTGGTGGCCCAGAGCCTAGAGTCTTGAAGAATACAGTAGCCGTCTCGCGCAGTGGGCCAGGCACGTGTGAACACTGAGTAGAGCGCAAGGAGACCGATTCAAGAGCAACGACCTCGGTATGCCGCATATATCTCCGCCAAGCCCTCCCCCGCGACCGGATAGCTACCTAGTCGCCCTGAGCATCAAGGGGCAGAACGTCTTGCGGCAGTCCTCGTGTGACTGCACAGCCACCCGGAGCTGGACATTGCCGTCGACTTTTAAACAGTCGAGCCATACCATCCACTTGGATTCCGTGGTAGTGTGTCCGTGGATGACCATGACAACCGCACGAGTCGTTCTTGGCGTTGCAACCGCCTCCTCCATGTTGCATCGCCAACGCTCATGTTCTTGGCTTCGACTCCCTGCTGAGGAGATCCTGAGGAGGAGGCACGTCGCCGAGCCAGTGCATTCCAAGATGACCACGATCGTGGACCATGAAAGAAGATCTCAAGCCGCTGGGAGGCCAGTATAAAGCTCGCGCAGATCCTGCATCAGCAATGGTCCATTCTCCTCATTCTCAACGCACTCTTCGGTTCTTTTCCTCTGCAGATACCCATTTCCGTTCTTCGCTTAATCTACTACTCCCACTCCACAAAGTGTATACCTGCCGGCTCAGGATGCATTTCTCCGCTCGTTCTGTCGCTCTCACAGCCTTCGGCACCCTCGTTGCTGGTCACGGGGCCATCATTGCCGCCACGGGCGACATGGGCGGAAGTGGCATGGCCATCGGAAGTACGTGTCTTCTCAAACGTATCACTTTGGGAAAGCCGCAATGACTGACTGAGGACCCGCAGTCGACCCCTCTACTCCTCGTGATGGAACCCGGGACGAACCTTTCCAGCAGGATACGACCGTCTTTGACGGCGACGCCGAGTTTTCCTGTGGCGAGACGGACCAGGTACGCGCACTCCATGTTGCCCTTTCTCTGCAGACATGGGCCTCCGCTGACAAGGACAAAGACGGCCGAGGATGACGACATCAACGACATCGAGTCTGGCGTTGCCAAGGTCATGTCCATGGCCAACAACAGCCTCCCTCAAGTCAGCCAGGGAGGCGAGCTGGCCATGACCCTCCACCAGGTCAACGGAGACGGCGCCGGCCCCTACGTCTGCATGATTGACGCTACCGGCACCGGCACCAACTGGGTCGCCATGGACATCACCCAGCAGGTGCCCGGTGAGAGGGGTCGCAACCGCGATGGCGATGCCACCGACTTTGTATGAGCCCTCTTTTCATATCTCTTGGACGATTGAATCTCTTGCTGACTCTCTCCCTCTCCTAGCCCCTCACCGTCAACATCGCCCAGGACCAAGTGTGCATGGGCAACGTCGCCGGCATGGACAACGTCTGCATGGTGCGCTGCCAGAATCCCCAGGGTCCCTTTGGCGGCTGCGTCCCCATCCAGATGGGCGGTAATGTCACCGCCGCGACCAATCCGGTCATGTCCCAGACGGGCGGCACCGCCGAGGACGATGTCGATGCGATTGTCGAGGCGGCCGAGGATGCCGAGGACGGCCGTGGTGGCGGTGGGAGCCGCGGTGGACTCTTCTCCCTATTCAACCGGTCCAAGGCGTCGCAGATGAGCGAGGCCAAGCGTGAGCGGTTGCAGAACCAGGAGGCGGTCAGGGCCAAGCGTCTGGCGCGCAAGCAGGCCGCACGGGCTGCGCAGGCTGCACAGGACTAAATGTCCACAGCTTGGCCTGGCCTCTTGCGCTCCAAAGACAGTCAATGCGGTCGATGAGGCCCCCCAAGGCCCTGGGTGAGGCGTAGCTGAAGGAAAAGGGGGGGGGGGAGGCACGGAAAGACACAAGATGCATGAGAAGTTGGGAGGGAGAGGATTTGATAGGTGAGAGACGGAGATGGCTCACACTACATACCCTGGCGGTAGCGGGCTGCCTTCTTGATGAAGCGCCAATATATCTAGTCAAGATTAGCAGGGGGAACAGTAATATGAAGGGATTGTCCGCGTCCGGCTCTCAAAGTCTTGCACCATCCACAAAGACACGGAAAGATATAGAGCGGTGGAGCAACTATGATCAATATTTTAGTGGACTTTTTTGAACGTACCGATATTTTCAGGTATCCTTGTTCCTTGTATGCATGTTTTCATGCCTGGCTTGCCGCCTGCATGCATGCAGGCCAACCAAGAGCTATAAGTACGAGACAAAGCCCGCCTCCTGCATCTGGTCATTTCTCATGCTCCTCACTCACTGCCTCCCTCACGGAGCAAGCCATGGCCGGTCCGAGTCGTCCTGTACATGTACAAATAGTCTCGCCCAGAGCCTTTTCGCTGGATCCGCGTTACGAGCAAACTCGCACCCCTGCACAAGGCATTCTCCGCCAAGGTCGTGTGTTTTCCAAAGAGCGGAGTGCAAGCTGCCTCTTGCGTCTCCCCGACGAGATCTTGTGGGTCGTCACGGGCTTCGTCGCCGAGGAGTGTCACGGTCGCTATTTGTCCCAGTTTGCTCTGACACACAGCGAATGCAGACAGCTTGCGCGTCCGTACCAATTTGCCAATGTCTGGATCACGCGCAGCGAGACCTCTTGGGGGTTCCTGCGTTACCTCAAGAACGAAGAGGCCGGTGTTGACACACCCTCCATCGGCTGTCTCATCCGCTCCTTGACTTTCACCATTGACGCCGATTTTGGAAGCTACTATGCCGACTGGGACTATTACAAGAAAATTGAAGAGTGGACTGAGTATTGGGGGCGGATGGTGGACGACCTTGCAGATGTTATACGAAACAAGACACCCATGCTCGACCAGATTCATTGGGTGGATGCGGGTGAACTCGACTTGCGCGGGAATCTATTCGCCTCTGTGGTCGGGCATGCGACTCGCTCGGGCCATTTGAAAAGACTATACTTGGAAGATCACGAGATCAGCTACTATAAGGGTTCAGACGGTTCTGATGATTATTACCGTCTCCAAAAGGCATTCCCAAGTGCGCAAACGCTCCCGCTCAGAGACTTGGCCTTTGGCTTCGGCCGCCTCGACGAGTGCTGGCACCATGATTACGGCGTTGCATCCAGGATCGTGGAAACATTTCTGCAAAGATCCGCACAGACACTGGAGTCTTTTGCGCTCAATGCACTCTTCGGCAGCGGTCCGGACACGAGGGCCGACTGTCAAATGACCGGTTTCAGGAACGGGCCCATTTCCTTCCACAAGCTGCGCAAGTTTTGGACATACTCCAAACTCTAGACAATCTGTACCCCGATGTGGTTGAATCCTTGCTATCGGCGCCTCTGGAAAGCTTCGGCCCGTCAGCCAAACTCTGCTCGATTATGACAGGAAACGGTCTCCTCGAAAGGTACCCCCTGCCTCACCTTCGCACATTCGCCGTGACGGCTGTACCCAGCGACTTGGACCCATTTGATACACCGGAATATGTCGACAAAGTCCTTCGACTCGGGCAGTCTTACGGCCCGCAGCTGCATGAGCTTTTTATCTACGTCTGGGGGTACGACGACAGCCGGAACAATACGGATGCCAGCGTAGGCATCCTCGTCGCACACCTGTCCAGCGGCAGGTTTGATAACCTGCGGTCGCTGTGTTTCTCTTGGGCCACTGATCCCGAATTGAAGACTCTGCGCGCCATTGGCTGCCACCTCTTGGCCTTGGAGGAGCTTTCGTTTGGCTTTCAGCCAGATGAAGAAAAGACTTTTGCCACGTTGAGGGACGAGTGGCGGTTCCCCTGGCACACGACATCCTCGCCAGACCACGGTGATTTCATCGCCGCCATCGCCCCTCTACAGCGTCTGCAGAGGCTCTGTGTCTTTGGAGATGAGTTTGTCGCGGACTGGGCCGGGGACGGCTGGGCCTGGCATCGGTTCTTCAAAGAGCACGTCTGGTTTCATCAAGGGCGGAGCTTTGTGCACCGCGAGATGGGGAAACAGGGGCAAGGGCAAGACTGGTCCGAGACCATGCGCGGACACACCCGCACAGGCGACAAGGTGGAGGACTGGGTCACGCCCTGGGTGACCGGAAAGGAGAGCGTCCAAGGGGCCCGGCAAGCCGTCGCGGAGATAGCCGCTCGATATGCAGACGTGTTGCCCCAGTTGCGGGAATTCATGTCGGGCAGAGTATTGGTCGAAATTGCACGTTGATGAGCGACATGACTGTACCTCAAGCTCGTGGCCCCTAGCTGCAGTTGAACGACCAGCATACTCGACCTCGAATATAACAAACAGCAGCGCCCGCGATAAAGAGATCGGGGTTACTCATCGTGGCCACGTACGAATTCTTGACGACACCGAGAGAAATGCCGGTGGAGGCGTAGATGCCCTCGTCACTAGTCTGCCACCTTATTGGACATGGGTTACCGTCGCTGCCAAAGGTACAGCCTTTGATGATGTCAAAGTCAGACTGCGTCTCTCCAGCGAAGTAGTTTCGTAGCGATCCTGTAGTTTTGTGCCAACGCCAGGGAGGCCGGCAACGACAGGGATATCGAAGGCGTCAAGCTCAGCCTTGGGGCCGACTCTACTGAGCTTGAGGAGCTGAGGAGTGTTGAAGGCGCCGGCAGCTAGGATGACCTCGGCCGATGCGCTGATGGAGCCAGCGGTCGAAGAGGCACCAGACGTAGCGCGAGGATCGGCCTTGGACAGACTCTAGCCCGGGAGAAATTCGACAAGGATTGCGCAGGGCTTCGTCCCAGACTTGTCGAAACGGTCCTTGGTGACCAACGTGTTCATCATGATGTCAAGGTGGTACTTGCGGGAGCCGTCCGCGTTCTTCGCGTTGGCAGTCTCGAGGACGAACTCGCGGGGGCCGACCCGAATGCCATCCTTGACTGTCATACGAACCTAGTGGAGCCCCTCAGCGGAATCCCGACCTGGAGTGTCCGCACTGACGTCCCCGGGCAAGACTTACCCAAGGCCGTTGACGGTGGAGAGGACGAGGCCGAAGAAGCCCTTGCCCATGGCGGATTCGGCTGAGACAATGACGGTGAGGAGCTTGATATCCTTGGTGACGAGGCCGAGATCGGTGACGCTCGTCGTGAGCCATCCTTCAAAACCGTGGCCATCAATGGCGTTGGGAAAATATCGGGCGCTCTTGAGGCGCTTGAAGTACTGGCGCATGTTGGCAGCACTCCATGCGCTGTCGCCCGTCAGCGTGGCAAGCTTTTCCCATCCACTGTCATGAGGGTAAACGGTGATCAGAGCATTATGCGTTGCGTAACCACCGAGGGTGCCCGCTCTTGGGTATATCACACCAAGCGGCTCTGCATCAGAACTGGACGCAAGACCCGTATGCAGACCTCCATCGTCCGTCCTATAGGACATTTCGGTCTCGATCCGCAGCCTTGTACGAGAACATAACTTGAGTAGATTTCAGTCTCAACGAAGCTATTCAGCGCCTCTAGCAGTGGTGACGGGGGACGCCGAGCCTGCGTAGATACCGATGGTGGTGGAAGTGCCGGGCGGTATAGAAAGTACAACGTTAGTCCCTCTAATAACGCTACATTAGGGGAATCGAGGAATAACTAAAGCTGCCTAACCGGGGTTGCAATATCTACGCCGCTGGTAATATTCTCGGCAGACCTCTCCGAGAGCACATGAACTATTTGCTCTTATTTAACCACGATAATGTGCTTACTATTGGAGGTGTCGGACTGGCTTTGGGCAAGTCCCCGTTTCGTGTCTCGGGATTCCGCTTATTAGGGAATGCGCTTCCTACGAGATAAAAACTCAGTTCCCCCCCTAGGACACGGATAGAGAGCATGCTGTAATGCTCTTTTTAGTTTGTGGATCTTCCAGGGGGTTGAAGACGGCAAAGGAAAGAATAAGCGGCGCATTGTAGTAGTTCAGTCGATCAATAGAGGGATACACTGTCCAGTTGGCAGGATCTGCGCTAGCACTATCCCAGAGACTCGGGCATGAAGCTTCTCCTGAAGAATAAATGGAATTGCCTGGACCGCCTGCTCTGGTTGTGTGTGGTGGAAGGCGGCAAGAGCGAGAAAAGCGAGCTGACGGATGCTGATATAGCCGGTTCTTGCGACGTAGCCCAGCCGTGTTCGTCTTGCCGTCTGCGTAGCGGATGACCTGGAACCCGATCATGCACACGACGATGCCGTCTGACCCCTCCGCTATGTTATCCCTAAGCCCGAGTATCCTCTGGGGGAATATGTCTCGTGGAAAAGCTCGTAGAGGTGAATATGATGTACGACAGTGATAAGCTGTCGATCTGTGTGGAGGCGAATGGAAAGTGACTCGGGAGGCTGGCTGCATCGAAGTAAATCTCGCAGGCTGCGTATCGTGTTATATCCGTCCGGGACGCGGAATAAGAACGAGATAGTCGAGGCACTAGGCTGCCGAACAAATACCTTGCACCTTAACATCCCAGACGTGAATAAGTTCGAGTCGCGCAAGCGGTGCGCGAGGTCCCGGGCGTGGTCCAGCTTCACCGCCCGCATGGACATAGTGTCGATAACGTGAAGCTTCATGTTGTTGGGCCCGGCTATTTGGCGATCACCGCCGCATAGTACGGTATTTCAGTTTTTCAAGGTCTTTGAGTATCTTCTCCGCAAATAGCGTGGACTTGCCCGGCTCGAACGCCTGGCGAAAGCGCAATGCCTGTCGTGTGGGCTCATCAGTGGGCTTCAGAACGTTTCTAGTTTTGGCCGTGGGGATCATGGCCTTGAGTACGCCGTCAATGTATGCGGGGGCCATCTTGAGCAGCTGGGACAGCGAGGGCTCCAGCAGCTTCTGCTACTGCTCAAGCTCCGCCACAGCGCCCTTGAAACTCTCTTTGAGTTTGACAAACTGAATCTTGCTCAATTTCGTGGACCTGGAGTATTGGCTGAGCTTCGACACGCATTAGACTGCGGCTTCCAGCTCGGCTTGGAGAACACAGAGCGACCTCTGCTGCATATCCTTTTCCTCGTCATCATGGTGCGATCAAGGTGGTAGGTGATCCCTAGTTGGGTGATGATCTTTTTCCAGCGGACCACTATCCTGAGCGACAGCTCATGGAGCTCCACATCGCCCTTGGCATAGTCTTTGACCTTCTGGCGTAAGTACCTGCCCAGTCTTGATTTGTGGTCGCTAGCTTATCGACATGGAATGACGGCAATGTAGACCTCCTCTCCCTTTTTCTGGAGCGAAGTGGGCAAACTTTGCTTACTTCCGACAGATATGGACTGTGGCCGGAAATCCAACGATACCGAAAGCTAATTCAGCCATGACGCGAATAGCGCCCGGGCGAGGATAACATCCCGACAGATATACATGTAAGGATGAGAATTAGAGAGTGCACGTGTGAAGGGTAGGTAGAGTGCCATGTAATTAACATAGCCTAGACTAAAGAAGCGCCTGAGATCCGTAGCGGGGTATACATTAGACGAATATTACAGACGAAAGTAATTATAACTAGCCATTGAAGCAGCAAGAAGAACCTTGTAGCGCTAGCAATAGTGCGCTATGTATAGTAATAGAGGAACTCTAAATAAACTATCGTGTTATCTTAATTTATTCTAGGTGTATTTATTCTCTTTCGCGCGGAAACATAAACTATTATTATCTATAGTTATAGTAGTTAGGGATTCAAAATAGATTTAGGGCAGGGCGACGCATAGAACTTTCACTTGGTATTAAAATATAGCCATCGTAAACAGGTTGTTATTAGAAATTCAGGGTCTATATATCGACCCCAGTACTAAGTAGCGTTGCTGAATAGCGCTGCATCCATAGACGCGCCGTCCCAGGCGGACCAGTCTATCATGTCCAGGTCGAGGTCGAAATCCAGTGCTGGACCTTCAGTCGAATCCTGCGGTGCCTGTTCACCAGCCGTCGCCACTAAGCTAGGCTGAGGCAGGTTGAACGCTTTACAAATGTCCATGATCCACGATGGGGTTTCCTCGCACCGACAATTGGCATCCTGTTTTCGCCGATGCATTTGACGTCTCTGCCACGCACTCGCCGTGATACGCGCGGCAAACGTGACGTCTTGACGGTGGGCATCGACTCGTAGCTCGTCGTGGGTTTCGTATGTTCGACGGATGATCCGCCATATACCCTCGATAGCAGCCTCCTCGGCCCGATGGCTGGCCTCTAGAATAACATAGATGACTGCATAAGATGTCAGTGGGTCGTCCTTCCTCGGATCAGCGACAGAGACCTACAAGCGGCCCAAGGGAAGAAGGCGTTGTTGTGCCACTTGAACCCCTCGAGTATTTCATTCGTCTGGGTCAGAATGCAGTACTCCAAGTTCTTGACGCAGATTGCCAGGAGTGCATCACGCTCCTGGCGTGACATGTCGGAGATTTTGGCATGGACAAGGGCGGGCTGACGAAGAAGCCGACGCGTGGCGACGAGGAATTGGCAGATGGCCAGTTGCATGTTGACATGGAGAGGGTTGAGAAGCTCGCAGTACTGCACGAACTTGACCCGCAGCATCTCCTCGATCCTGTCCACCATCGAAGTTGTCTGGTCCGCCGTGAGCACACCGTGATCGGCCCCGCGGGCGCCACGGTGGAATTGAAGCACGTTGTACTTCCAAAGACAATTGGACATGCTCGTGAGCGCCGTGCCATCGGCTGGAAGGGCTTTCGTCTCGGGAGCTAGCGCACCGTCGTCCACGTTTGCCGGCATCTTGGCGTCCCATTTGCCTAGGACGCTGGGGCTCAGGGCGCCGATCTGGTGGGCCACGGTGAGCTCCATGTACTGCAGCTGCCACCACATGCGACGGCGCTCTTCGCTGCGAAGGACGCTGAGACCCAGAAACTCGCCGTCTCGATGGAGGCCCATCCGCTCGGCGACCCGGCTCGCCACGCCCATGAGAGAGAAGAGGGCGGCTGGATGAGCGCGGGCGCGTATCGCGTGCTAGACACGTGGCGGGTCGCGTCAATGTGCTTCTCGAGAGAAGGGAATCCCCGAGAGGGATGCGGCTGGCTTACCAGGTAGAGCATAAAGGCCTGTACCGTGAGTTTGTTGGATGTCACCGCGTACCCGGCAAGCCTTAGGGACACTTCGGTGGTGTGATGCAGGTGTGCCAGAAGCAGTGGCTTTTCCTCGTGCAGCAGACGTACACAGTCGTCTTCGGGCAGACTGACGGCGGCCAGAAAGCTGATGGCACATAAGAGCGCCCCCTCCGGCGCAGACAAACCAGACGCCTCCTGCTTGGCCCTCTTGATCACTGGCTCGACTTCCCAGTCGAAGAAGATCTTGACAAGGGGGTGCACATTCTGTAAGAAGACGGTCCACAGGGTATCGAGGTGTTGGCGGGGGACACGCCGTGCTTCAGGGCGAACTGTGTCTGGGGCCTCGACAGGATCGAGGATGGTGGAAACGTAACTGCTCCCACTGGCCGGGGATAAACAAAGCTGGTGTCGCAGCGAAGAGACAGCAGGGTTGTCGTGTTGGAGGAACTTGGCCTCTCCCCAGCTATACCACATGGGCCTAGACAGGGCAGGTCAGCCTTCTGTTGCTCACAGTTTACATGTACTCGGGAGTTCCGGGAGAGGTTGAGACGAGACAACGGGTAAAGAGCACAGGAGACCCACGACTCGACATATGTCGCTTCCTCATTGTGCGCTAACAATCCGGCGCGATCAATAGCCGCCGTCGTCGCTGATTCGCAAGAAGATGGCTCGATTCGAGCCGTGGCAGATGACTTGGCCGACAACACCGATGCTGGCGATGGATATGTTGGAGTCTGACCATGCTGGGGCTGGACAATGTCGTTCGGGTCTCCCCCGAGGCTTCGGATCACCTGCTCGAGAAGCACAATTCGCTCACCCAGCCCATCGTGGCCGCGCTCGGACACCGCGATGGGCCTCGGATATTCGCAGGTATCCTGCGGGCGTCGCTTGCAGTGGCAGCAGGGCTGCTGTTTGTCGCAGCGGACCTTGCGACTCGCGCAGGGGATGCAGCTGACGGGTGTTTTCCCGCTGCGCATGACGAGGATACCCGATACACACAAAAAGACACACACAAACACGCACGGCGGCTCGCTGGAGGAGGGGAATAAAAGTGCGGAATGTCTTTGCACAGAAGAATGGTGCAACATTCCCCAGCCGGTTTCTATGACTTAATCGACATGCAGGCTCAGCCCTACAGGGTGAGGTCTCCCGAGTCCCGAGCTCTCGGCCAGGATCTCGGACTTCGGTACCGAGGCCGAGGGAGGCCGAATATGTATATTGAACCACCGGTCGAAGTGAGTGAGCTGTCTTGCGCCTTGCAGTCGATGATGCTGTTCCCCAATACGGAGATTCAGGGATTATATAGGCCTCTCCTCACCTTGATCAGCAGATGGTCTTGACTCCTGGGGGGCCTGGGCCCTAACCAGTACATGTATAACACGAAGCGCCATTCCCTTCCATGAACCCTTGATCAATATAAGAATATCATCATCTCCCTAGAAGACAAGACGCCAAATCTAGCGTACATCTAGAGTCCCTGAATTCCAAGTGTCAAGACTCCAGCCACCATGCCTGACGAAAAGCAGGACTCGGAGGAACGCGGCGTAGCCGCCAGGAGAGAGGAGTATCCTTCGAAAAAGGTCCTGCTGCCCATTGTGCTATCCGTCTGCCTGGCCAGCTTTTTGGCGTCGCTTGTCCGTTCCTCTAACCATACCCCGTCCGCCTGCAGCCTCGCTAACAAAGGGGGATCCAGGACCGAACAATCATTGGCGTCGCCGTGCCGGCCATCTCGAACGAGTTCGGGTCCTTTGACGATATATCGTGGTACGAATCTGCGTATCTACTCACGTTTGCAGCGCTGCAGCTGCCCGTGGGCAAAATTTATGTACGTACACACAATAAAGGGGTCATTCGTCTCCCTTCACCGCCCGCGACTTGACCTATCCTTCCGAGGCTGACGCTCTTCCCGCACCCTCAAGACCTTTTTTCGAGCGAAATGGGTCTTTAGCCTGTTCGTGGTCATCTTCCAAGTCGGCTCCGTCATCTCCGCCACCGCCCCCAGCAGCGCGGCCTTCATCGTGGGACGCGGCGTCGCGGGCATCGGCTGCGCTGGCCTGTCGACGGGCGGCCAGGTCATTTTTGTCGACATTCTCCCGCTCGAGAAGCGGCCCAAGTACCAGGGGCTCCTTGCGGCCACGTTTGGTGTCGCCGCTGTCGCCGGCCCGCTCCTCGGCGGCGTCTTTGCCACCAAGACAACCTGGCGTTGGTGTTTCTGGATCAACCTCCCAATTGGCGCTCTGGCGCTGGTCATGCTCCTTCTCCTCCTCCCTTCCAGGCCGGCGCCCAAGAAACGGTCTGAGAAATCTTTTGCGCACAAGATACGGGAATTTGATCCGGTAGGGACACTGCTGCTCATCCCGGGCCTGATCCTGCTGTTGCTGGCCCTGCAGTGGGGAGGCGAAGAGAATGCCTGGGGGAGCCACAAGGTCCTGGGGACATTGGTGCCTGGATTGGTGCTGCTCCTCTCCTTTGCCGCATCACAAGCTTGGATCGGAGACAATGGCACCGTTCCGCCCCGACTCCTCAGACAGCGGAGCATCGCAACCGCATCGGTGGCATCACTGGGTGTCGGTTCGGCGCTGATCATCGTGACATTCTATCTTCCCATCTGGTACCAAGCGATACAGGGCCTGTCGGCTGTCGATGCCGGTGTTCGGATGCTCGCATACTTTATCGGCACCGTCGTGTTTGTCATTGGCTCTGGGGCCGCCGTCTCCAAGCTGGGCTACTACACACCGTGGTTGATGGCGGGCACGGCCCTCATGGCTGTCGGCTGCGGTCTCCTTGCCACACTGCGTGTGAGCTCGCCAGATGCTCACGTCATCGGATTCCAGGTAGGGTGTCCTCATTGAAGTTCTGGATGGGTGAGCTTGCTGACCGTGGTCTGCGACCAGATTCTCTTCGGTGCTGGTTTGGGCTTCTCCCTGGCCCAGCCCATCAATGCCGTCCAAACAGTCCTGCCGCGCGAGGATATTCCGACGGGACTCACCATGGTCAACTTTATGAAATTTGTGGGAGGCACGATATTCGTGAGTGTATCCCAGGGCGTGTTGACGAGCACTTTGCGAAGCGAGCTGCGTCGCAGCGTGCCTGACTTGGACATATCGGCCATCTTGGGCCAGGGAGCGACGGATCTTTCCCAGGCCGTGTCCAACGACCAGCTGCCGCTTGTCCTCGTGGCGTACAATATGGGGTTGCGGCACGTCTTCTACTGCGCGATGGCTGTCTCCTGTCTAGCTTTCGCAGCCTCGTGCTTCCTGGAATGGAGAACAGTCAAGCAGCAACAAGAAAATGCGCAGGTCGGGCATGATTCAGCCTAGAGGAGTAATTGTCCTCGGTCGGGTTCATTTAGCCGCGTCTTTGGCAGCACAAAGGGAAAGAAGCGCGAATTCAAGACCCTTCGAGGTACCGCGGCGAGAGCTTCTCATTAACAAGCTGCCCCAGAGCCCGCTATTACTTCTCCAACCAACACTTTATACTTATCTCCCTAGTCAACGACTGGGCTAAGTACATTAATAACTAGTTTAGCAGTCTAATCCAAAGTGGCGTTTGTTAATAGCTGAGAGTACGAAATAATAGATTGGTCACCTCTCTACCCCTGGAAGCTAGTTAGAGCTGCACAGGTATATGTCTGGCTTGAGATCCTTATTCATATGGGATTCTATAGGAAGATAACAGACGAAGACTATTGGAAGACGTCTTGGCTAGAGGATCAACGGCCTGAACACTTGATAATCGAGCCTATAACTCACAATAGATGCCAGCTTCTTTATCCCTATTGTTTTCTAATGTGTTGAGATATGGTCTCATCAAGTTCAACTTGCGAAAACAGAGCTCTATGAGCCGGGCTCGTATCTTGCCGTTGACGAGGCTATGATCCAATACACAGGAAGGAATAAGTAAGTTGCGTAGTGTTTTGAGGAAGGCAGTTGTAGCTGGCTATCAGTGCTCCTAAACTTTAACCAAGACCCTGGAAGTGTTCTCTCTAGTCCTCCTTTTCTGCTCGGCTCTTTTCCTAACTGACTTGGTATGATATGCTCTTCTCCAGAACTTCTTGTGCACGTTGTCTCTGACAGCTTCATCGTGATACTGCAAACCAACTGGGAAAAATATTTGGAGCATGGAGAGCCCAGCCGTTGGTACCCATTTTTCCAACTCCATCAAGGCTCCGTGAACGCCTGTGGCGTATATCATGCCCCCAGGTTTCTCCTCCTCGCGTGTAAAAAGGGCTCGAACTTTGGACGTGAAGAGCGAGATATTTGTCTTTGCACTGCCGGCTTGTCCAGCTGACTCCGGCTTCAGCGCCTCAAGCCAACGTGGCACCTCGTCCTCCCCTGACATTGAGGTCATCCAACGTGGCATTGGGAATGATTCATGTAAGTAGGGATCTGCATCCATCACGAGCTCTGCGTTCTGCTTCTCTGAAGCCCAGACGTCAAGGCCAACGAGCGCTTGAAGGTCTTCTTCCAAATTGACGTTGGCGTCTGCGTCGTCCCTGTAGGCCTGGCGCCTCCCGATTATAGTTGGTGCGCGTCGGAATTTGGTGAGATGAAAGTTTGAAGCCCCTGGCTTCCTGGAGACTCCGGCTGCAAGAATGTTCTGCAACATGCCGAGCCCTCCGATGCCGATCAGAAACCAGGTATGTTCTTTGAGCCCAGATATAGCGATTAGGAGGCAGATCCACAACATGGCAAGAACAAGGGATATCCAGCGGGTTTCTGTCCGAGGGACTGGTGTGCGCGTTGCGAGTCTTTCCAGGTCCCAAGAGCCTTGAGCACCGATGAATACCATGATATGGAGGTAACCGTTGCCGCGTGTGAGACAAGTCACCTTGTCGTGATCCAGCTTGCTCGGGGTGGCCCATTTCTCCTCAGCCCACTGTGGCATGGCACAGGTAATAGTGATGAGTGTGATTCCAGATAAAGTCACTAGCATAATCGCCCAGTCGCCGTATAAGACCCCAGGAACAACAACTATTACCAGTTGGATGAAAAGAGTGACCCATCCAAGCCACCACACTAGGTCACAGTGGGTAGTCGATATGGGGTCTTGGTGGAATATATCGATTCTGATAGACTCGGCTTGACCTCCATCGTCCCGTGAGCGCGGATCGACAACATGTTTAATCTCATGGTCACGGAGAAGCCGTCCTAGTACCCAGGAACGGTTTTCTCTGACAAATCCATTGGAACAATTGACAAGGATAGAAGGACAGTCGCTTGTCGGTATGAGACTCATACTGCCAACGGCAGCGAGGAGGTTTGAGAATCCGTAGGTTGCCCACCCGAACGAGAAGGAGACGGGTGCAATCGAAAGGTAAGTGTTAGTCCCAGGTAGGCGGATTTTATGACCCACGAGCTGAGTGATGGCCTTTTGCACAATGTCACCGCCGATGAGGAGAAGAATGCTAAGGATGTCGCCTGGGTTGGCCCATTGGCTTCGGAGGGTTTCCGCTGAAGAGCCCATAACGTCAGACACCCACCCAGCGGGGGGTCAGCAAGATGATGCGTAGTGGCTTTGAGGGTCCAAGCTGGAAGAGAGGGAAGTATTTGGATAAGACCGAAATGTTACATGTGATACCTTGATCCTCCTTTAAATCAGCATTGTGGAGACATTTGATTGTTGATGAGGCGGACTATTCGCCGCCTTGTAACTTCAACGCACACAGCCGTAAATCTCCCTGCAGGCGGATTTCTGCCTGGGAGAGCTGTATTGTAGAATTACTCTGCACTACTTTATTTGCAGCATAGCAGAAACCTACGTACCACCAACAAACGCCTGCATAAGCGAAGCCTGGGGTAGGTGAGTTAAAGCGGCCCTAGCCTCACTTGCTGGTCTGCCTCAAAGCTCGCCTCGCCCTCGAGATGACGGTCATTGGCTTCAAAATAACGTAGCACTCAAAATGCAAAGCAGGTCGTTGGACGAAGTGAGATAAAGGTCGGCGGCTTGGCATGGGGTGCAGCCCAGGCGAGCAGCCAACGGCCCTTCATTCGGCCATCATAATCCGCAATCACAGCAATCCCTGCACGCGCCTCGTGGCTGGGTTGCTGTTAGGCAGACTACTTGGTCGGAATGGGACGAAGTGAGAGAAGATCGGCGGTTAGGCACAGGTGCAGGCTGCAGCCAGGTGACCAGCCAACGGCAACCGTAAAGGCCCGTCATTCGCGCTGTCATGATTCACAACAATCAGCTGCATGCGCCTCGCGGCTGTGTCGTTAGGCAGACAACTTGGTCGGAATAAAGGGTTTTTCCCCTCCCCCATCCGAACACATAGGTAGTTCAGCGCTTAGTCTGCACGCTCAGTCGCAGATATTCGGCCATCTCCAAGTCGCTCCAAATCACAATTCCCACAGCCTACTTTGTGAAGCTGAGTGACTACTGTTCAACTTCGTTATCATTTTCCGAGGATGGAACCGGGTACTTCCAGACTGCTTCCTATGCGTGCAGACGGATATGGCTTGGACAAGGGTACTATTTGTCCCGATTCCAACTGACCATCGGTCCTGGAACATCCGAGTTAACTGTCTGAATAGCCGTGGACAAGCTGTTTACTTCCATCTTGAACCACCTTGCAGAGACAGACGTCTTTGGCAAGTCAGAGTCCCCCAGCATATTCATTGTTTACGCACATGACAATGCAAAAGAAGGCACCGCCAATTCTTGGTGTGTCGTCCGTCTTATCGAATGGCTGAAAGCCATCCGATCTCGAACCGTCTCCGACAAAGCACCACTACCTCTGTGGGCATCGCGGGTAGGAGGTTCCGAGTCCATCAAAAACATTCTCTCCAACCAATTTTGTTTACTACCCGGCAGAAGCAATTCCAATGACGCCGGTACCGTCCACCGCGTGGACAAAGTTGTGGTTTGTGGCTCTGAAGTTCTGAAACGATACTATCAGAACAGTTTCACTTCATCGTACATCGACGCTATCATAACGTCATATGTCGAGGGGCAGAAGAAGCTGATCGATTCCCATGCATTGGAACGCAGTATCAGAAGCATCGTAGAGGCCCAGTGTCAACATGATATCTTCCACCACGTCCTTACTGAGATTGCCTTTCTCAGTCTTCGAAATTCATACTCCAAGAATAACCATGGCATCATTCCCGTTACACTTGATCAAGACCTCATGGCGTGGCTACCGTTTCGCGACAATTGCGACTTGGTTCTTAAGCTCAAGTCACTGAAGAACACCGACTTGCATCAACTCTTTTTCAAGCTCCTGGGACAAATATACTTGGAGGAGCACGTATTGATTAGCAAATGCAAAGAATGCTACGACCAAGCCAAAAAGCGATTTCAGGATGAACCTGACTTGTCGGAAGCCAGGAGTCAACAAATCGTCGACCAAGAGATCAGCAAGGCACAAAAGGCCCTGAGTGGGATTGAAAATGCTGCTCTCCGCAGTCGAAGACGGGACATGGACCGGCTTGGCACCGATGAGCATGACCAAAGACAAAACCAACGACTTGGGGATGTTTCTGTCAAGCTCAAGTATCTATTTGATGAGAACAAGGCCAAGGTAGACAGTGACAAACTCCACAACTTCATCGAGTGGCTGTCAACTTGCCCATTCCGTGTGCATCACAACTCGGTGTCGAGTAGGCTGATGCCAGAGTCTGGTACATGGCTCTCGAACCACTCCGTGTATCAGAACTGGTTGCAATCGTCCTCATCATCCATCATGTTAGTTCGCGGCGTTAGGGGTTGCGGGAAATCATCCATGTTCTCAGTGATGGTGGACCAGCTTCTGTCCGAAAACCAGAGCAGTGGCCGTGAACCTGCTGTCGCCTACTACTACTGTGCTGATGAGTCATCCGAGTCAGATCGTGCTTCTCCCAGTGCTATACTTCGAAGCATACTCAGACAGTTGGCAGTTGACGAGAAAAGAAACACAGTCGAGCCAAAGATCTGGTCAGAATATGAGACGGTTGCTGATTCTACCAAAAGCCGAACCAACCTGGTCAGGCTGGGGAGTCGCGGCTGTGTCGAGCTCATCCTGGAGCTTACAATGAGAAGGAGAGCATATATCGCACTCGATGCGATTGACGAATTACGGCAGGAGGCTCGTTCTGAGCTTATTGAATCCCTCCATCGTATCGTCAACGAGTCCGACGGACTGGCCAAAGTGCTTGTCACCAGTCGCAACGATGCCCAGATCGAAGGCCTCTTACAATCTGCAACCACGATAGAGGTTTCTCCTGCGGAAAATCAATGCGACATTGAGAAGTTCGTTGCGTCGCAGCTGAGGACAATAGTGCGTGGTCGACGACTTCTGAACGGCAGCGCGTCAGAGACGCTGTTGGAAAAGATGCGCGTCTCGTTGATCAATGGGGCGCGAGAGATGTGAGTTGATATACCGTCAAGCAACTGACAATGCTGACTTGATGGCACGGCAGGTTCTTGTGGATTCAACTACAGATCGACTGTCTGTGTCGCAAGAAGACGGAGCACGATATCATCACTGCTCTCGACGCCGGCCTGGCGGAAAATTTGGACAAGATCTACGCCGAAACCTACAAATCATTCCTTGAATTGGACAGAACCGCAAAATCTGTGGTCAAAGGGGTCTTCTCCTGGATTCTTTATGCGAAAAGTCCTTTGACAATCAATGCTCTACGCTGCGCACTGGTGTTGGGCCCAGATCTCGCGAGCCAACCTGAAGCAGTAACGCTTCCTGATCTAGTCGATGTTTGCTACAACCTGGTGGTTCTAGACTCGACAATGAACACACTTCGCCTCTGCCACCCATCTGCTAGGGACTACATGCGCCAACAACACATGTTCTCAGAGGTCTCTGGAAACCAGCTTTTGGCCGCATCCTGCCTTGGAAAATGCTCCCAGGGCCTGGCTGATCCCCCAGAGTGGCTCTCAAGTCCCTACGCTATTGACAACTTCTCCCTGTATGCCGCCTTGTACTGGCCAGAGCACTTGAAAATGGCGGTATTGCCCGCCACGGCCACATGTCCGGCTGCTGAGGAAATGGCTCGATTTATCTTAGATGAAGATAATGGTGGTCTCAACGTGGCTTTCGAATGGTGGCTTGACTTCATCAACCAGGTCTTGGAAAAGCTTCCTCCGTACCATACCCTCAAAAAGACCCATGAATGTGTCGCTTCTCGTAACGGGCCAACACCGTTGTTCACTGCTTGTGCTTTCGGCTTGCGCAGTCTATTAGACTTGACACTATCCAATGTGGAAGATGTCAATCTGGAGCAACGGAGCGACACAGGCCATACGCCTCTTTACCTTGCGTGTACCTTTGGACATGGGTCCGTCACATCGAAACTTCTCGAGAACGGGGCCGATGGCAATGTCACTTGCGGAAGCTATGGCAATCCATTGCAAGCAGCTTGTTTCCGGGGACATATCGATGTTGTCAAGACTCTCCTGTATCATGGCATTTCAACACATACTTCGACTGCAGCGTTCAAGAACGCACTGCATGCGGCTTGTGAGGGATCTCGATCCGATATAGCAGTCTTTCTCATCAAGACAAGCTCAGTAATCAGGGACGGAGAAGACTACGAGGACGCCCTCCAGAAGACCGCCGAGGCGGGCTTTCGGGATGCTGTTGAGTACTTGATGAAGCCCGATGTAGCCAGAAAGTTTGGCCGAGACACCGGCAAGGAAGAACTTCGACAGGTACTTGTCCTTGGGGCGATCAAAAAAGGTCGAGTTGACATGCTGCAATATCTCCTACGATCCGACCTAGGAATGACCGACAACCTACCAAAAGACGCTATGGCAATCGCAGCTCTACGCGGACATGTGGAAATGCTTGTTCTTCTTCACCATCTTGGTATGGATATCGAGGCAGAAGGGGAGTTTGGGTCACCATTGCGAAGCGCAAGTCTTCAGGGAGACACTCGTGCTGTCCGCAAGCTCCTGGAAATGGGTGCCGACGCTACAGTAAGCAGTTCAAGAGGCGATCCTCTACAAGCAGCTTCTAGCAAGGGACACGTCCATACCATGCGGTTCCTCATCTCACACAAAGCAGATGTCAACCAGTATGGCAAACCTCGTGGGACTTGCATACAGGCGGCAGCTTACAATGGCCATGAGGAAGCTGTCAAGTTGCTCATTGAAGAGGGTGCTGATATATACCGCGAGAGTAACAAGTTCAAGGATGCACTTCACGCAGCAGTGCAAGGCGGTCACCTCGAGATTGCCTCGTTTCTACAAGAGAAATATCCACCTCCTCCTGGGCGAAGTTTGCCAGCAATCACACGCGGGGACCGCCGTGAGCGGGTTTGGTATTCTAAACAGGATAATCTAGACCAAATGCTTGAGAGTGACCGCAGATCAAGCAGTCCCCATCCAGAGGACACAGACGACGAGGCTGATGGCGAGAGCGTGGAGTCGAAGGGTCTAAGTCAAATGGAACTCACCGATGAGGAGCCAATCAAATACGGCTTGGTGTTTGCGGCAACCATTGGCAACATTGCAACGATCCGTCAAGAGCTACAGGCCTCCGCAGTGGCCGAGGACGACATAACACAAGCTCTTGTGGCTGCCGCAGAGAAAGGAAACCACCAGGCTACCAAAGTGCTTCTGGAAGACGGGTTGAGGCACGTTGCATACCCGCGGCAGCCTATAGAAAAGGGACTTGTTGCTGCTATAAAGCACAGGAAATTGGAGTCTTTACGAATGCTGAAAGACGCACTCAAAGACACTGTCTCTTTTTTAACGTGGGCCTCTGCTCTCAAGGAGGCAGCAAAGATCGGAGACCGAGTCATTTGGACACAGATTCTTGTTTGGGAGATACTTGAAATTCCTCCGTTTCAACCAGACAGTACCATCGACTTTCCCGGACAAGTTCAATATTGCACCGACGACGACGAGGACGAAGGTGAGAGCGTTCCATCAAGTCCCGTGCATGCTTGCAGGGATGCAATCGAGACTGCTTGCTGCTCTGGGCACCCCGAAATGGCGAATTTGGTTTGGAATTGGGTTTTCTCGAGAGGACCAGGATTTTAGGGGCACGCTTCGATGAATGGGGAGCATTGTCTGTCACAGCGGCACGATACGCTGATGTCACGATCTTGGAGGCCTGCCTTGCGCTCGTCGAAGAACTGTGCCCAGACAGGCCACGACTGTCACAAAACCACTTGCTTTTAGCAGCCGTGCGCGGCCGGAATATTCATACTCTCAACCGCCTTCTCGAGATGACCGAGCAAGGGACTTATGATAGAAGCGAGCTCATCCCATCGTTCATGGAAGCTTGCCGGGAGGGGTTCGATGCAGGAGTTTTGCAGCTGTTGAACCGGAACAAGGGCGTTCTTCAGGCCAACGAAATATCCCATGGGATGGCCGCGGCATCAGCCTCGGGTCACAAGAGAATAGTTCTCAAGCTGCTCCACAACTTGAAATGCGAGCGAAGAGGCACCGCTTTCATCAACTATGTAGTCCAGAACGCTCTGCTCAGTGCAGCTGGAGTCGGGGAGTCGGACGTCATTCAGCACATGCTCGATGATACGGATATTCGGGATCACAAAGACTTCGACGCCATCATTACCCGCGCTCTAGTAACGGCATGTGAGTTGGGACACAAAAAGGTGGTAAAAATGTGTCTCGACGAGGGTGCTGATGCTGAGATGACTGTTCTGAAGGCACCTACAGACGTGGTGCCGAGTCTTCGAGATGAGGACAGTCTGTTTGGCCACCGCCTCCCGCATCCTCCTCAGCATCTTTACTCGTACCCTAGGCGCCAGGCGCCATTCTTGCCCAGAAGTCGGCCTCCACTTCATGCTAGTTTCAATGACTTTGCAAGTGGAGATGATTCTGACGATTCCTCTGAGAGCGACACTCAAGAGACAGATGCATTACGGGCCAGCATCGAGGCCTTCGCTCGCATCCGTTATGGCGAAGCCTTGACTGGGTTTGACACCCAGTATCCCGAAGAGCGAGCCAAAGAGGAACGACAAATGGAAATTGTGAGTCTCATACTCGACCATGTGACGGATTTGAGCGATCGCAACGGCGAGCAGGCTACTCATCCGCTGCGAATAGCCGCCCAATGGGGCAATAGTCAGGTTGTTCAAGTTTTGCTCAAGCATGGCGCCGCGGATGGCTTCAGTCCGGAACAGCTCACAGCCTTGATTCTACTGGCAGCAGGTCGAAAAACCGGAATTTCCCATCTCATTGTCTTGGAACTGCTCAATTTTGATCGTGAAACATGTCTACCGACGACCAAAGATGGGTCTCTGGATCCCGCCGTGCTGGGGACAATCGGCAATGCTATTCGCTTGTTGCATGATCCTGCAAGGGCTCAAGGCTACCAAATACTATCCAAGAGAGGCCTATTTACTTCACAAAAGGCTGCTCGCGATTTGATGAAAGATGGCATGAGACAGTTGATCCAGATCATATTTCGCAAGTTGCCCCATCAGACGGCAGGCGGCGGTGTCTTTGGCGACCTCCTCCACGTGGCAGCGGTTGCTGGTGACTTGTCCACCGTCAGGCAGCTGATCAAGCACGGCGTTGACGTGAATCACGCCATGTTCTTCAGTCACTCGCCCCTTGGTGCTGCCGCCGAGTTTGGCCAAGTCCAGGTCATGAAAGCCCTCACAAGAGCGAAAGCCAGGGTCCACTCTGATGAACGGAGGCAGATGGGACAGATATACGGTGCTCAGGAACCAGCTATAAAGGCTATCCTAGGAGGCCACGTCTCCGCCCTGAAGCTGCTGCTCGACGAAGGCGCTGATCCTAATCTTTACGCTGGCGATGAATCACTCCTCCTTCTTGCTGCTCAGAGCAAGACTCCAGCAATGCTAAAATACCTTCTGCAGGCTGTAGCTGATCCAAAAGCAGATCCTCTTGCCTTGGTTACCGCCGCACATGATGGCGAGCTGGATATGGTCAGCTCTCTTCTTGACGCTGGCGCAGACGCAAATTCCCTGGCTATCCACGGAACAAGCTATCGAGAGCAGCACCTCAGCAGCCCCCTGTACATTGCCTGCGAGCAGGGTCGTACTGAGATCGTCCACGTACTTCTGGAACGCGGTGCTGATGCTAACCTCGAAGTTGGGGACCATGATGGTCTTTCTCTTGTTGTCGCCGCCCGTCAAGGTCATGTGGACATTGTCGAGGCCCTCCTCCAACACGGTTGCAATCCCACTGCCTGGAGCGAAGGCTTTGGGGCAATTTCTTCCATTGACCAGCGCAAATTCGGTTCAGCGCTACGTGAACGAGACTTCCAACTGAATGGCGGCTCCTCTCAGACCCGGGGTTATGTTGCGGTTCCCCGGGATGGTCCGGCCCCCGAATCTAAGTCTATCGATTCCGAATTAGAGGGTGAAGTCTGCCTCAACGCCATTGAAAGCGCCTGTGTAGGCCAAAAGGGAGTAACAGCTAGCTTGAAAATCCTCAAAGTCCTGCTCAAGTGGGTTGACGATCCAGACAAACGTGAAGAAGTCTGCTTGGAAGCAATGCGGCAGGTTTCTGACGCCCAGAATAAGCGCATGTTTGAAGCACTGTTGGAATACGTGCCTCTGGACTCTGTTGCGCTTGATCTTGCTAGCCGATGCGGCTCCGTGAAATCTGTGCAGACGATCTTGAGCCGAGGCATAAGCATCAATGCCGCTAGTCCAGGTGGCAAAGTGCCACTACAAGTGGCCGTCGACTACGGGCATTGGGATTTGACACAATTCCTGGTGACCAACGGAGCAAATTTGGAGACTCGACTAGACGAGGACTCGCCACTCAACCTTTATCGCCTAGTGGCTTCTATCATTGAATCCTACGCATTCTCCACCCTGGCGAAGCACAAGAGCATCACAAAATGTGAGGAGATGGTTCAACAGCTTTTGCAAGCTGTCCAAGACTCCGAGGTAGTGACCGCAGCAGATCAAGAGTTCTTGGACAGATCTCTCATTCTTGCTTGTCATGTTGGAAGTGTCGAGATAGCAACCGGTTTGCTCGAACATGGCGCAAGCCTTGACAGCCTGCCGAATCTTGCTGGTCATTCCCCTGACTACCCCAAGTCATCGTTGTTTGCCGTTATTGAGGGCAACCATCCGAGCATCTTACGACTACTGTTACAGCGGGCTGCCAATCCCAAACAAAGCAGAGGCATCGTTTACTCGTTGGACGCAGCACTGCAAGCCTGTCTGGGAAAGACAAGTCCGATTCTTCTGCAGACTTTCCTTGATTGTGCCGGTACGTGTACCATTTCCGAGCAGCATCTTGTGTCAGCCGCGCAGAAAGGGAAATGGGAACGAGGCCCTGGAGAGTCGGATTTACAAATCATTCTCGATCACCGCCCAAACCTCACACCATCGGAAGAAGTGCTTGTCACTCTGTTGAGCACTGACACCCCGGCGGGTCGGGATTCGCAACGGGCACTGCACTGCCTTTGCCGATTTGTGCTGGAGCGAAGTAACTACGGTGTTACAATACGCATGCTTCAAGCGGTGCTCAACCGAAATTTGTGGAAAGTACTCCATGACTACTATGAAGAACGTCAAGCAGCTGACAGCCTGACCCGTGGTGGGAGCATATCGAGCCGTGAGCCTGATAACGGTATAGAGCGGGAGTTTCAGGCGACTCTATCGCGAATAGGGGTATCACGGAGTCGACGACAAGCTCCTTTCACAATAGCAGACTGGAGAGCAGCGGGAATGAACCCCCTGTACCCTTACGGAAGCTAGCTTCTTACTAGGATTTGGAGAACCAGCTTTGCTAGAGATGCCGGAAGTCCTTCGACGCATGTCTCTCTCGTGACTGTGTCTTCGCATCAGTCTTTGAAAATGTTTCTTCTTGGCCTGGACCACGAGAGAAGTTCTGTCGCTGATGGAGCGGATGCAAGCCGAGAGTGTTTCGGGATACTATGAGGATAGTCAAGTAGAACTCAACCAGCCGCCGATCGAAAGCCCTCCAACAAGGCCCTGCATGATAACTTGTTAGATACACATAGCAATTGTTCCCTCGATTTTGGCGAGGGACCATCGCCTATCTGTATCGTACTCCAACGCATTTATCCCCTTGGTTTGAGCTACCAAACCCCGGGCAATCAGCGAACAGAGGGTGATGTTCCACGGCAAATGCTGTCAGCCAGGAGTACGGTTCGAGCACGCCTAATATACATCTATTGCGGTCTAATACACATGGCCTTTTTGGCTAACCTCCAGGCCGGGTCGCGACACATTGAAGCTAATCGTGCTCATCCTAGCGTCTTGTTCAGCCAGGCAAACTGGTACCTGTTCCACTCCTGCCCAGCTCCAACTTGGACGTGATATCCAGCTGTTCCATTGAAGAACTTGTAAGTTGCCTTATCGCCTAGTGCGTCTTTGACAACCTCCGGCTGGCCAGCAAAGAACCCCTCGAACTCGGAATCGACGACAAGGACGGTTACGTTTATCTTCTCCACAACGTCCTTGAGAGTGTACTGCTTGAGCGATTCGAGCCATAGGTACGGGGAATGCTGTTTGAAGCACCACAGTCCGTGTCCTAGACCCCAGCGCACGGCTGTAGGCACCTGTGGGCTATCCAAGAGCGGCAAGGCAGCCTCGTCAAATTCCTCTTGCTTGCCCGCAGCGAGAAGTTCCTTCAGGTCCGGGGTCAGCTGACCGGCGTATCCCTCGTATACATCCCACACGCCGCCATTGAGAATAAGAGCCTTGATTCGAGGCTCAAACGCAGCGGCACGAGCAGCTAGATACCCACCCATTGAAATGCCAACAAGGACCAGCCGGTCTTCATCGACGAAGCAGCCTTTGCGGTTCATCAACTCGTCGATCACTGGCGTGAGGACCTTCTCCCAATCAGGGATGAAACCAATGTCATCATTGCGGCGAACCGTGGGCTGCCCTGGCCCTTCGTAGGTCATGACATTCCAGCCACGGGCCAAGGCTGGTACGACGAACGAGTGATAGGAATCTTCTTGGCCGGCATCGTATCCGTTGCCGATAACCAAGGTCGGCCGTTTGACCCCGTCGGCTGCGGCTGTATACCAGATTGCTTCAATGGTGAAGTTGTCGGTCGTGATCTGGATACGTTCGCCAGGAACGGGCAGTGCAGCAAGCGCCTTGTCGAACGCAGCGCGTTGCTCGAGCCAGAAGCTATTGATACGCGGGTCCGTCCAGTTCGCATGGTTGTAGAAGTCGGCTTGACGGTAGTAGCTCGATGCGGCGAACCAGGCTTCCCGGACATTCAATGGATCGTACGCATTGTCCGCATCCTCGGCTTGCTTCTGGGTGTATTCGGCCAATGCGTGGAAGGTCTCAAGCCAGCTGGTGGAGTTCCCGGCCTTGATGTCTTTCGCTGCGGCCAAGACGTCGTTGACGTCGCCAGCCCCGAATATGGCGTTTCCGAGGGTGAAGAGCAGCTCGAAATGGAAGCTTTCATCCTCGCTCAAGAGGATGATGGGATCCCCCGGCTCCTTTGACGAAGTTGATGGCCCAGAGTCGCGGGAGAGGATGGAGCTTGAGGCTCCCGTTGCCCCCAGCAGAACAGCGCTGAACAGGGAAGTTAATTTCATCTTGAAAGGCACTCAGAAGTAAGTGTATAGTAGAGAAGATTGGGTAGAGTTGCTGATGACGGTATTAATCACTTACAATGTTCTCGGCGATCCAATGCCTTTTATCTTCATTTGCTTATTCTCGCAACTTGTTCCAGCGAGAGCAGCCCACAACCAACCTACACTAACAATATTCACCAGCCGTGCATCGAGCCTTTTTGCGATTGGTGTTTTCCTGGTTGTGCACTCCCAGGAACCATGAAGCTCTCGTGAATAATACCGTGACGACTAGGACGGATAAGGCAACTTTTTTGCGATTGGTCGCCTTGTAATGCGCTGCCCCTCTCTAGTTTCAGCCACCCCACGACTTTCGCAACTCCACCCGCGAACACTGCCATAGTAGCATAGCCCAGCCCATAAGACCTTAAGTCTTACTTACTAGCAACACAAGTCTGGCAGATGAGAAGGCCTGGACCATGAATTCATCACTGAATTCCGCAACGAGTCGCTGTTATACGTCCCCACCTGTCCGAAGGCTATCAAACGCGGCTAGATCTATGTCACGCGTAGCTATTGTGGTCAGAGAGTGATGATGTAAATCTGCCTTATTATTGTGTACAGAGGGAACTGCGTGCGTGCGCGTTCCTACTAAACCGCGCTCAGTCCCTGTCAAGCAACTGTCCAATGCTCCACTCGTCTTCAACTCAACAATCTATGATTCGTTCGCAACGCTATCTAATTTCCGCACGACGGGATCTATAACTCAGTCCCTGGATGCGGCGAATCGCAAACAGAACCGGCCGCGTGGCAACCCTCAACCAGAAGTAACACCGGTCCTCGTGATCATTGCGCAGCAGACATGGTCAATCATGGCCCCTCAAAGGGCTGTTCGACATGTCGCAAACGACGCGTCAGATGCGACGAGGACAGGCCAAGCTGTCGTGAATGCCTCCGGCTGCGACGGGTGTGTGGAGGTTACGAATCAGAGAACAAGACAGGCGGGATTCGGTTCAAGAACCAGGGCACTGGTGCAAGGCTCCTTTCGCCCACATCACGGTCCAGGAGCCCTCGCATGTCGACAGCACCAGAATGGACAAGGCAGGCTGTCATACCAGCAACGATTACCCCCAGCGACGAATCATCCGCTGTCTGTTTCTTCCTCACCTCGATTGCGGGCTTGGGACGCAGCTTTCACTCGACCCAGGGCTTCCTGGAGCCTCTTTTCCCTGTCGTGGCCAAGGAGCATCCGGATTCTGTCCTCTCCACCGTCCTGACCGCCGTGTCGACGAAGCTCTGGAGTTTGTGGAAAACCCCAGCAAACAGCTATCGAACGCCTCATCCTCCGTTTACCAGGGCGTTGAGTCGCATGCAAACAGCTCTCAATGATCCCCTCGAGCGCTCAAAGGACAGTACCGTCCTCGGCGCTATCTTGATGCATTTCTACGAGAGCCTCGCTGCTCGATCGACGCACCAGCGTACCATGCGCGCCCACCAGGATGGGGCTCGTGCATTGCTCGAACATGGCGCCGGGAGCGTCCCGGACTCGGATTGCCGAGCATACTTGAGGAGCTACCTGCGGCACTGTGATGTGTCGACATATATGGAAGTGCAACCGGACGACACCTCGGGCCTGGATGTATGGTTCGATGCGGGGTGGGACGATTCTATGCCAGCTAACCCGAGTACAGTCTTGGACATGATCGGGCTCTCGATTGCCGATTTGCAAAAGAGACTATCCATCCTCATATGCGGGCTGGCCAAGAATAACCTGGATGGTCTGGCCCTCGCGACTTGGTGGCAGGACGCTTCGTCCGTTGACGCACAACTCTTGGATTGGGTTCAGTTGGTGCCGGCCTCATGGCAGATATATACAAAACCCGAAGAAGACACCTTTGCTTACTTCGGGTTCTGCGATATATACCCGACCGTCCAGATTGCCACGATCTGGAATGTATGGCGCGTTTGCCGGCTCATGGTCCTGCGGATGGAGCTCTGTCTGCTTGCGAAAGCGCCCCCCGAGGCGCTGCAGCGAACCATCTTGACTGCTACCAAGGAGTACAGTTTCCCAGATCCCGATCGCGGCAGGGAGTTGGTGGACTCCATCTGCCGGTCTATGCCGTTTTACCTGGGCAACCGCCAAAATCACGGAGGCATGCGCGACTTGGCGGACCCAGCGATCAGAATCCCCAACTACCACGACCAGGACTTGGACGAAGCCGTGCGTACGCAGTATCTCCGAGGGGATCAGGCGATGAGTCTCCTCGATTACAAGCGACATATACTGGTTCAAGGCCCTTCGCACGCACTGCTTCACTTGAATAGCCTGATCAAAGTGCTGTCAAAGGAGGGCGGAGAGCTCATCTGTCGTGGGCTGCGTGGGGATCAAGTCGTCTGGATACGGGAACAGTTTCACAGGGTCTGTGAACTTACTGACCCGGTCAGTCGGTTTAATTGGTAGTGAATCATGTGCATACATTACAATGAGTCAAAGCAAACCGCGATATGGATCTACCCGCGATATACCTGACCACGCCTTGCCGTCTTGGGCAAAATAATGAGTGTTGTAAAGCGCCACATCCGAGACCTGGTCAGGAAGCGAAACTGCTATACGCTGTGAATCTAAGCCTAATAGAGACGAGTGTGTAAAAGGGGAAGGCGGATACGAGCAGCACTGTACAACAGTCGTAGCATGGGTGACACATCAACCCTCTGCTTGGCTGATGGGAGAGCTACTCGAAAGCACGCTGATAATGCAGAAGTGGAAAGGACCACGAGCCCCTAGATATACCGGCCAGAAGGCCACAATCCATCGTTTCCCACTCACGTCACAGGCAGTATAGGACTATCTTCCGTCGGTTCTTCGTGCGTGTGGACTCTGGTCCATTTCTTCCCAGCTGTCAGAGGAACCGGATGTTCTTGTTTGGAGCGTGCGATGTCCTCAGGGGGGATGTGCGGAGACATGTAGGGATATCGGAGACAGCACGAGGCTCTTCCACCACCTGCTTTGGACCTTGGTCCACTGCCCACAAACAACTCTCGAATGGACTAGAGTTGTCGCAGAAGAGGCTACAGTTGCGACCGAAATGGGCGGCCACCTGGTATGACTTGCACGCTCACTCATGCTGCGGTTGCTTCTGGAAACTGTAGGGCCACTGAGGTCAAAATTCCAGTGTGTATCCTGTGCCAATCTGCAACGTCAGCCTGTGACAGCACCAGCTGACAGCCAACCAACAACCCAGAATCACGTCTAAGCGAGCCCATATCGTTGATAACTACAGTCAACATTATGTTTCCCTCCATCAGAGTTTCCGACTCCGTTATCGACATTTCTTATCACCTTCTCCGATAGAAGATCACCTTTGCGAAAGTCGATTCATAGCGCGTCGGGTCTCATTGCAAAAAGGGTGGTTGTCCAAAAATTAAATCCGATGCGTGCATGGTTCGAACATACGCCTCCGAAGAGACTAGATATTGAAAGCAGATTCAAGTCTAGCGCCTTAGACCACTCGGCCAACGCATCATTATTAAGCCAGGCATAATTTAGAGTATATATAGCTCTTTGCATCCCAGCGTCGATTTTTTCACATCGTCACAGCGCGCCTTCAAGTTAGCGAGAGCACATACAAATCCTGGAAGACCGGAATACGTATTACCATGGCTGGTCGTAGACTAAAGCTGTTCCCGCAAGCTCTTCAAATTGCGAACAATTTGACGCAGAACCCCCACTACGATATCATCTTGAGCCCCACACGATAGTCGTCATGATCCATCCTTGTTTGCATCTTCACCATTCGAATCCAAGCCTCTCCTCCTCATTCGTTCTACGCAAGGCGAGAAAAGACGTCCCACTCCAGCCTACGATCAAAGAACATGGCCAAGACATTCATCATCACCGGCGCGAGCAAAGGCATCGGACTCGCCGTGACCAAACGCCTGCTCTCCCAATCACACAACGTGGTACTTGCCGCACGCTCAGCCGACTTGCTTGAGAAAATCAAGGCGCAGTCACCCAAGCAAGTCGAATATGTCGCTGGTGACATGACCGACGAGACTGTGTGTACATACTTGCCTGGCTTGCTCTGAACTTTATTAGGAACCAACTGAGCTAATACGCATAAAAGATCCCAGGGAAACTGGTCACTCTGGCCGTTGAGAAATTTGGCGGCGTGAACGGCGTGGTGATCAATCACGGTGTGCTAAACCCCAAGAAAATGGTGGACTCGTCACTGGAAGACCTCAAGCGCGTGTATAACGTCAATGTATTCAGCAACTTCACCATGGTAAGCTACTCTTCCCAAACTCTTCGGCTAATGTCACCTACGGTCACTGCTCACACCCACAGGCCAAGGCTGCACTCGCAGAGCTACGAAAGTCCAAGGGCTGCCTGATCTGGGTCTCGAGCGGCGCGTCCACCAAGGCCTACGAGGGTTGGGGCGCCTACGGGTCATCGAAGTCCTCGGTTAACGCACTCTCCGCGCACATTGCTGTAGAAGAGCCGGACATTACGTCCCTGGCACTGGCGCCGGGGCGCGTTGACACCGACATGCAGGCAGCACTACGATCCGAGGGTAAGGACACCATGGGCAAGGCCGTGTACGACGATTTCGTCGATGCATACAACACGGGCACCCTGCTCAAGCCCGAGCAGCCTGGGAATGTGATTGCGGCATTTGTGGCCAACCCGGACAACAACCTGAGTGGCAAGCTGGTAAAATGGAATGGCGAGGAGATGGGTGCCTTTCAGCAGTAGTAGACCTGTCTTTCCACACGAGTTAACAGCTGCTTAATCCAAGTGATGGAAATGGAAATGTGAAAGGGAGTGTTGCAAGTCAGTCGAAAGATGAAAAGCTCTTATTTATATCCACATGGGTGCGTTCGGTATTAGCATGGAATAAGTTGTATCATCATGCAAATGGTGGGTGATTCTGTAAGGAAAATGCGTGCAAGGTCTTCTTACCTATCAGTCATGCATCACATTGTTTGGAGATCAAACACTGAGATCAAACACCTCGTTCTGCAAAAGACCTGACCGCATTAGCAACGTCAAGACTTGGAGTTGCAAAAGTGTGCATGCACGATGTTGTCGCTCAGGCTATCGTTTTTCTCCGTCACGAGTGATCGGTATTTGATAGTACCGTATAGCAAGGCATCATGGCGGCAACGTGCAGGTACTCTGGCGGAAGAGTCGCTTACTTTTTCTGTACGGCATTAGCAAAGGCCACTCAAAGATGCAGCAAGACGAAAGTGTGTGCGCGTCGATCAGCAAACGTCTATTTGGCTAAGACAGTGTCAATCAGCACTAGAGGCTTGTCGGACCTCTTATGACTGGGGCGACAACAAAAATCATCATAGAAGCGAAGGGGGTAGCAAAAGAGACTTACCCAAGTCATTCAATCACGCGCGCATGTATTGTGGCACGCGGCGCATCGCATGTCGTGATGGTGCGGATGTAGCATTGCTGCTGGTTGGAAGGAAGGAAACTTGCGCGGAAAGAAACGAACGAACTTTTTCGAGCTTTTGGTGACTCGAAATTGTGGAGACACTGGGTGGCACTTGCGCCACGGTACTGAGCTAGCGCCACAGTGGCCGCTGGAAGGCTGCCTGATAGGTATAATATGGCGGCGCCGCCCCTCGTCATGGCGTCTACGGGTTTGGAGGTTCATTTCATGCACGCGACGCGACTCACTCATTCGACGAGCAAAAGAGAAGCAAACCGCACGAACAACGTTCAATTTATTCCATTGTATCAGTATCTGAAGATATTTTTGCCTATTTCTTGACGCATCATTTTCGAAAACTTGTCCCCGTCTTCGGGACATCTTGCAGACCACCTATATCTTGCGTGACAAGGGAGGCGACGCAGCTTCACACTAACACCATGTCAGATCACGAGTTTGCGGGTGAGTTATGGACGTTTTTGTCTTTGATCATTGGTACCTCCATCTGAACGGCTACGTGAGTAAGGATGCTTGCTCGAGACAATATGTCCATGATTGTCTGCAAGCGCAGCCAACATGAAATGTTGGCGTGTTGTTCCTCGAGCAAACAACAGCACCGATGAGCCTCACCTCATCGCAACTGATCTCATTCACTTAGAAGTCTTGCTATTGTCACCGAATCACGCATCATATACTCCCTCGAGTATTCCGGAGTATCCATCCATATTCTGCCGTCTGCACAATCGCAAGTATCACTCCGAAACGACACAGTCCCAGCTCATCTACCGTTGCGATGCGCATGAGCAATCAAGACAAGTTCTGGAAACGGATCGATTCGGGGTGTAGCTCATTTCCACATCTCACTTGCTTCATGCTCTCTGTTGTATCCAGTACGCTAACATACCTCCAGGTAACGACGACTTATCGTTGCCCAAAGCCACCGTCCAGAAAATTGTCACAGAGATCCTGCCCAGCAGCACCGGCCTTTCCTTTGCCAAGGAAGCTCGCGACGTCCTCATTGAATGTTGTGTCGAGTTCATCACCCTCATCTCATCGGAAGCCAACGAGATCTCGGAAAAGGAGGCAAAGAAAACCATTGCCTGCGACCATATCACAAAGGCCCTCGAGCAGCTGGGCTTCACAGACTACGTCAGTATCGTCATGGAGGCGGCGGCGGAACACAAGGAGGTGCAGAAAGGGCGGGAGAAGAAGCAGGACAAGTTTGCAAACAGTGGCATGAGTATGGAGGAGCTGGCACGGTTGCAGGAGGAGCAGTTCGCACAGGCAAGGGAGCGGCATGGATGAATGTAAAATGGCAATGAGTATAATGTGGCGTTTATGGGAAAGTGAGGTTTCTTATGAGGTTTCTTAAAAGGTTGGTCGAATATGTGTTGTCGTCCTTCATGGTCCTCGCATGGCGACACGGGCCGTCGATGAGTCCCCAGCGCGCGTGGCCAGTTTTCTGATTTGTCGCAGGGTCGTTTCTCGTCATGCCGTTTCCGACACAGTAACACTGTTTCTTCAGCACAATTCCTGGCTTAACGTGGCTCATCAGATAGTCACTATGACTCAAAAGTCCTTGTGCCCAGCTGATGCTAGAAGAGCCGTGTTGACCCGCGCTATCAACGAAAAAAAAAACCTACAGAATTTCCAGTACACACAAACGCACTTTGAAACCTACTTCGTCTTTCTCTTGCTCAAAGCATTGTTGGACGCTGCTTTCAATTGTTCTGTCGTGCCTGATCAGGCTGATCTAGGCTGGCGCTCTAAATCCCTATTAGGTATTTAATGGACCCATTCTTCATTTTCGACGATCGCTGCCGAAAATAGCGACCCTATCCCGCCGTAACCCTGCACAACGTCCAGCTCGCAACGCTTTCGTCATGCAGCAGGGCCTAAATTGTACAAGATAAAGAGGCCTAGGCTAGGCAGCTGCACGCGAATCTATACACACGACACAAGCCAACCTCCGCGACTTATCACTCTCTGCCCCAAACCTATGCGCCGGCTTTGCAACGCCCTTTGGAACCGTTCAAACGCAACCATAGGTCGCCGCCGCCGCGACAAGCACAAAGACAAAGGACCCCGCGTCCCTCGTCGCAAGATGGGCCAAGAAGAGAGCTCGATCTCCAACGGCCCGCCAGTGACGTTGCCCTCGAAAGACCTGGATGGGGTCGCCGAGTACATCAATTCGGGCCGCGCGAAGCGCATTGTCGTGCTGACGGGCGCTGGCATTTCCACCGCCGCAGGCAGTACGTGAGCCACCGAAGACTCGAGCTACGCGACGGTAGGCTGACAGTGATGACTAGTTCCCGATTTTAGGAGTCCTGGCACTGGTCTATACGACAACCTATCAAGGCTGGACTTGCCCTACGCAGAAGCGGTATTCGATATATCGTATTTCCGCGAACACCCTGAGCCCTTCTACATACTCGCTCGCGAACTCTACCCTGGCAAGTTCCACCCCACCGTGTCGCACGCCTTTATCGCACTCTTGGCTCAAAAGAACCTCCTGGATACACTGTTCACCCAAAACATCGACTGCTTAGAGAGAAGAGCGGGCGTGCCAGGGGACAAGGTTGTCGAGGCACATGGGAGCTTTGCAACGCAGCGGTGTATAGAATGCAAAAAGGAATTTGATGGCGACAAAATGGTGGAGCACGTGGAAAGGGGTGACGTCCCTCGCTGCGAGGACAAGGAGTGCAAGGGTCTAGTAAAACCGGACATTGTCTTCTTTGGGGAAATGCTGCCCAAGCATTTTGATCGGGAAACCTACCGGCTCGGCATGGCAGACCTGGTCCTGATCATCGGGACCAGCTTGTCGGTGTATCCCTTTGCCGCACTGCCAGGCATGGTACAAGAGGGCAAACCACGCGTGCTGTTCAACCTGCAGCGCGTGGGTGGGATCGGAGCGAAAAGCGACGATGTCCTGGCTTTGGGCGACTGCGATGCACAAGTGCGCAAGTTTGCGGACGCTCTTGGCTGGCGAGACGAGCTGGAGAAGCTGTGGAAGAGCGTCGTCGGTGAGAGAGAAGTTAAGCGACAGCTGGCGCAGAGGGAAGATCATGAAGAGGAGTTGGAGGACGAGGTGGCCAAGTTGACGGCTGATGTGGACAATGTTTTGCATCTAGACGGCGAGAAGAAGGAAGAGGATACAGAACAGAAGAAACATGAGGAGACCTTGCGTACAGAGGAGGAAGAGATAGCAGCAGCGTCTGAGGAGACACCTGAGACACCCACGCAGACCAAACCAGAATCCCCGTCCCAAACGCTAGATGGGGATGGTCTTCGAATGCGCTCGACAGGACAATATGGCAGAGACGCCGCGCGGGCGCACACGCCTACAGAGGCTGACTTGGTCAAAGACGACAGCAAAGGGAACGACGAGGAGCCAAAGGATAAACCAGCTTTATAACGCCTGCTTCCCATAGATATGAATAATGAACAGTCCAAATATCGCACACTGGGTCCTCCCGACGCTGAGCACCCGTTCATAGCCCGCTGTCAATCTGGTCCGGGATATTCTCTCCCGTCCAAGCTGCCCACTCACGACACGTCTCCGCCACAACCGCTGGGATCTTCATGCCTCGTACCTTGTCCTCGCCAGTAAGGAACTGCACGAAGAAGCCCGCACTCACGTGCCATGCAATGTGACAATGGAAAGGCCACACGCCCGGATTCTCGCCGGCGTCGAACTGCATGACAAGATGTCCATTGGGACGAACTTGGAAGACATCTCTCCGTTGCGGGTTCGAGGGCCTCACTATGGTTCCATCCCAAGGGCCGAGTCCCTCGTGAAGAATGTACATGTCGAAGCCGTGTAGGTGCATGGGGTGTCTAGGTCTGTCAGTCTCGTTGCGACGGCAAGCTTGAAAAGATATGCACTTACGAAACGGGGGTGTCGTTGATGACATTCACCCTGACGCTCCTGGCGTTTCTTGTGCGCCGGACATTCCACTCCTCGTCAAAGGTATAGTTCCCCAAGATGCTCAACAGCAAAGGTGGGCTATTATAGTTCCCTCGAAACGCTACTCCATCAAGGGACCACAACTTGATGCCGGATCCGTTGACAAAGAGCTTGACTTCCATTTCATATGTCAATTCAGCCTCAGGCAGGGCCAGCTCCTTGAAAGGAACGGTCGTTTCGAGATCATCGTTGGCACATGTGCCTGGGTCCTGGATGTCCCATGCCTCAGACTTGGGTTCGCTGTACGTATCGGCGTCGTCGTAGTAAATCACTGCTAAAGCATCGTGGTTCCTTGCCAGGCTGCATATCTTCGAGATGTTGCTCCTCATGTAGTATGCATCAAGCTCACCATTCGCTTCGACAATGACGTCGCTTCGTTGACCGATACCCAAGGTGACAACTTTGGTTTCGTAAGGCTGGACTGGTACAAAGTCATTGGCGATCACCGTCATACTGTGGCCATCGATCGAGAAACGCTGCAAAGCTTCTGCGCCGGCGTTGATCAATCGGAGCAGATACTTCTTCCCCTTCTCGAACCGGAATTGGGAGACACCGGCATCACTCACGCAAGGTGTGCTGTCTCCGTGCTTGACATTGGCGCAGTCAAAGTTCATTTTGCCGTTGATCAGGTTGTTGTCCACAAATACGGGTGTAGAGTTGACGGCCATCGTTTGCTCCACCAGCGTGAAATAGTCCTCATGATACCAATCAGTCAACATGACCGGACCCAGGTCAATGTCATAATCTGCACATTGCGGACCATGAATCACAATGGGTCCAATCAGGCCGCCAGCATATTGCGCCGAGTAATGAGAATGGTACCATGTAGTCCCGTACATGTTAGCCTGGAACACATATGTGAACTCTTTCCCGGGGGCAATCGGGCACTGGGTCACTGCAGGGGCGCCATCCTCCCAAGGGGTACCTTTTTGTAGAAAGCCGTGCCAATGGAGAGCAGTGCCCTCTTCTGGAGACGTGATATTATTTCGCACGGTGACCTGTATTGTATCGCCCCAGTTGGCCTCAATCAGGGGGCCTGGAAAGCCTCCATTGATCAGAAGAACGTCTTTGAGATACCCATCTGGGGCAATGTTATCCCGGGAAATCGTAAAGTCGTAGCATCTTATGACACCCGTATATGGTGCCTCGTGGTAGTAGTCGGTGCCAGAGGATAGGTGACTCCAAGGGTACCCATTTGGTAGAGGGTTATTCGACAAGAAGGCAGGCAAGGCTGCCGCGGCGAGAGTACCGAGAAGTGATTTCCTGTGCCATATCAGCATTTGCCAAACATGAACAGTCCACGTGAGGGCCTTACCCGTTTGTCTTGTTCTGGCCGATCCTACTCCGAACATGCCCAGCATGATAAGGCTGGTTGCCGTGGCCGGCTCTGGGGTTATGGCTTTGGAAATTTCCCATAATGATGTGTGATTGTAACTCTAAAAATTGACAGATGGAAAAGGTTCAACCTGGTGCTTGGTACGGGTTGGACACCAGTCGGCTTTATATCCTCTGAAGGACTAGACAGTCGCTCCGACTTTGATGGTTCTGTAAAGTACGCTGTGCTGTACGCTTGGCCCCATGACGATCTTGTATTGGCTGTCAGGGGCTGACAGACGCTAGCTGGGATGACATTGCACAAGAAACGATCGGTACCGTAGCCGTAAGCTCGTGTGATATATTTTGAGGCTTCGCCGGCCTATGTGTCATCGCCAAGCTCGCCAACCAGAGTCCCCTACTGTAAATACCACGGTGATCAGCCAAGACGTACATACCAGCTGAGTTTTCGGGGCCATTCATAGGCATTCTTTTCATCCGATGCTCTCCCATCCACCTGCAACCGGGCAATCGTCATGCTCGCGTGCTAAGCTCGGCAGATGCGACTCTCGGTGGCGTCTGCTGAAAGCTAACCTCCACACAACGCCTTGCCCCTGAATCCACGTCTTAGTCGCATCCTCAAGTGTCGAAAGTCCAAGTCGATCATTGAAGGTGAATGCCCGATGACTTCGGGTGCGGTGAGCGGGTGGTCTTCAGGCCAGCAGTAAACTGATGCATTGTCCGGCCATGCCAAGGCCCTGGAAAAGAAATGTTGTGAAACCGCGCAGCCCTCTGGAAAGGTCCCTTGCTTCGAAGCGACTCGACGCACATGCTTGCATACACGAGTCGAAAAGTGATTCCCTTGATGCAGTACAAGGTGGAACAAGATGGAAGGCTCCCCTCGTACCAGCACTGTTGCTGTGTTAGATTGCAATCTGGAGCAACTCTTCAGCTGGCCGGACCGGTGTCGTGTAGTCTCATGTGATCTTCTTTCCGTGTGAGATGTTCATACGGATTACCAAAGTCGGATGCAGACCGGCATAATCCCATCGTATTTTTCTTTGTGAGTATACCCTTCTTTGTTAGCAGTCGAAAGCCAGATGCGCGCATCTTCAGCTGTCTAGACGGCCCGAGAGTGGCGGTGCGGCGTGCGCGAAGTGGCTGCTCTATGAAGCATTTGGTGACACCCTCGAACCTTGACACCGGAAATGCACGAGACACTTTGAAAGACCTCGTCTCGGCAAGGACATGGCCTCGATGTCGTTGAATATTCTCGTCAGCAGGACCCCCGAGATTGTGCGCTTCCCCAACGAACAGATTCACAAGTGAAGCGATCCGCCGACGACAAGGGCACCTCATGATGGATATATAGAAACAAGTTGTCGTATTTTACATCGGACCTATTCATACGCAACAATACACTTCGATCAGCTCGTGTTCGCCTAGTCTCGCCTCCATGCTTGGTGTGATCGCCAAATTATCGGTCGTCGCTGCGCTTGCAAGTACATTTCGCGAATTTCGGGGTCGGCCACATCTGTGCGGATAACACTTCCTACACCCATAAAGAACCTGGCGGGTTGTCAGCGGACATTATCAACGAGTGATCAAAGGAAAGTCGTGTACCCAAAGGTCGCGCCGGAGCCGGCCATGTATTGGCCAAGAGTGCGCATCACGCCGTTCGTGCCAGCGCCGTAGCGGAAAATGTTGATGGTGCCGTACATGAAGCCGAGAATGCAGCCCACAGCTATCAAAGGTCAGTCGCGGTCTCGAGGAGGGAGATTGTTTGTCGTACTGCCGCCCATCATTGCGCCCATCTTGACTGTTTGCGATTAGCCTCGTGCTGCGTGGCCAGGAACCAAACATACGCTTGTCAAAGGTTGACGGGCCAGCCTGGCCATGTTTGATATTCGCGACGGGGGGCATTTTCGAGATGTTGTGTGATGAGGTGTTGCAGCTTCTTCGAGTCTTCGGTTCACGATTTCAACTTTCGGTCCAGCAGCTTCCCCAGCTTTCAATGCGCCCCACGCTTAGCCCGACTTGGGCTGACTCTAGGTCTGTGCAGCGGCATAAAGTTTATGCGAACGCTGTGTACAGTGCATATCGTACAGTTAGTTCCGTCATTATCACAAGTCTCACACGGTACATATCACGTGAGGAGAGCTCCCAGACGCAAGACGCCTGACGTGATGTTGTGTGCCAATTTGTACCGACAACCGTTATTTGAAACTCACAATGCATAGGTCTATATCCTATTACTGATGATTATCACGCCTGCAATCTCCTATGTTTGTCTCCTTCTTGAGGTTTGTATTCCACGCCGCGCCACATTGTGATACTCAGCTCAGGCTAGGTGTGAAAAGCCCCACTCTTTCCTGCCCGGCCCCCAGCCAGGTCCAGCTCTATCACGCTAGACGGCGGTTAGGGACAATGGGACAGAACCCAAATCTTTCCTCCTAACGACAAGCCTATCTCGACATTGCCAGAAATCTCGCGGGCGACGCTCATGATCGCGAGCCTCTTCGCCGTATTCATCCTGTATGTCTTGTTCGATTTCCTGCGACCCTGTGCAAGCACCTAGCAGATGTCGCTTGGCCCTTGGGCCGCGCTTAAATTGACCACCTAGCCTAGCTCCTGGCCAAGACCTCACGCTGACGGACTTTGACCATCAGAACGTTCCTATTCCACGACCGACATTGACGAGCACGTCGCGATTTTTGAATTTTCGACGGCTCTGCGCGGCCTTGCTTTGGCATCGCCTCTTCCAGAGCCCTTCGCCACCGCAGTGTCTCCGATCGCCTCCGACCACCGACGCACCTTCCCGACGTCCATTACAGTGATCAGTGCTTCTCATGACTGCAGTCGCGAGCTCTCGGACGTTGGCCCCGATATCACTACCAGCATGGGGCTCTACTGACGGCAACAACCCGATGAACCCTGACGACGTGAGAGGCACATTCGTGCCGCGCAAAACTCCATCACGCTCCAACTCGTCTTCATCGCTCTCATCCAACACCTCTGCCTCGTCCGCATCCACGGCCTTGACGAGCGCGTCTCAGCCGTCTGGCACATCCATCTCGACCAACTCCGACCAAGGCCAGTGGGCGGCCAACAGCGCGTCTCGGAAACGACCCCGAACACAACCCTGGCCGCCGAATAAAGGTGACCTGCAGCCGGATTTTTCGAGATTGCCATCGGGGAGGTCCAACGGAATGCTTGCCGCGCAGCAACCGCAGCAGCAGCCGCAGCAGCATGGAGGTCCCTTGCAACAGAACGGGTCCGGCTTGCTTCAGCTCACTCCTGAAAGCATGATGCCGAGACCTCTGAGCACGAATCAGCTGCCACCGGGGCAGCCTGTACTCTACTTGTTGTCACTCAACGGCACCTTTGAGCGCAAGACGATTGGTGTACCTTTTGCACCAGACACACTTCGTATCGGACGGCAGACCAACCAGAAGACCATACCTACAGCGTTCAACGGCTTCTTCGACAGCAAGGTGCTATCACGGCAACACGCCGAAATCTACGCGGAACGAAACGGCAAGATCTACATTCGCGATGTCAAGTCTTCAAATGGCACCTTTGTTAATGGCACGCGTTTATCCCAGGAGAACCGTGAGTCGGAGCCACACGAGCTCCAGACAGGCGATCATCTTGAACTCGGTATCGATATTGTTAGTGAGGACCAGAAGACTGTGGTTCATCACAAGGTCGCCGCCAAGGTGGAGCACTCTGGGTTCATGAGCGCGTCGAACAATGTGCTTGACATGAACTTTGGAGACTTGGATCCAGCAAACAGCGCCATGATAGCTCAACCGGGTGCGCAGCCGCGGGGACGCCAAGGAGGTAATGCAGCCATGGCCAACAACGGCCGGATGGCGCCCAATCCGCAGGCTGTGAGCGCGCAGGCCAATATGCCGCAGCATCGACCGTTCTTCCTCTCACCTATTGCGACAGATCAGATTTTGAAACGCCTTGCGGTAAGTGCACTTGACCTTGCATTGCTGACTGTGCTGACTTGGCAGAATGAAATGAGAGGAGCGAGGCTACAGGCGCAGGATTTGAACAGGACCAACCAGTTTGTCGGCACACTCCTATCGAAGAACGATGTCAAGGACTTGGAGAAACCGGAAGCGCCTGAGGCCCCCAAGGCGCATCTGGTGAACGGGCTGCCCTTTCGACCAGAACCCAAGTCACGGTTTTCCGAACCGCCTGCGCCGCCTCCGCAGCAGCCACTACCCGAGAAGCCGAGCGCGCCTTCCTTGAAGCGTGGGATCACGGAGCGCTCAAAGTCAGGCCCTGAGGCAAGCTCCCCGATCAGGCAGGAGAACATGTCACAGATCATCCAACTTACAGAAGCACTCAACAATGCGAAGCGGGATATGGACACGCAGACAGCTCGCATGAAGGAGTTGGAAACGATGTTGCAGAAAGAACGTGAGGCACGCGAACTGGCCGAGAGTCTGGCCAGGCGCCTCGAGGATTCTGCAAACACCCATCTCAACGGCTCAGTGGTGGAGCCTACGCTTTCCATGGACAAGTCTGTGGAGCCTATGGCCGACGATGAATCTAGCGTCGAGCTCGAGGCCAGCACGGCCGCCAACAATGAGGGTGCTGAAGCCAAGGCGGCCGCGGCCGCATTGCAGGAACGCATAGACACGATGGATGGCCAAATGAAGAGTATGCAGGAGCAAGTCGCTCACTGGAAGGGGCGTTGCGAGGCCGCTGAATCCGCACGGGACGCTGATCGTAAGAGCTTGGCCGAGATGGTGCTTCAACTACGTGCGGAAGAGGCTCGGCGAGCGGCGGATCAGGAGGAAAGGCGCTCGAGATCGCGCAAGAGGACGGCCGATGTGCAGACCTCCCACGATGAGAACGCCGAGGCAGCACTAGCATCCGCAGAGACGACAGATGTGCCTCAGTCGGATGGGGCTGTGGGCGAAAGTGATGCCCCGACACTTTCCAGGGCTACCACGATCACGCCCATGAACGCCTCCAAGACTGCACCCGACACTCCTCTGCAGGCAGGTTTACCGTACGCCTCTGCACTGGGCGTTGTACTCATAGGGATGGGCCTCATGGCATACATCAATGGCTGGCAGGCACCACCACCGAGCATAGAGCGATGAGCATCTTTTTTGTTTCTGGAACATTTTACCTCTCACTATCCCTCGACGACGAGATGCTCGACGACGAGATGGACACGACATGCGACATGCCGATTATATCTTCCCTTTGTCTGGGCACAACCTTACTTGTGTTTTCCTTTCTTCCTTGGGATGATGAACGGCTCCCCACCGTCTGTCGTCGACTACCCTGTACAATGACGCAGAAGCAGCATGGCGATGTGTTGAACCTCCGGGCATCCAATGTTTGATTCAACGGTTTTATTTGGTCAAGGAGCACTGTCAGGCGCTGGATTACTTGATGTGTTTGATTGAGGCATGGCGGTATAACGTATGCTTTTGACGAGAGCGAGGCGGGCATAGGGTACATATACATATGAGGAGAATTGGTTCTGTAATGTGGACTACTGTTCTGATCAGTGATCCTCATTGTCTGTATGCTTCCGTGATTTTTCTGTACTCGTGTGAGGCTTGCTATGTGGCGCTGGTTATGGCTATAAGGCTCTTGACTCTTGTCATTCCCTAGAAGGTTTGTGCCTTGTTGTCCTGTACTGGCAATTGGTTGACTCGAGTGAAGCACGCATGGAATGAGTTCGAAATTAGTTTTGCATATTAGTAGCAGCGTCAAGGCTTTACTTCAAATCCTCATGTCAAACTTTAATGGCCCCAAGACCTTGAGAGCAATCTATTAGATTTCGATAGTCCATTGTAGTTTTTGCAAGCCAGTATGAAGTACGTAGTCTCTCGCTTCCGAAGACTAGGGTAACCTCATTGCGCATGAGACCGGTGCTTATTAAGGCACCAGCCGGTGGAGTCCGGTCGTCTGGCAATTGCGCGACAAGATCCAATCCCGAGCTCCCCAAGACTTCCGCGAAAAGCCAGCATCATCATTGTCCAGAGCACTCTCGGGACTTGTCTGTCTACTGATACGACCGCGGCATAAAGAGCCGCGTCGACCAAACACACCACAATGCCGACCTTCCAGTCGAACAAGTTCCGGTCGTCGGCCGACATGAACCGCATCGGCATGCGGTACCGCTCGCTCATGAACAAGCACCCCTTTCTCACCTTTGGCCTGCCCTTTCTGGGTATCATCATTGCGGGCTCCTTTGTCCTCACGCCCGCGACGGCAGTGCGGTACGAGAAGCACGATCGCAAGGTGCGGCAGATGAGCAAGGAGGAGGAGCTTAGTGTCCGGCGGGCCGGCCGAAAGGTCGACATGCGGGAGGAGTACAATGTGAGTGTCATTCCTCTCGTCCAGGAGAACCCTGATCTTGGTCGAAACCAATGGATACAGAAAGAGTGGGAAACCCCGAGAGAATGCTGCTAACAATGGACGCCAGCGACTCGCGGGACGCGACCTGGAAAACTGGGAGCAGAGACGCGTGGAGCGATTCAAGGGTGAGAGTGACGGTATTCTACGATAAGCAGGAGATGTATGACACGAGAGACGTGGTTTGGGTATTCACTGGTCTGCCATTGACGCGGCAAGCAAGCTTCCCATGAACGGAGCCTCATCGAGATGACCAGCGCGCTGTGCTGATGCGAAGATCACGTCGCCCAACAATCGCACTGCATTTCATGCGGTCTCAAAGGCTGGCTGGCGCGGACATCAAGACGCGCAAAAGACATGTCATCATTCTCCGCATGGAAGATCACATTGCGCGATATGAGACACGGGTTGGGTGATCCAACGTGCAAAAAGGAGATCATCGGTAGTGGACGCGCGCGCGCTTGTCCGTCGTTTCAGAATCATTCGCCACTCTGATATCATGGCAAGACATGTCGATGAAAAGAGCTTCATCGAGCCGTGGGCTCTCGCGATCGACACATTTTCCCTCTATTGTTTCAGCGCACAAATACCCCGCCGTAATTCAAGGCAGAGGATGACACCGAAAACCCCAACCGCGGGAGCTAGGTGACGCCGCGCACGCGTCGTGTGAGGAGTCATGCGAGCTCTTTAATGGATGGAATGCCGAGGACATGCGCTTCCTTGTCTTATGTTGAATGTGAGATGTCTTGGTGAATAGACGATGTCATGGGGGAGGGAAGGGGGCAGGACTGGGGCGTGGAACTGGGAATAGCTTCATAGAAGTACTTTGATGATAGTAGGTAGGTTCAACAACGACGGTGCCGGCGTCTGGGACGATCGACATGAGTCGTAGGGGTGGTTTAATGCAAGGATCTGGCGTTTGACCTCGAGACTAACGGTAAAGAATGTATGTGATAATCACCGTTTCGGCGGTTATCCCAATGATCGGATTCGGTCGTAGACAAGACGGCTGGCCGCAATATCATGAATAACCTTCATGTCGTGTCCGAGATCGAGTCAGTGTAGTCATTGTCCAGAATGTCTGAGCGCGGGCACCAATCACGCCGTGGGCACGCTGCGTCGATCGTTGTGATTACGTCCGAGGAGCTACTACGGAGTATTCTCCCTTGCAAGCTCTGCCTTGTTGATTGTGCCTGACAAGAAATCGATAGCTCCCGCAGCTGGGAAGCTCAAATCACACCAGGGCAATGGGATTGCTAGCGGAGTCTTGCATCCCCGTACCTACAAGGCTACAATCCCAAAGCAGCAGAACGAAAGACAAGGGCATATAGTAAGCTGAGCTGCGGTGCGGCCCCGGATACGTATGCTATCAGCAAAGCGAAATTATCGACTGCGTCCAGGCTCCAATACAGCAGAGCTGAGGCTGAATGGCTTGAAGTTTGAACACTGTCGTGGCGGTACAATACAAGGAAACTTCGGTGGCTGCAGGTCCTGCCATCATCTGACCAAGGTGTTCGCATAGCTAGTGCGTGACGGACCTGACCATCCGCCCGATCGGCATGATGGCTTGGCTGGGTTGGAGGTTGGTGGGCTTGGTCAGCTTGGTGCTGGGCGAAGCCATCTCCGCGCTGTCATTGGGTGCGGAGTTGATGGAAAGTCACAGAGGTGTGGCAGCCATGGTGATGGAAAATCGCATTATCAATCCATGAAGTCATTGATGGCCATGGCCGGAGCAACCGAGCGAAGAAGCAAAGATTCATCAATTGAAACCCATGCTGGTTTGCCATGGGTGACAAGGGGAGAATCCCATCCGGGCTGAAAGAATGGGTGGGCGGGAAATGCAGATGTGCGTTGCAATCGAGGCACTAGCAACGCTGGGAGGCATCATGTGAGGAATCACCATGCAAGGCACGATCACGGTGAGCAGGCGAGCTGCAGGCAGGCAGACGAGGGGCTGGCAGGTATCCGTACTCGTACCTGCAGCAGGCGGCAGGCCTACCTCCGAAAAGACCGATTTGTCCGTTTGCTTGCTTCTTTTCGGCGAGATTGGCTGACAACGACAGTCTCGCATCGGTATCGTGGAAACGTTCGCGAGGATGGCGGTCAGCGACTTAGCAAAGCCAAGAGTCCAAGACGACAGATGACGATCTTTACGATTGGTAGACTGTGGCTGAGCGCTGCGGGCTTCTGGCTGTGGGGGAATACGGCCCCAAGTCACAGCCGGTCAAGTCGTCAATTACGAGCGTCGAGCAGAGCTAAGAGATTTCCAGGGTCCAGCGCAGCCTCGCGGCCCTCGCTGCTGAGTAAAATCACCCAACGCAAACAAGCTGATTGGAGGCGCTAGAGACCCGGCCTCGCCCTTGTTCAGCTGTTGCGACTTGCAAGGAAATTGCCGAGCTTGGAAGCGTCAGCATTGAGTTTAGTAGCACTCTCATTATACAAGCCAAGCCCTTGAACGGATGAAGCTGAACAGCGAAATTAGGCGACGTGCGGGACGGGTCGGTCGAGGGTTCGAGGCCAAGAGAAAAACCTAGCAGTGATTAAGCGCAAACTCTCGTGATAGTATCCGTAGAGGGCCATTTGAGACCTATTATGATACGGGTCCAGGAACAGGCCCAGGCCCAGGCCCAGGCCCAGGCACAGGCACAGGCACAGGCACAGGCACAGGCACAGGCACAGGCACAGGCACAGGCACAGGCACAGGCACAGGC